AACCTGCAAAGTTCTGAATCCCTTTTGAAGTTGCTTAAAGCCAAGGTCTCATGGTCTCATATGTTTTTTGCAAGCTTCATGGTTTCTGAAAAAATATCTGTTTTGCAATCATTCTAGAATTTCAAAACATCATAAGTTAGATGCCCAATCAAATCCCAAAAACGGTCCCATTTAACATGGATAAAGTTTTGCGCCATTTTGGGATTGGCTTCATTTTTTGTGGTCCCTAAACCATCGTCCCTGTCATAGGTGGCTCGAGCCCAGCCACTGGCTAACGAGGAAGCGCCAGCCGTAGCTCGGTCCGCACAGCGCCGCTGGATAGTTGGGTATCCAAGGACATGGGTGATGTCCTGGTAATATGGGTATGGGTCAATACCTATAGATACATTTTTAGTGGGATGAACATCCATAAATCCCAGCTATTTTGGGGTTCACTAGGTACCAGGGTTTTGACACACTGCCATATATCCTCTGGATACCCAACTATCCCCATGATATATGTTGCTGATGTATGATATATATATATTATATATATATACACCCTCTGGTTATGACTAACAGTTTGCCATGGTTTTTTGATGGCCCTAGTCGAAATAGATGATGTTCCCAGCATTATCCAACCTCCATTTATGGTTGGGATTTTCCATAGCGAACTGTTAAATCACCAGATGGTATTACATTACATATGAATCATATGACCCATATAATTCATATGAAATAGCTATATGATTTTTATGCCATTTGGTAAGTTCATATAGCCATTCAAAATGGCGAAATAGCTGATTTACCCAGTTACAACATGGTGATTTTTGCAGTTCACTATGTAAACGTTTACCAGAGGGTAGCCATAGCATACCTTGGGTTTGTCCATGGGATTTGCCTGTTGATGGCAGCCAGGGTTTGCCACATTGACCATTGTGAAAACCATTAATCACTATTGAATATGACTAACCATCATGAACTATTAATCACCATTAATCACCATTGATCACCATTAACTATGACTAACCATCATTAACCATATTAGCTGTTTACCACATTAGAAATGAGGACCTCAACAAGGCACGTCCAAGTTGATGGAGAAATGGAGAAGGGCCCTAAATTGGGTTATGGCTTGACACATCAAACATAGGATTTGAAGCATAAAAACATGGAGGAACTATGGCAGTGATAGAATGGGAAATAAATGAGATGTCTAGTCTATGTGTATATATATATATATATATCATACATCAGCAACAATAAATGGGAACATTTCATGGGAATTAATCGGGATACACATAGCATCAAAATTTGGATGACGGTTGGATATATCTGAGAACCGCAATACTACAGAACATGCCATTTTAATGTGGAAACCATGCTCAACTCTTTCGAGCAAATTTCATTGTCCTCAATTTTGGAACCGTTTTGTTTGCAGCATGGGGAAGTTTCATGAATTTACCAACACAGGGTTTGAACCGAGCAACTTCATTGCTCAAATCCCATTTTTTTGGTTGATTCACTCAATTCAAGGTCCATTTGCGTTGCTAATTTCCACTAGTAAATTCATGTGAGCAGTGTTCAAAACCCTTGTTGGTTGATTGTTATAGGGGAAAATAGTACTAGCCAATCTGATCGGGGATTGTCATTATCCATGGGGAATTCCTATTCACCAACCAGTTTTTCTTGACCAGCCATGTAGACGATGGAAAAAAAAACACCTGGTGGAACGGCTTCGAAAAATCAAGGGAATATGAGTATTACAGTATAAACACGCCAAAACTATCAAGAACCACCGGTAAATTACGTGGAAAACCACGGGCACGTAAAGAGGTCCCGCTCTCTTTTCAGGATGATGCGTGCATGGGTGAGTGGTTCTTGTGCAAATCCCTGGAAACCGAAGAGAGCTGCAAGGTTTTTCAAAGTGAAGGCTGCGCTTGGGGCAAAGTTGCCTGGATTTGCTGTGACAATTGAGGAGTGTTCAAAACCTCGGTTGGTTGATGCTGGGGATAAGACTAACCAATATCTTGGGGAATAGCACAATCCATTAGAACCAATAAACACAAAGGGAGGACACCGGGTTTTGAACTCTGCTCGATTTTCTCATTTTTATTTCCCCTTGATCGACACGATGAATCTACCAGAAATTCTGCTGGGAATCTGCAAAATCTGCAACTTGTGGCATCCATTTGATCCCAGGCGGCCCTGCTGCAGAAAGATATGCCAAAAGGGTGCAAGAATGGAATCACTTGCCGCAATGGAGACTGCAGGCGGGGTGAAAGCTTGGGACTTGAAGGTGGCTGAAGCCGAAGAACAACTGGTAGACCTGAAACCATAGACCCCAAGAAACCCGGGAATTCTCTGGACTTACTGTAAAACATGGGAGAAAAATTCTTCCCAAAATGAGCAACGGGTGACCAAGCTATTCGACCAGAGCGTCTGGAGCAGTTGGGTTAGGCCATCAATACGCCCTGCAAGGTGTGGGGGTTGGACCGTGTTCGCCCCCAACGCCGTTTCGTGTCTGCAGCGCTATTTAAACTGTCCACAGCCATCCGTGTGAGGTTGAGGTTGGGTCTAAAAGTCTGTGCCTCGGGGTTTTGCAGCTGCGTCAAAGTGCCAAACGCATAGGAGCGTGATGAGGGGTGACTTTCGCGTGTTTTAATGCGTTTCATGCGGCAGCGCAATACTCTTCTGTCTCTGTAAGACAAAACTAACACGTGTCAAAACTGCATTTCCCGTTTGGCTTGACAGGTGGGTATGGGTCAAAATTAGGTACCCCAATAATTGGATGGTGGATACTAAACTAGACTAACATCTGTGGTCCCCTAGGTCTTCCATTTTGACCCACATCCAGGTGCAGTACTTGACTGCAGGCATGTATGCATTTGCGTATTGTGGATCTTTCTGGAACCGCTGCGTCAACGAGCCAAGCACTGCAACTTGCGTGGCAACGGCAACGCACAGGAAGGGTTGCGTTTTCCGTGCCAAGAGTGTCTTGCAGGTGTGCAAAGCTTGGGGAAACCGAGGGTGCAACACCACCAGAGGCCACACGGGAGATGAACGCACGGGACATGGAATTTCCATTGGGTTTCTGTCTTTTACCGGATTTTATGGCTGTTTCAGACTGCAGAAGAGAAGGGTTTTAGAACGTGGGATGGAACACGCTTCCCAATTTTTAAGGCAACCTCATATTCTCTGGCTACCGGTTGGTGGATCAAAATAGAGGGCTATCTGAAACCATCGTACATGACGGATTCATAGCATGCCAAACTGGCCTATATTTTCTTGAAAAAGACATTCATATTTCGGTGAAGCATGGTGAAGCTCTTGGCGGTTCATGCCGATGAAGAAATCATGTGGTTAGACTGTCAAGGTTGCAAGACTGGGGATGATGAGATTTCATGAGCAAAAATGGGGTACCATTCAGTAGACCAGAAGCCTATTGCTACATTGGGTTATGCCGACTACTACCTCATTTTGTTGGTATCATCTAGGGAATTCAAGCGAAACTTTGAGAGCGGGATTTGATCGGGCCGTTCTTACCAAGGACTGCTGATACCCAGAGTTCGTCAGACGTTCATGATTTACAGTGGAGGTTTCAAACATTGTTCAATATCTGCTGAGGACCAGAAAGTTTTGAATCAATTTCTGGTTATTGAACATTGTTTTTTTTGTGTACCCAATGCCTTGTCCCATTCCCAGGTGTAGACCGGTGTAGGTTTTGGATTTCTTTCCCTTCGCAGTTCAGCTTTGTGGAAATGTAGGGCCAAACACAACCCAAGCTTGGACGCATCAAACAGATAGGTGCCATATCTGTTTGGTCAACCAACGTTTCTTTGTTCTACTCCGACAAACAATCAACATTTAGTTCCCTCAGCTGAGCAGAAACAGAATCATAACAACTATTCAAAAGAAAAGCAGCAAACGACGGCAGCCAAAGAAAAGCTGTTCACATATCTCTTCAATGGTAGCTCACGAATCATTCCCGGTTTCCAGGTTCGGGGCTAAAACATCACCAGGATGCTGATTTCCCGACCATTTCGCCAACTCGATCCCACAATGTCCTCACTGTACACACAAACTGAACACCACCCTCTGTGTTTTTCTTCTGCTGCTTTGAGAATGATTGGACCCATGTGCCTTGATATATTTCTAACATCTTCTAACCATTCCCTCTTACATTTCCATTCCTGCTGTTTTAATTTTTCCGGGTTTGGGCATGATGATCATTTGAATTCGTTTGAAAATAAGGTACCCCCATGCCATGGTTTCCAACAGTTTTTCCCAGAGAAATGGCCATAAATTGTCATAAATTGGAGTATACCCAATTTTCAGACATACACAAATCCATCCTTAATTGGTCGATTATGGCTAAAACACAATAAATTTCATCGTTAAATCCTATGTTTTTTACAATTATTCGTTGGGAAGTCCTAGGGTTAAGTCCTTAAATCCACTCTTTTGATGGTTGAATCTCCTTTTTGCCTCGATCAGGGTGAGGCATGTACGGGCTCATCGCACATTTGCGCTAAGCTCACGAGCGAGAAACTTGTCAGCTGAGTCCGTTTTCGCGGTTTTTCTCCACCCCTTTTTCAAAGGCGTGAATTTTCTGTTTGGTGAATCTTTGATGTTTTTTAAATGTATAATCCACCAGAAATGGGGAATGGGAATATGTTTGCTTTGTCGCCGCCCTGAAGCACCAAATCCAAGGGAGCTTTGCTGGAAACTTCCAGGTTGTTCTTGGACCAAGGACGATGACAATTTCCAGGGGGGATCTAGGGCACAGTTTTTTTTTGAGCAATGCAGCAATGGTTAGCATGATGGGTACGATCCAGGAGACCCAGGGCCTCTGATCACTGAAGAACGATGTCAGCCCGAGCAAAGTGCCAGGGCAAGGGGGGGTTGAAGCAGCAACATTGGGATTCAACATTTCACCAACATGCGGATTTAGCCAGGAAAAATAAAGTACGTATTCATCAGCGAACAGGCTTTTAGCCAGCAAAAAAACGGTATCGGTATGTATATCTAAGTATTTGCTTTATAAAGGACCTGGGAACTCATAAGGGAGGCTGCATGTTCTGAGGAAGCTGGATCTTGGACTAGTCATTTCTATGAGATATAGTCATCCTACTTGAGGGTGTATCCCAAGTAGTAAGTTGTCAAAAACCCATCTATGACTGGGGTATGGTCGTATATAAGTGGCTTATGATATGGTATGGTATGGTTATCAGCTACTTAAACTAGGATTTATAGTAATAGTGGATATAGTTCCAGGGTCTAGGTCCCACCCCAACGATGGTGTCGTGGGGAGGGGGGTTGTATATGCAGTTTAAGGAGTACATTATAGCTGGTGCATGGGCGGTACAATGGCTGAGTGCCAGATGACTAGGTAGTACATAGGTAGGATATATGAGTGTACGAGTGGTATTACCAGGCATCTGGGTAGTGTGTAAGTAGCATGTCGCTAGAGGTTCTGTAGAAGGTGACACATAGGTAGCGTGTAAGCGGAATCTCGCTCCCAAATGCCAGAAAAAGTGTGTGGCTGCTTTTTTTGGGGAGGGAGGGACCATACCACTACTGTAAGGGGCGCGGCGCAAAGGACCAGGGACGGGATCATAGTATCAATGGATCGGGTTATAAACTTATAAATTTATAAACCAACGTTCATCTGACTTTCTACTACTCCCACTTTCTACTGGGCGTGGGTCGTTCAGGCCTCTTGCCTCCTCGGTAGTTTGAGAGGGTCACATGGCACCCGCATCGCCACTTTGTGGTGCGACCTTTGAAGCCGAAAAAGGCTGGAGGGCGAGAGGTGCTGGGGATGTTCAGATTTACGGTTGATGACTGGCATGCTTTTGATCAGAATCGAATTTACACATCGATTTTGTCAATATCGGAGGTATGTCTTGCTAATTTGAGGGAACCCAATCTCCCAAACATCAGCTACCCTCTGGGACTGCAAGATGGACATGGGCAATCCTCACCAAAATGATCGGAACATCTACCCTCTGGTAATTTAACAGTTTGCTATTGAAAATGACCATAGAAATGGTGGATTTTCCCATTAAACATGGTGATTTTTCATAGCTATGTAAACGTTTACCAGAGGGTAGAAGAATCATCTGCAAATAGGGCTCCCGCGGGCTTGGATAAGGCATATCCCTTGTTGTGAGTGATTTTGGTCCCGATTGCTTGGCACCTATGGGTTTTTGAGCCACTTAGTTCATGAGAGAAAGCCACACATCTGCAACTTATCAGGTCCAATCAGAGTCACTAGCCCAGCCCATTCTTCTTGGCGTTTTTTCCTTGGTGCTGCTGGATAAGCGCCACATTTCTGGTAAGTAGTAAAGGCCCTGCTCTTGAAACACTTGGGAATTCCTTCAACAATGACGCGCCGCTGTGACACATATTTGCTGCTGCCTCCTAACTACCTATTGTAGTGGGGGCTGCTAAGAGTTTCCCAACCACAGTAATGGTAAATAGCAACACATACGCATAGTATTACGTCGCAGTCTAGTAGTGGGTATTAGTTGGGTATTATCTGAAAATAACATAAAATAACCATTAATGGGATATGATATTTGATACAACTGTATATGTTCACAGAATATGAAGGTAATTTAACCGCTATGGTGATGGATACGAATGGTAACGGTACACAACCTGCCGCAGACGTGGCGTTGGATCAGTTGAACATGGTTGATGTTGGATTTGTTAAGCATCCACAGTCAATCTCCCAGTTATACATACTACTAAAAATCACAGACACACATATATACATAGAAATAATATATATATATATACATATATATATATATACACATATATATATATATATACACATGTATATACATATATATATATATGTATACATATCTATGTATATATATACGTATATATATACATATAAATACATATATACATATATATATACATACATATATATATATACATATACATATATATACATATATATATATACATATATATATATATATATACATATATATATATACATACATACATATATACATATATAGACACAACCATCTAGAAATGTATAGAACCATAGTACTGTTATATTTAGATATACACAGTATACAGCAAAAACACTCATTTTTACCATGGTTGTTCATCAATAGTTATATGTATGCCCCCTATATATATATAGACATCTATCTATATATATATATAGACATCTATCTATATCTATATCTACATCTATATCTACATCTATATCAATATCAATATCTATATCTATATCTACATATACATACATGTATATATACACATAATCCATTGTACCAACCAAGGACATCTTTGCAGATCCCGGGGAGTCGACTTCGCATCTTGGTTTGAACGTGGGGGGTAGACATGCTGCCAGCTGGTAAGCATTGATAGATGGTGAACATAGATGATAGTAGTGTTATATAAAAAAGCTTGCCACTATCATAGTATTATGATGATAGTGTTATATCTACTATATATATGATAGTATTACGAATGTTATATCATGTTATATATATATATATTGTATATATTTGATAACATTATGATAGCTATTATGATATGGTTTTGTTATAACACAGCATAGCTGGTATATTTGAAACATCTTCGAACATGGGGCACCGGTGTCATCAAACACCGTGGCACCAAACGTGGCCGGGAAGTTCATCGAGGTGTCATGGAGGATTTCCCACGTGGCTGATGACACTGGATTGATTGTAGCATGAAAAATGGTTTGAAGCATTCAACAACGGTTACCCTCTGGTTATGTCAAAATAGCTATTGAAAATGGCCATTAATAGTGGATTTTCCCATTAAAAATGGTGGATCTTTCCATTGCTATGTTAGTTTACCAGAGGGTAATATAAGCACAATATATCAGATAAACATTGATACACAATCTTTTTTCATGTTTTTTTCCTGATGGGAACTGATAGATGATGGTTGTTGTGTTGTCATGGAGGTTATACTTCATAGTTATTTTAAGGGATGATTACACATCAGGAGAATCTATAATATCGGATACCTCTGAACCCACCATTGACACATTGGCTTACTTGGATATTTGCAAAACCAATGAATCGCCCGTTTTTTTGTAGGTTGAACAACTCTTTTTTCGTCGTATTTTTTTTTGACATGATCCGTTTTCAGGGTTATCATTTACAGGCGCCACGATGATGTTGGGGATGGGGAAGGTGCCACCGCCTTGGGGTGAGACCTTACCCTCCAGCGGAGGGAATGGTGAGCTGAGCGGTATCCATATCACAAAAAATGGGGAACCAGTTGGAGGCACTAAGAGTCTCCCAAGCACTGAAGATAGTATGAACTATTGCTTTTATGGATCATGATTTTGTGTCGATGTGTTTGCAAATGTAAGATGATGCAACTCTACATGATTTCAGCCTGGTCAGACAAAAACGAGGCAAAGCCCGAGAACAAATCCATCTATTTTTGAGGCTGGCGCTGCAGAACACCTCACTCTTCAATGAGTTGTTGCAGAGAGTTGATGAGCTGCAGCAGTCCGTCTACTCGCCCAACCGGGGCTCGAAGGAATGGTGGGCCTGGTGGGCTCGGAGGGAGGGTCAGGTCAGTCTCTTTTTAAAAAGCCCCGTTCAATCATCACTACCCTATCTACCCTCTGGTAATGTCAAAATAGCTATTGAAAATGGCCATTTATAGTGGATTTTCCCATTAAACATGGTGATTTTCCATAGTTATGTTAGTTTACCAGAGGGTATCATCACCCATAAAACCAAATGGCTGATATTGGGCCTATTGGGTTTGTGATTTTTCAGTGCATGAGAACTAAGAAGAAAATTCACCTGTTTTGGAGCCGAGTGCGAAGAAACCGGCTGCTTACATTTTCTGAGGCTTTTGGGGAACCAGACAGAGGATACATCAAAAGGATTCAAAAGCTATGGAAAAAAATGTGATACCATGCTTGGGGGTATGAACATCTGTAACATTCTGTAACATTCTGTAACAGTCGGTAACTATCAGCTATTATCTCAGCCAATTATTTTGAACACCTGAGGATTTTTTTCGGCTTTGATCCGCACAACTGCCGTACGAAATGGGACTCCCCCACCAGAGGACCGAGGAGCTTGCGCGAAGGCCCATGAGCAGCAAGGCAACTTGTTTGATGGGAAATTTACGTATCAAATGCGGGGTACGACATCAACATTTTATGGGTATATCGCAGGAATCAAAGGATTCATGGGATATATAACCAATATGTTAGACGCGATAGCTTGGTCAAACTATTGGGGTAAACGAATGTAAACGATCGACATGTCAAGAGCTGAAAAGTAGTCGCCCCATTCCAAAAAGATCACCTTCCCCTTCAAATCTTCTGGTTCAAAAATAGGGATACTGTAGTCTCAAAATCCACTGATCAATCATCGTTTTGCCTATTAGAATGGTATATATATAATATATATAATATATATATATAAATTATAATATATATATAATATATATATATACATAATATATATAATATATATATAATATATATATATAATATAATATATATATAATATAATATATATATATATAATATAATATATATATATATGTATATATATATATGTATATATACATATATATTTGGTGTATACCATGGTATACTGTATACTCTATTTGGAGACACCCAAATAGGGTGCTCTTCTCACTTTGGAACACGATCCATTGAAATCATGAGTCGAAGAAAAACCGTGTCTTCCAATGAGAATGGGTGTACTGCTCCGAACAAACCGACAGTGGTGTGTCCAAAACTTTTGAATCAAAGCCTTTTGGGTCAAACCATCAACTGGGGGATAGTTATGGGTCTTGAGGCTTGAAGCATAGTCATAGCTACGGGTCAAGAGCGCGGACCGGCAATCACAAAGTGACGGGAAAAAATTGACGACATCCCGAAAAAATTGCAGCCCCTAACCATTACCTGTAGCCCATTTTTCCAGTTCTTGCTGGTTGAATCCACACAGTTGAATCCTCTATTTTTGTCACATGGATTCCATGGTTGAATCCCCAAGTCAAAGCCATTTTTCCTAAATCCCTACGTGAAAAAACCAGGGTTTTTTTGGGTTGCCTCGCCGAGCTAAACTTCTGAGGCTTCTGGGGCCCCTGGCTCAGCCACGATGTCGGGCAAAACCTGGTGGTCTGAGCCGAAAATCAAGGCGCGGAAGCTGCAGGAACCACTTGGAGGTTGAAGAACCTGGGTCCAATTTGGTTAGGTACTTTACCAACTCATGTGGGTAAAACAATGCCATGTTTACCACCCATCATTATGCTAATATTTACCATCATTAACCCACTAATGGTGACAACTGATTTTAAATGATGGTAATAATCAGTGGTTAATGATTACTAATGTGGGTAAAACCATTGATTGGATAAAACTCATCCATGTGATTGATATGGGATGATATTGCCATCCATTAGCAGATGGCGTGGGTAAAACAATGCCATGTTTACCACCCATGACTGGGAAAGGTAAGCATGCCACCTATAAAAATTGTGATGACTGGGGGATGGTTTATGGCATTGTTTTACCTACATTAGTACAACTCACTCTTTTGCTATCAATGGTAGAATCTACGAACCAGCTAAAACGTAGATTTTTTGACAGGTATTCAAGCTTCACCATGTAACTGATATCACTATCCAACTTGATGTATGTGTTATTGGGATTGTTGATGTACCCTCTGGTAACTTGTTACCAGGTATAACCCACCTTAACCAACCACGTCTGGGGATTGAATGGAATATCATCGGATATCATGGATATAAATGTATATATATGATTATATATGTATCATTACATACATATATATGTATATATATGTATCCCATCTGTCAACAGTTAGACTGAAGGGATTCTGGGATCCCTTGAGTCTGGCTTGTTGGCTATGTGGCTTTTTGGCTTTCCATTTTGACAGCCAATTTGAACTATTTTGGATTAACAGAATTTCAAATTGAATCTAGATCCTTCAAACTTGTCTGAAATTAAATTGAATTGAGTACTATTTTTTTGGAATTCAACTTAAATCAATTCTAGCGGACATCTGAAATTGATTCTAAATACACTTTGGTTTAAATCAATCTTAAAATGAAGTTTGCGGTCATGCCATGAGACGCTGTTCCTGGTGGAATGTTCAGATAGGGAGCTACAGATAGCTATAGTACCAATAGGCTTTGTCTGTTGCCCTGGTTTACTTTGTTGACAAAATCCAAGTTCTCTGAACATTTCAGTTTGAATCAATTTAGACATTAGGTTGAGTTGATGGCAACTGGAATGAACTTTAACTTTGGGATTAAGTGAAATGAGGTTTACGCTAAATTTAAACCAACTTCAAAGAAGTATCAATATTCTTCAAAGTTATATTTGACATAGCTTGACATAGGACATAGGTTTAAAAGTAAATCTGAGTTAACTTTGACATCAGAATTGAACTAGTTTTGACATGGTTCAAATACGATTCAATCTATGTATATATATATCTATCAGTTTGAAATAAGCTTGAATTATGTTTAACATAATAATTAATGTTGCATTAAATCAACTGGAAGCCAATCTAAACTAGACCTGAATTAGTTTCAAATTAAATCCAAATTAAGTATAAATAAGATTTAGATGATTATGAACTATGAAACTAAATTTAGATGCCAAATTTGTCACCAACAGCCTTCCAATGCCTCTCAACAATCTGCGGCAACATCACAACAACGATGAACAACATTGAACAATCGATGAAACACATCCAAACATTGATGACAACCATCGATAAATACAATCGAGAAATAGATGAACACCTTCGAAAAATCCATGAGCACCAACGAAAAGTGACAGGTGGCAGCCTCCAGAGCAACAACAATCAAGCCATCGACCCAACAATAAAATATCTAAAAGAACTGCGCGCCATCACAATAGGCAAAGCCTCAGCTCCATGATTTGACGGCCAGAAATGCTGGTTTCCCTCTGACTCTCCAGGCGACGAGAGATCGAAGAAACGGACCTGCGTGCCTGGGACCAGCGGCCCGCGGTGATCCTAATGATCTGGGGCATAGGTTGCTGACTGATGGTGAATTTATTTTTACATGGGACATTTAATGGGATATGATAACATTAATTGTATTAAGTGATGTATATATATATATACTGATGTGATATAACTGAAATAGCTATATATATAATATTATAACTAAGCAACTTGATAGTAGCTTGTGATGTAAAGTAACATCATTCTCCAAGTTGGATCCATAGAGCTGATCCTTGACTATTTATCACCTGGAAAAATGGCCATTGAAATCGTTGATTTACCCATAAAAAGCATGGTGATTTTCCATAGTTATTTGTGTGTTTACCAGAGAGTATCACCTAGAAAACTTGGTATCAACATCCAATAATCTGAGAAAAGATAAGAAGTTTGAAGGCTTAGACCTAAGTTTGATCTATCTTTGGATATTGAAGATATTGCTTCACAATCCGCCACTTTCATGTGCTCAACCCTGAGGGAACTCGAAACTTCCAACCCAAATCCATTGGTGCTGAATTTTCCAGCCCAGAAATGGGATGATCGGGATGATTGGGATGATGATCCCCAATTGAAGAGCATCTTGAGCATATATGGCTATTGGTCAGTACTTATGAAAATACCATTTTTAGTGGGATGAACATCCATAAATCCCAGCTATGTTGATGTGAACAAAAAAGGGGTACAAGGTCTTGACACACTGCCATATTTGTCAGTGGGTGCTTCAACCACCAGTCTTGAACTCATTTTGACCCATCTCCACTGAACAACTTTTAGCGGCGGTCAGAAATTCGGAACATTCCGTCCACACTTTGAGGTTAAGCGCAAGGCTTGCGTTTCATCGTGCTGTCGCAAAAGTGTGCTGCCTTTGGGAATGGCTGATGTCAAACTACTTGGGTGAAGTACCCTCTGGTTAACTAACATAGCTATGGAAAATCCCGGTAAATCAACTATTTCATCCTGTTTCTATGGGCCATGGCTTCCAGTTCGCAAAGCGTGAAAAATTGCCAGAGGCTATCCAGCAACTAAAAATGGGATGATTCACCCCAACATGCAGATGAACATACTATGCTATATGTACAGATCATATAAATATACATGATATCATGGTATACAATATATATATAATTATATATATATGAATATACAGAAGAACATATTTTCTGAAGCACCAGTTCCAAGCTTCAAAGTTTGAAGGTTTTGAAGATGACCCGCATTTGTCATCATCGTTTCAGGCTGGTGAGCCATCCATAGGAAATCATTCAGCAGTATATCTAGTTCCTTTAAATACACCAACATGGGTGTTTTTTTCCGCCTCGTTCGGTGCCTCCTTAACTTGACACCGTCAAGTTTCCGGTTAGTCGAGTGATAGGGCAGTGGAGATTGTACCCTGGGCCAGGGCGGAAGAGATAGAATGGGACATGAATCACCCTGTTCCATGCCAGCCTGGGTTGATACGACCTTTGCGGTTTCAAAGATTTTCGACTTTTCTATCCTGGGATGATGATTCCAAGTTTCCTGTTTTGAGATGGATTGAAAGCACCCCAAGCCAACCCAATCTGTTGGTCCAATGTCTGGCTCGAGCTTTTCCCTGAGCTGAAAAAAGTAATCAGCCACCAGCCAAGTTGTGGAGTCAGAACTTTTTGCATATCTCATCACAGTTTTCCAAGTTTTTGAAGATTTCAAGGTTTCCATTGGTGTTTTTCTTTTCGCCTTCTTTTTCAGCATCCGTCGTGCGGCACCAAAAAACCCCCGCTGCCATGACGTTCGGCGCCTTCGGCGATACGCCGTTCCACCGCCACCTCGCGGGCTTGAGTGCGGAATATGACCGCGTGGTCAGCGAAAACTCCCAACTGCGCATGGGGAAACCTGGAAGATTTAGGGGTTCACATCGGAGTTCGATGGGGGAAAGTGTGGCCAAACGGGGGAGAAAGTTGGATGAAAATGGAGGCGAGATATCTGAAAATGGAGGAATTCAGCCGCAACATATCTCAAGATTGTTATTTTTTGACATTTTTTGTAAGGGGATGTGAGGGGGAAGTGATGATCGGTGGATTGTAATGGGGATAAAGTTGGACCTAATGGGATATAATTCAGATTATATATATATATTTAATTTAGATGGGCATGTTATTGGAAAAAAGCAATCGTTTTACTTTCCAGGAATGGACACCACAGATATGTTTGTTGCTTCATGTAGCCCCAACAAGCTCGATGAAATTGCACCATTTTTATCCACCTATCTCTTGGGGGCCATTCCTACAGATGTCCAACGCCTGGGATGAAATTGGGATCAGCCGACAAACACGGGCTTTAAGCATTAGTACCGGATACCTGTGACGATGTGTGAAGTAAATGGCTGGTCAGTTTTTTTTCTTACATATGATTATATATGTTCCAACATTGGAGTAGATCACACTAGGTGTAAACCGTAAACCCAATACATATGCATAAACCGGTTTCTTGAGGCCTTTCTAAACTGTGCACAAGTGGGCTCTGGTTTTGGGTTTACCAAATTAGACTCTGACATTCCAGTTGGACAGTTTGTAATTGAGGCTGGCGGGCGATTGATTGATTGCGTTTTTTCGGGGTCTACATCCGCACATAGATGAGCAGTCGAATATTTTCCTGTTTTGTAGATATATGTGGAGCCTTCGGCCCATGTGATAGTCAACTCGAAAAGGTGTTGCAGAGGCTGCCTTCGGCAGCTTGGGACTGCGTCATGGATTTTTTTGCAGCCCATAGATGTTGTCGACATTTCCAGTATGGTGGCACGTTTTTTTCCTCCAAAAAATCTGGGTACAAGTGCAACCCCCAAATCAGGGCCAACTTTGGACAAAACTCACCGAACATCTCCGAAGGATGCAGGATGATGGGACATCGGGGATGTCTGGGACATCTGGGGCCCTCTTCCGATTGCGGAAGACAGAGGCACGGATCCCAACTTGACGAAGCCCGGAATTCGCTGGAACTCCATGGCTGCTATAGTTTCTATATGTTTCTATCAATTTGATGGAGAAAACGAAATCTACGATTTATATTATATGTGCTATATATAGACTATACAAATATGTGTGTTTTATATATTCCTTGTGTGTTTTCGCGATTTCCCATTTTTGCGGATCAAAGCCACCAGGAGCCAAGTTTCGACACTTCTGCCAGGAGCAACCGCCTCCTCTGCAGCCCATCACTGCATTCCCGCTGGAAAGTCCCACCATTGTCACTGCACTAACAACCTTCGATCTCCCAGGGGCATTGAGTGAAAGCCACTTGGTGGCACGGGGCGACCGGAAGAGTCCGTGTCCCGAAATTCGTGGCATGGAAAACCCCAAGATCAACTTGCTAAGCACTGAAGATTTTGCCGAAGGTTTGTAGATTGGACAGTTATTTTTGGGGCATCCTGCCCTCAAGGAAAAGGGCAATTATGACAACGCATTGGATTTTGGGGTATTGGCCAAGTGGGTTCAGAGGCTGATGGTTTCAACGTAGGTATTTTCCAATGTTCAATTGTGTGTGGGATGATGCTTGCGGATGACAACATCACATATGTATATACATTGATAGACTTATTATACCTGGTTGGTGGCTTGGAACATTTTTTATTTTCCATAATATATGGGACAATCCTTCCCATTGACCAATGTTTTTCAAGATGGTTAAAACCACCAACCAGATGCACACACATAGGATCACATAGGGATGGGTGACTCAACCACCAACCAGGCTAGTACTTGGTTGATGTGGCCTGCCGTAGGGTAGAATGACCTCGCTGGTCCACTCACCCCCTTGGAGTCACAGATGATGGTTTGCAGGGGCGAATTCACGTCGCATATTTCGGGCTTTTGAATTCATGTCAACTTGTAGCACCACCCAAAGAGATGGAAAAGTATAAAATGTTGTTGTTGTTGTAAGCGGACGTCAACCTGCTCCTCACCGAAGTGAAGTAGTTAAGACGCCATAGTATGCCATCTGCGAGAATCAAGTTCCCATACTTCTCCAAGCAAAACTCAAAAGAAGCGAAACCTGCCTGAAATAAAAAAAGAAGTAAACACAGTGCGCCAGCTAGCATTCCGCATGGAATGTTTGTTGATCAAGTACGACTTGCCAAAAAGGTAAAGTCCGTAGCCTCTGCAGACGCCAAACTGCTGCAGCCCAAGCCACGGCTCGCTGATGTCGCTGCACAGCCGCAGCGATCATGGAGCGTGAGTCACGCAACACCTCACCTGCCTGAGCATCGGCTGTCGCATTGAGAACGCGGCAGAGATGAACATCAATCCAACCATCTGGTGGTGTCCAGTCAGGCACCTTGTTGTGAGAAGGGATCCAAGTGCAAACAGTGCCCTGAATCAATAAGCCGCTGATCCGCTGCCAGAAAAGTGGCAAGTCACCCTCCCAACGGCCAGTGCTAATGCCTCGCTGAAGCCGCCGCACCAAAGCCTGATTGTCAATCAAGAGCATCACCGGTCTGTTAGCTGCAGAAGAGGCTAAACAAGCTTGCAGAAGAGCAGCACGCTCACCTGCAGCAGGTGTTTGCTCAAAACCAGTCACGGCACCTTGAACAGTGGTGCCTGAAAGTGTCGAAACCGCCCAGCTAGCTCTTTGCCATCGATCACAGGAAGTAGCTATGATACAACTGCCGCCCAAACCCAAGGTGGGTCGCTGAAGAGGATCGAATTGCTGAATAAAAGTAACCAAAGCAGGATCTGCAACCATGTTGGAAAAAGGCAACACAGGAGGAGCATCCACAAGTGGAACCAGCAAACGACGTTCAGTAGCGCTCCTGAACTCACCATCCCATGGCTGCGCTTGGCAGTGAAAAGTGAGATGTTCTCGATCAGGAGACCGCAATCCACATTCACAACTCAAAGCAGAACCAAGCGCTCTGTGACCCTGCCATCCACTGCAGCACCAGTCAAAACCCTGCGACTGTAGTAATCCATGCCTAAAGCTGCATTTGCCTGAAAAAGGAAAACCGGCTCCTTGCCGTTTGGCCATCGACCATCCGTTTTGGTGTCTTTAGTCCACAAACCAACGAGCCATGAATGGATAGCGGCCTTTTGCAAGCTTTTCAAAGACATCCACCCAGGTTTCAAAATCCCAGCAGGCGTGTGCCACAGGCCATCGTCAAGTCGCCATTTCCAATCTTTGAGTACTGCTTTCCAGCGAGGAGCAGGCGAGGTAGCTGCAGGCAACCCTTGGGCACGGCGGCATTGCCGATTCCATTCCGCCCGGGCGGCGGTGATGGAAAAGTATAAAATCCGATGCCAGAAAATCATGGCAAATTCAGCTTTTCGATCGGTTTTTAGGGTTACAATTTGTCCAGATCTACTGGGATAAGCCCCAACTACTGTACTTTCAGGGACGCTGGACCGGGGATCACTCAGTAGGTCAGATGGCAAAACAGATCCCTGTTTCATCAAAGAATTCGTGCAACACGGGGGATTTCACTGCTCTGGTCCGACAAATGGGGTTTTATCTGGTTTCCGACAAAATCTCCCCCCAAGTCATCCAGAATTCAGTCATATCCTTATTGGTGAAAGCTGGAGAAGCCCTGCTTCCAGGGCCCGCCCACATATAGCACTTGGGATGGCCCAATCCACGTTTGCGAAAGCGCGAAATTCACCATTGGATCTTCATGCTGATACCATTAATCCCATCTCTCAATCATTAAAATCACCCTGAAATGGCACCGCACGATTGAATAGGCACTACGTACATTCCACCAGCAGATTTCTGCGGATGTGTTTTTTTTTTTGCATGGTTGAACCGGAAGGATTCATGAACCAACCATTAGCTCACTATCAACATATCCATGAACCAACCTTTAATGAACTGTTGGCCCCTTGAAGTGTGGTAAACTCAATGCGACAGAGGAAGGGCACACACACTTACACTCTTAAAAGTTGGTTTATACCCCCGTCATAAATTCACCATAAATCCCAGTTAGATGACATAAACCAACTTAGCTATCCACCTACGTATGTGCCGGCCTCAGTTTCTAAGTGGGGAATACTTGAATTATAAGCCAGTTACATACGGGATATACATGGATATACATGGATATACATGGATATACATGGATATACATGGATACACCCCAGGAATGTATTTGTTATATATTGTTAATTGTTACTGACTACTTCAACTCTGGTAGTTTAACATGGCTATTGAAGCCATGGCACATTTCGTTCGATCATTTACTGTACCTCGCAAAACATGGGTGATTGTCATGGATGTTCCCAGTTCGCAAACTGCTAGTTACTACCAGAGGGTTACAACATCAACGATCCCAGCATATCAAGTTAGTTATTAATTTGGTATCCCATCAATATCCCATTAATAGCCCATTCATATTGGTATACGGTATATCTCATATTGTATTCCCATTAGATATATCCCCATATTTCGTAGGTGGACATATCACAGGTATCATTACCATTAATTATATCATTAATATCCCACTGTATACCATTATATCATCTTGACCGTAATTATGGCAGGCTCGTTCAAAAATGGGATTCGGGATGTTTCTACTTAAATCCCATGAGTTTTTAAAGGAGGGTATATTTTTTTAGTCTTTTTTTTTTTAGGATTTTTTTTTTTCAGTCTGGAGCAGCTTTCCCTGCTATTTGCTGCTCTTTGGAGCTAAAATCTGTGTTTTGCATGCATTTTGGAGCTAGGATCTCTCATTTGCGCGTCCACTTGGCTTTTGGCTTCGAATGCCCACTTGGCTTTTTGGCTTTTGGCTTTTGGCTTTGCTCGGGCTTTTTAGCTTTTGGCTTTTCGCTTTGTGCTTTTGGCTTTTAGCTTTTGGCTTCACTTTGGCTCTTGGCTTTTGGTTCTTGGCTTTTGGTTATTGGCTTTTGGCTTTTTGGCGTTTAGCTTTTTTGGGCCATGGCTTTTGGCTTTGACTTCACTTTGGCTGTTGGCTTTGGGCTTTGGCTTCACTTGGCTTCTGGCTTTTGGCTTTCTGTGGCCCCTTATCTCCTCGATAAGTCAAGAACTTGGCTTTTTGGCTTCACTTGGCTTTTTGGCTTCACTTGACTCTTGGCTATATTGTTTTGAACTACTCCATGTTACGGGAAAGAAGGGAAATAAGACTCCTATTTCCCTTAATATACGTAAAGAAAAGATACATAATGATAGTTGAACTACGTATTCCATGCTTCGGGAAATGAACGCAGGAAAATAAGACCTTTTGGCTTCGGCTTCACTTGGCTCTTGGCTTTGGCTTCACCTGGCTTTTGGCTTTTGGCTTTTGGCTTGTAAACAAACATTTGTAGGACTGGCCTGGAATCGGCTGTGGCTTCACTTGGCTCTTGGCTTTTGGCTTTGGCTTCACTTGGCTCTTGGCTTCTGGCCTTTTTGGTTTTCTGGCTTGTTGGCTTTTGGTTTCACCTGGCTTTACGACACCCTAAAGAAATCGGCTTTTGGCTTGTGGCTTTTCTCTTCTAGCTTTGTTTTGTTGGCTTTTGGTTCTTGGGCTTTTTGGCTTTTTGGCTCTTTGGCTTTTGGCTGTTGGCTTGTAGCATTCGCTTCACTTCGCATTTTGCATTTGGTTTGTTGGTCTTTTGGCCTTTTGCCTTTGGCGTGTGCGAGAGGAATGAAGACCATATTAATAAGTGTCCTAACTAGCCCTTTTACGGAAAAAAAACGCATGTCAGGACACTTGTTGAATCTGGACTCCAACTATATTCATGTCATTTGGGTTGAGCAATTTGTTGCAAGAAACTCAGACGTTTACTCGTGGGTTTCTATGCATGCTTGTGCGAGAGGAACTAAAACTCTTTTCAACAAGTGTCCGGACTAGCCCTTTTCCATCATTGAAAACCCTTGTTTCAGGACACTTGTTGGATCTGGTGTGTATTGGCTTCTGGTGGCTGTGGCTTCGCTTGGCTTTTGGCTTTTAGCCATGGACAAGCGTTCAAAGCGAAAGCTACTTCAGTAAAAGAAACATCGCCACTTGTGCCTATGTACTTCTTTCTTGGTACGCATTGCGGGGGGAGGCGCTGCGCGCACCCCCCCAACCGCTACTTCAGTTTTATCAGCAAGTTTCTTTGGGTTCACCTTCTCTTTCTTAATCTTTACATCGCCACTTGTGCCTATGTACTTCTTTCTTGGTACGCATTGCGGGGGGAGGCGCTGCGCCCTTGTTTCAGCCCTCCCCCCTGCACCCCCCCACCCGCTTTTATTATTGAATCAGCTTCACTTGCTACACGTTGGTCGATATGTACAATCATATATAAATACATGGCGCATAGTTATTCATTTTTTTTAAATACATATATAGATTAACGCCATCCTTGGGGTGAAGTTACGAGCCTTGGTGTATGTTTGAACATATTTGAACATATGCAAACACAAAAGTTTATCAAACAAATAAACATCAGAATAACAGTGGAAAAAAACAGCAGAAAAACATATGACAAAAAATGCCAGAAAACTAATGTGAAAAAAAATGAAAGCAAAATGAAGGAACACCAATAGAAAATGAAGGCACATTATTGGAAAATACATGAAAACTAGTGGTAATGAAGAAAAACTAATGGAACATGAAGGAAAACTAATAAAACATGAACGACAACTAATGGAACATGATAAACAATTGAACAATAAAGGCACACTAATAAACAAATGAAGGAAAACTAATGGAAAATGAAGGCAAACTAGTGGAAAATGAAGGAACACTATTGGAAACTGTTGAAAATGAAGGAAAACTAATGGAATATGAAGGCAAACTAATGGAAAATGAAGGAAAACTAAGGGAAAATGAAGGAACACTAACGGAAAATGAAAGAAACCAATTGGAAAATACAGATAAACTGATGGAAAATGAAGGAAACTAATGGAAAATGGAACATGAAAGAAAACCAATGGAAAACTAATGGAACAATTATTGGAAAATGAAGGAAAACTAATGGAAAATGAAGGAAAAGTAATGGAAAATGAAGGAAAACTAATGGAAAATGAAGGAAAAGTAATGGAACATGAAGGAAAAGGAATGGAAAATGAAGGGAACCTAATAGAAAATGAATGCAAACTAGTAGAAAATGAAGGAACACTAATAGAAAATGAAGGAAAACTAATGGAAAATGGAAGAAAACTAATAGGAAACCAAAAAAAAAACCTAAAAAACAAAAAAAAATGAAAAAAAATCTTCGCCCGTTTTTAAATCAAGACATGACCGGATTGGTGTCATATAAATGACCAGTAAAAACTAGTTATTTCTTGTGGTATATACACATATATATATAATTATATATGTATATATATATATATCTGGGAAATCATCCCCAAATGGCCGGAAGATTCAGATTAGTGAACTATTCTAATTTACCCAGATACACATTTCTAAAAACTCTGGTAATTTTGGTTACCCTCCGGTGTCATCAAACATGGCTGGCTGGGAAATCCCCCTTCACTCACAGGGGAGGTTTTGACCTCGCTGGTGACCTCACATGGCCGAACTATTCAGCTTGGTGAAGTATGAGATTTTTACCCAGATACGTTTTTGTAAGGAATATCACAACAACATATTGTACCATGTATATATATATATGATTACATACTATATATATATATGATTACATACTATATATATATATCAGATATGGTACCGTAGCTCCATTTTAGCGTCCTGAAATTCCCATTGAAACTATAGAGAATCATAGATGTATCTACCATAACTCATAGTCATAATTCCCATTATGCCGATACGGAGGTTTCCTAAAATGGTGGTACCCCCAAATCATCCATTGAAACCTATGGTGACTTAGGGATTCCGCATTTATTACAACTTTTGCAGAAAATATGGCATTTTGGTACAGTAACTCCATTTTAGGGTCCAACTTATTATATAACTTACATATCCAGTATGCCTGTATACAACATATTTTGATTCTATTTCCAGATATTCTCATCAGGGGAGACATTAGTTACTGGTGCTAAACGTAGGGAATGGATGGGAATTGGGGTTGCTGGGATGATTATTGATAGTTAGCCAGTGGATCATTCCCGAAAATTCCCTGCTAAGCACCGGTAAGCCAGATATTCTCATCAGGGGAGACATTACTGTATCTGGTTGGTGGTTTGGAACCATGGGAATTTTATGACTTTCCATTCAGTTGGGAATGGAAAATCATCCCAAGTGACTTTCACTCCATCGTTTTTAAGAGGGGTACGGCTCAACCACCAACCAGTTCTTGTTGATTGCTTTTGGGAGCTTTGGATATTTCAATCCACTAATGATCATGATTTGGATATTATCCATATATATATATATATTAACCATATATATTAACCATATTGGAAACTTCCCCAGATGTTCTCCCCCGGTTGCTGCCACGGCGAGGCTTGCAAACGGGCGGGAACAGGTCGTCGTTCAGCCCGCCAATGGTGCCTCTGGGGAAACCAATAGCCATGAGACGAACGAAGCTTGCCCCGCAAGGTCCCATGGTTTTTTTCATGAAAAAATTAGAATCTCATGGGATTTAATTTAATGACAATATATATCCAATTAATTTTCCAATTAATGAGATTCTTAAATAATAGCCATGTGATTTTTCATGGAGTCTAATTGGATCTAATTTGATTCTAATTGGATATTAATGTGATTTTAAAGGGATTTAATGGGACTAAATGGAACTACTGTATCCCAAAATAGCTTTACTTTCCAGGTTGGTGAATTTTTTGAGTCAGATGTGGCTTTGGTTCAAGAACCTCAGGTACAGAGACCTTGGGTTCACCCTAGTTCTGACACAGCCATTGTGGCTCACCAAACTTGGAGGATCTTGCAGAGTTTCTTGCAACCGTCATGGGTGATGTCAAGCCAAAGCATGTATATATACATGTATATATACATATATATATACATATATATATATACATATATATATACATATATATATATACATATATATATACATATATATATATACATATATATATATACATATATATGTACATATATATATACATATATATATATACATACATATATATATATATACATATATATATATATACATATATATATATACACACATACTATACAGATCTAGGTGAATTGCAGCGACCTCACCACAACCTCACTGTAAATGATGGCTAGGATTGGGGTAACTATCCACAAATGAGCTCATTTCAGGTTAGTGAAGTGTTATGATTTATTGATGAAACTCCACCCGAACCATAGAAGATGTGTGTGTGTGTGTGCCCTGCTATTTACATGCAGGAAACTTACTACAGTTTAAATCAAAGATGAAGTTCCAGTGAACACAAGCGACAGATTTATCAACAACTTGCATCAAGCTGTGCTGCCTGTAATTTCATTGCAGCTTAATTTGGTGCACATAGCAGCAGGGGCGTGCAGCCGTACCTGCAGAATTTCAGTTTGAGCTGTTAAACAAGCTGTCCAATTCCGTGGTTCTACACAATTTCGTTCTAGATTTGCCCGGTTGCCTCAATCTGGAATGTCTCTTTTCTGATCCGAAGATAGCCACGTGCAAGTTCTATGATTTTTGATGCTAGATTTCCAGAATCGGCCGGTGGTAGATGGGATCCTGACCTCAACAAACTTGCTGAAACATTGGTTTCACCTTTTTATCAAGGATGAAGGACCCAAAATCCGAGCGGATCCTCATTGACGTTCCAAATTCACAAACAATAAGCAGTGTGTCTGCGAGCGCAAGAATGGCTGAACCAGGTCTCTGCACATCAATGGACTCAGATGGTCAAAAGGTTTTTGGAACCGACACCGACACGGAGCTTTTCGGAACACAACTTGTGTCAAGTGAGTTGGGTATGGATCAATACCTATTAATAGCATTTTTAGGGGGATGAACATCCATTTACCAGCTATTTTGATGTGAACTACAGGGGTACAAGGTTTTGACACACTGCCAGTTGGATTCCACGATTCCTTGATGTGGATAGTCATAGCATTCCTTGAGGGGATCATCCACAAGGAATTACTGTCGCTGGGATATGGTGGGACGACCCATAAACATCCATAAACCATATTACCATAGGCCAAACCGCCATGATATGAATGGCATCCCGCTGGTCCCAAGGAACTCGAGGCTTCAACAGACTCAACAGAATAAGATTTCCGGCAAACTTCCGGTGGATGAGGAGGAAACTGAGGCCCCGGGTGAAAATGACCTGGCAACTGACAAGGAAATTGTTTTTTTTCATGACGGAACTACAAGCGCCTATATATATATATATATATACACAAGATCAATATACAATTAGGGGATTCAATGTTGTGTATACATATATAATATATATATATATACACATCTGCCTGCTAGGATTGTAATGATGATTAAACTTGGGATCATAGCGGGCTACTCATAGACTATACTTCGATGGGATTTTCATTGGACCAACATGTGATTATCACTGGTCGACCCAGCCCTATAAATGATGCTATTTGCCGAGAATTGATTTTGTAAGCATGCATCAACAAAGAAAATGGTTAGGTACATGGGTAAACTTTTGTGTTATAACCCTTTTTGTTTCGATCTGTATATATAATATATATTGAGGTTTCCTAAAGTGGGGGTACCGCAATAGCTCGGAAGGCTTATAATGAAACATCCTATGAAAATGGATGATTTGGGGGTACCTCGATGACTTAAGAAACCTCCATAGATGTATGGTCTCGGCCAGCGGCCGGCAACCCCCCTCAATGCTATCCCAGCAACCACCCCCATAGCCATCTACGACCATCCGTCAAGATCTCATATGCTATACTTACATGCTGGCCTCGTTCCACCTATACACTACATAACAGGAATTGATGCAGTGTTCACTACTGCCTATATGCCCATACAATCTATTTACAACGTGTTACTGCCCATGAGGTACCTTTATAGTAGCCATGTACTAGCTACTATCAAGATCTCATGTGCTATACATACGTGCTAGCCACGTACTTGCTACCTAAACACTATCTAGATGGTACCTCTATAACACCTACCCATCCCATACGGGGGGCGTGGAACATTGTAGTCACATACTACCTATATGAATTATACTTTTTGCCTTTTGGCTTACATGCTAGTGACACACTACCTAGCCCCCACCCATCCCACAGGGGGGTGGGGTGTGTGAACTATATCTTGAATAGAGCCTCCTTCATACAGCGTACATACAGCGTACATACAAGACTATGACCATGACGCGGGGAATGGGGGGGGTTTGCTGGCCTGGACCATTATATACATACATAAACATTTGTGTGTATTTATATATATATATATATATTATAAATATATAAATAGATTAGATACACAATATTCTGCCATCAGAGGCAGCTTATAGAACCATCCAACATTTGCGGGTGGCGCTGGGGCGGTTTTTTCCAGGTTTCTATCCTGGAAATGCGCGGATACTGATTTCAAGTCATCACGAATTTTGAGGGTTGAAACCACTCAGTGAACTTTAGGTTTTACTTGTGGTGCTTTTCTTTCTAGAGGTAATTCATGGGGATTATAAGCCACCAAACATAGGCGGTACCAAAGAAATTGTAGGTGTGACTTGCTTGCGCGCTCCGCCGTTGCTACATGTCCCATTTTCTGAGAGTTTTAAAGGTCATAAAACACATGATTCAAACATATAGAATTTATGGGCCAAGGTGATTCTTGAGGACCTGGATCACCAACCTCTCATCAACGATGTGATTTTTCTCTTTTCGCAAGATTCCTTTTTTTTGGTTTTCCGCCATCGGTTGATCCCACGCGCGATTTTTTGGCGAGGCTGGATCTGTTTTCCTACTACTTTTAGACGTCATCCCCGCAGTGGTCATCATGATGAGTGCGGTGGTCTCTTGGCGAAGTTCCGTTGTTGAGTTTCCGATCTAAAACCTCTTCCAACCATAGAATGGTTTTTTTTTGGGGTAAACTATGGTAAATTCATGTAAATTCCATACAACAGATTTCAAGCCAGATGTTTTGTTTCTTTTTGGGGACGTGCGGAAGGTCGTTCAGAGGGGATTGAACCAACAAACAAAGCAACACGGGGAAGTTTGGAGGACAAAAAGACAAGAGCTTGAACCAGTCAATCAGTCAAACATGAGTGATATCTATCAGCAATTTCTCGTCCATCATGGACTGGCCCTGATACTACAGTAATTCATCATTACACCAAGCCGGAAAGAAATGAACCAATCAGCCGGGAATCAATCAGCCTGACCAATGGGTTTGTTGTTTGATGATCCTCGTCACTAAGAAATGGAGGTTTCCGTTTCGTCATGGGGGTACCCCCAGTTATTTTCTCCATTTTATGGTCGGATTTTCCATGAAAAAAAACATCTATTTTGGGGTACCCCCATTTATGGGAACCCCCAAATCATACATTTTGCTTAAGGTCTTCAATCTTTGTATCATCATACATCTTCGGTCATGATTGCTTCGCCCAGCATCCATGCCACAGTGGGACATCAATTGATTCGTTCAAGGGGTGTCCTGTAAAATGTCCCAACTGAGGCAATCCAATATTTCTTCATCTTTGATGATTAAATCACATAAACATCCACCAAATTGTTGGTGAAATCCCACTCAATCCCCAAAAAAGTTTCCATGAAAAAAAAAATCTATTTTGGGGTACCCCCATTTATGGGAACCCCCAAATCATACATTTTGCTTAAGGTCTTCAATCTTTGTATCATCATACATCTTCGGTCATGATTGCTTCGCCCAGCATCCATGCCACAGTGGGACATCAATTGATTCGTTCAAGGGGTGTCCTGTAAAATGTCCCAACTGAGGCAATCCAATATTTCTTCATCTTTGATGATTAAATCACATAAACATCCACCAAATTGTTGGTGAAATCCCACTCAATCCCCAAAAAAGTCACCATGAAATCCCATGAAAATTCTCAAGTTCTCACCATTTTCCCATATTTTCCCCATGGTTTCCATAGGAAATCGTCCTTTTTCTCCCCATGGCGGCCATGGAAATCGCTCCGCTTTAGGTGGCTGGACTCAGTGCCGATATCTCTCCGGATCACACCATTTGGAAGGTGCCGGGGGGCATTTTTTAAAAGGTGCCAGTGGTTGATGTAATTAATATACTGTGTATATATATATTATATGGCTATGATTGGGATGATTGGGATGATTGGGATGATGATCCCCAATTGAATAACCATTTAACATAGCCATGGAAAATGGCCCATAGAAATAGATGGTTTACCTATTAATAGCATGGTGATTTTCCATGGCTATGTTAGTCATAACCAGAGGGTAATATATACTGTGTATATATGGCTATGGGTCAATACCTATTAATACCATTTTTAGTGGGATGAACATCCATTTACCAGCTATTTTGATGTGAACTACAGGGGGACAAGGTTTTGACACACTGCCATATATTATATATAGTATAGATATCCAATTAATAGGTATTAGGTGTGATATACTGTGTATATATTATATATATACAGTATAGATATCTAATAGGTATTAGGTATATAATAAGAGTAATCATAATAACAATGATAATCGATAGTAGAATATCTGTATATATATAATATCTACTGTGGATGGCAAAATCCTGCACCCGTTGTTTCGGCATGTGGTTTATCCCATAAATGAATTAGGGTTTCAACCATCCTTTTGGTGGTGCAGGATTTCTTCCACCAATCGTAGGTGCCAAGTTGATAAAGTGTACATGATATATTTATATATACATATATATTTACATATATATATATGTATATATATGTATATATATATGTGTATATATATATATATGTATATATATGTATATATATATGTATATATATATATATGTATATATATATATGATGATGATATATGAGGTATACACACATACATACACATTTACATATATATATATTAATAAAACTAATATTATCATGTATACATGATAAACAGAACAAACCTCCAGGGGATGAAACTCTTGGATGACATAAACCATTGACCAACCAGTGGAATGGGATGGGATGGTATGTTTCATGTCTCAAGTAGACCTAAGAAATGGTTGGACATGGGGAAATTCTGTTGAGTTCTGGTTGTTTGAGGAGTAGGGCATGGGTCGATATGACTTATTGGCACCCCAAAATCTGCGTGGTTGATGAATTTGGACCGTGACTGGTGACTGACTGAGCATGGGGTCCCCAAGAAGATGGAAAAGAGATGGCCATGGAAATGCAAGGAAATCACTGTTCTATCTTTTGGGACCTCCATACAACACCTCAAGCAAGGAAGCTGATGGTGGTTCGGAATTCAAGGACATGTGCCTTTTACTCTTAATTGACTCTCTTGTAGACACCCACTTGGAGACAATGGTTGATGGTTCCAAGAGAAATCCAAACAGGGAACACTTCGTCACGGCCGCCTGATAAGCCCATTGCCGACTGGCAGCTGGGATACACGTATCATCTATTGATGTTCCCAAGGCGTCATTTTAGATTTGCACATTTTCCATAGGGGATTGAACACATAAAATCGTGGCAAGATAGTGGTTTAGCTTCGAAAAACAAAAACAAAAACTGATGGCAATAATAGGAACTGGTAGTGGTAATGTATCATCCAGCTACCTCTAAGCAGTCCGGGAATTTTGGTCAACGTTCCCAAAAGGAGATTTGTATTTGTACAGTGTATATATATATATGTATTATACAGGAAGCCCCTTTCAAGGTACTTGGATGTGCATTCAGGTTGGAAACTGGCTATTGTAACCTCGCTTGAGCGGTCCCTGTCTTTTGGTTTCTCCGATTTGGTAACTGAAGGGCTATCCCCATATTCCCGCTTACGATTCAGTGAAGGGTGATCAGATGTTTATAGATGTTTCATGGACTCGAATCTCAAACAATCACTAGTCATAGTCAGTTTGTTATATCATGTTATATCCATTTATATGGCAGTGTGTCAAAACCAATAGTACCCCTGTAGTTCACATCAAAATAGCTGGGTTAAAATGGATGTTCATCCCATTAAAAATGGTATTTTCATAGGTATTGATCCATAGCCATATATACACAGTATATATTACCCTCTGGTTATGACTAACATAGCCATGGAAAATCACCATGCTATTAATAGGTAAACCATCTAACATAGTCAGTTTGTTATATCCATTTATATCCCATGATCTTCTCACTATATTCCCGCGGCTGTGATCCTCCAGCCAAGCGGTTCAGGTCTTTGAGATCTCTTTCACGCTTTTCTTCATTGGAGATGCCTGTCTCCATAGGAAAAAGGGATGGGCTTCACCTACAGCCCCTCCCATTTTTTGTTTGTTGGTTTAGAACCCCATCTAAATATAATTATAAGTATCATACACTATTGTTATTATAGTCATAAAACAACTTAGCTAACTATGGGGCCCCATCCTGTATGAAAAAAACATAATTCGTAGCCAATGACAGATCTGACGGGTCCTAAGTCTGGAAGCGGCGGATTTAACATAGGCTAACACGCGCCCAACAAGGGCCCAATATACTCCCAACATGAGCCCTACAAAGGGCCAACATAGAACGTATATGGCTTTACTGGAACGGAGCTAACACTCGGGTGTGGGCGGTTGTCATCACGAAGCGACCAAAATGAATCTATAAATAAGATTTTTCAAATAAGCAATTAAACAGAACATGGAAATAAATTCATGGATAAGTAAATAGATACATGAAGAAGCTAACGGGCAAGTGAGTAAAATCATGTATATCATATGTATATATATATAATATAAGTAGTATTTTTTTTTTCCGTGTGCCGTGCTTCCCTGGGGGAACCTATGATACCCATTGAGTAGCGTTTTTTTTTTTTGCATCCAGAAAAATAGATAAGGTGGGAACTCCACAAGACATATTATGCCCCAGGCGTAGGCTCCCATGCAGACGGCGTAGGTTGCGTAGGCATTGGCGTAGGCTCATTTTGGCCTACACCGCGTGTAGACACGTGTTGGCAAGAGTTAGAACTCATTAATTTTGCCTTGGTTACCCTCTGGTAAATTAACATAGACCCTGAAAATCACCAATTGTTAGAGGAAACTAATCTTCCAACCCCTATCTACCAGGGTCTATGTTAATTTACTGGAGGGTAGTTGTGATATTTGTAGTTTGTGGTTCCAAAGCCTAAACTGCCACCATCGGAAACAAAAAAAAGGCAAGGCATGGCCATGTAGGCAAAGCCTAAACTGCGTAGTACGCTCGCGGCTCGACACTGCTTAAAAACCAGACCCCTAGCGTAGGCGACCTCATGCAATGGCACATGTATTATGATGTAATAATTACTTATATATATATAATGATATACTATTACATGTATTATCATAGTATTACTATGTAATAGACAGTTGTGTAGGTTGTATGTTGGTCATCGAAAGAGGATCAAAAACCACTGTAAATTCCCCAATTCTTGATGCTCAAGAGGTGGTTTATAGTTGGGTTCCATCTAAACCGTGAATCCTCAATTCTCATGGTTAAAGCACGTTAAATCCATGGATCAAAATCATCAAAATCCCTTTTTTCCATGGATCAAATCCTTATTTTCTGGAAAAAACATGCCGAACGCCCCCTCAGGAAATCTTCGTGAAACTCAAGGTCTTCGGAAGCCGGGAGTTCCTTTGCGGTGCAGACTGGTCCCTGAGCTGAGGTTTTTGAAATCCAAGGACCTGGTGGAGTTCAAGAATTTTGGATGGTCAAAAAACAGTCACTTATTATGTACAGAAAAAAATGTGTATAATATATATATAATATATATATATATACGTATACAATCAAATCTGTATGTATATATAATATATATATATATTATATATATTATATAATATATATATATAATATATATATATATATAATATATATATAATATATAATATATAATATATAATATATATAATATATATATATATAATATATATATATATAATATACACACAGATTTGATTGTATACGTATATATATATATATATATGTGACAATGTGACACAGCCAAATCTTTAGGGATCTTCCTGCTGCAGCCGACTAGAATCAATTTTTCACCGCCTAATCTCTTTGAAAACTCGTACCATCTTTGAAGGATGAACATTTCAACATCCACCCACCAGCTATTGTGGAACTGAAACCCACAGAGCCATGTGAGAAGTTCCGCTCTTACAGGTCGATCGAAGGGTATGGCTCAAAATCATTGATCCACTTGGGGATGGTTAAACAATGTTAAATATGTAAACACTCAAAATTGCAAAAAACATCCGGGTTCATGGGTACCTTATTTTTGAACCATGGTAAAATTTTTGTGTTTTTTCTCATGAGTTTTACCCCTTGCTCTCGGTGGTTTAACCGGTACAGTAAATTTTTATTGAGACCAATTTTGGTATTTTGTTATATTTCATTGGATCTGAATGCTATATACTGTATATACATATATGTACTGTATATATATATATATCTTAAAATGGGGGATCCCCAAGTCACCATCCGTTTCAATACCAACATGGTCTAAGGACTTGGATGATTTGGTACCCCCATAGGACACCTCGATAAGTTTTTCTTAGGTAGATCTCCCCGTCCATGTCCAAGGTACTGGAGTTGGTTTGACATTCTCTGTGTCCCTGGGCCGGACCTAGAAAAGGACATTCGAAGTTTGGAAAAAAAACACCGGAAACCATGGGATCATCATAGGATTTCACTGGATTTAACCATGAACATTGGATGATAGTTGATAGGGCATTTCATGGGGATTAAACATCAACTGGGGGGTGATAGTTGACATTTCTAGCTATGGGACCATGGTTCGCTCCAGATGGCATTGTGCAGCAGGTGGTCACCGCGTTGATTGACATGGGGATCACCTACAGCCAGATGTTAACATCCAGCGAAGAGCCGAGCGATTCTGACCTTCAAGAGAACTCGGCGGCAGGAGACTGTGGAGATTACAGTTCGCGAACTGGAAAGATCCACCATGCTATCAATGGGTAAATCCACTATTTCTATGGTCATTTTCAATAGCTACGTTAAATTACCAGAGGGTATCTATGTAGATCTAATCTTGGCTCAAAAATTGCAGCGGCATGGCTGGTTTACTACACAGCCACTGGAAAATGGCTGACATCAGCCACCAGGGTCTGATTTTTCAGCGCATTTCATAATCGTCTTGGCTGGTGAAAAAGAAACATAAGTTGCTCATTTCATCTGTCGCAATGTTTCGCAGCCGCAGGAACCTTGGGCACACTGAAGATGTTGAAGCTAGCACGGCTGGGACGAATCGTTCGCCTGCTCAAATTCAAGATTTTTCAGGCGGCTGCGGGGGCAGCTCGGGCAGCTCGGGCAGATGAGCTCTGAGAAAGGTGATCATGTGGGATTCGAAGCCATAAACCATCCCATTTTGATCACCATTTCGGTGGTATAAACCATCCCCTGTCATGGTTTATGGCAGGGGAACCCCCACAGCAATCAGCTCGGATCGTCAAACCCTGAGATGAGTCGAGACGAGTTCATTGGGATGACTCGAGGCTTTCTCCGAAATACCTCGAGTACCCCAGACGACAGTGACTTAATCATCATTTTTCTCACTAACATGTTTTATGACATGGCTATTTTGGCGGCTATATGTATCATATTGTAACCTAAATTTTCAGAGACATATTCTTCATATTTATCCAATCCATTCTTCATATTTTTTAGGGATAACTATGTTTTTTCTATGTTTTTCTGGTGAAAAATCCTGTTTTTTTCCTGGTGAAAAGTCAGCATTTTTTTCACGGAAAACAATTGTGAGCTCGCCTTGAGGAGCTCAAGTTGATGATTCAGGGAGCAGCTCGGACGCTGTGAGGGGGCTTTTCTCCTGGCTTCGGGGATGATAAAGAATATATAATGATATCTTTCATGGTGATTTGTGTATTTTTTGAAATGGGGAAGATTTAGTGGTGATTTAGTGGTTATTGTTGTGATTGATAGGAGTAAATCATTATGGTTCATCCTGGTTGATCCTCCGGAATTCCTCAAAGGTGGGAAAATTGCCATATTTTGCCATACCTAGATGGTATGTAGAACATAAATGATGTAATCCATACGGACTTTTTGAAAAAATCCAGCAATCTCCCCAATTTCTTGGATCTACCAGGCAAACTCAGAGTTTGCTATGGAAGTCACCATATTTCAAGACGGTAAAGCGTCGAAGTAAATGGGCCGTGGCTTTCATAGCCACGTTAGTTTACTGGAGGCTATAGGATCTCAAGCACTTCCTGTATAACTACAGACTATATAACTGGAAAATTGAAAAATACATGACATACCTGGAAAAAGTGTACAACAGCATCTCTACATGGCCAGTGAAAACCTAAACCCCACAGGGTACCCAACGTATTTGGAGTCGGAATATCACTGCCCCAGACGGCTAGTGATTCCCCAATAACGTTTGGGAGAAACATAGCGATGAATGGAACATCGCCTGTAGATTCACCTTTGAAGACCTTTGTGATTCAAACCACTTATAACTTATGGGCTAGTTATGGCCGGTTGCTTCAGTATGCTTACTACGATTGTTTCTGGAAAATCATCATCTTTGCTGGAAAAGTCCCCTTAAAAACTGATCATTCGAGTGGGCGCAAGCCACCAGTTCCGCCACTGAAAAAATCACCATCTTAAGCCACAAAAACAACTCCGCCACTCTTGCTTGCATCAACTCAAAACCACCCTTGTATATTTGCGAACCAGCCAGTTTTTTTTTGGTACTTTTCGGTTGCTGCTTCTTTTCAAAACACAGCATCACACACTTTCTGCCACCCCACGGTGCCGGGGTCAGGTCTTTACTGGGCTGCGGGTGCTCTTTTGGGCTGTGGTGCTCTTTGGCGGATGCATGTACCTCCTAGGCGTCGTCACAAGGACGTTGGAGCTACGAACCCTTTGAGAAGGTAGATTCTGGGAATCATGGCATTGGAACATTCCCCATTTAAAGATCATTTTCTCACAAAACCTTCATTGTAACCCACAAAAAGATGGATCAATTTATCACTGTTTTTGAATTGGAGCTTGCCAACTTCTATCTTTTGGGGATTGCTAATTCCAGCCCAGCTACAAAGTTGGTAAAGTAATAGTAAATCATCTCCATTTCTTTTCCTAAATGGGTGGTACAAAGCATCAACACATTGGTGCTTACTACTTTACTAACACGTATCATCACGGTTGCTCCAAGTCATTCGTAGTTTGTCTAGCCACCAGGTGGCTAAATATGGTAAATGGCTCATTTGATGGTTTTTTACATGTAAAAAAAACATCCAGAAATAGTTGTTTAATGGGGATTCATGGGGAACTATGGATCTAGAACATTCCCATTAAACCAAATTAACCCCCCCAAACGTAGCCTGGTAAATCGCAGGACGCTCTACGGGGCCCACTTCGAAGAGTCACCTGGCAATTCACCACTTTTTTTTGGACATCTCAGGCATCGAAAGTGGCTTCAAACCCACACATATGTCTCTCTCTATATATATATATGTCTATATATATAATATGGAACATATATTGCAATATATACTGTACATAATCATATGTAACTGGGTGAAGGGTAGCTGTTTATGGTCGATGCTTTTAGCCGTTGGTGTTTCATGCGGTATTTCTCCTGCTGGGCCACAGGCTCAAAACTGGCGCTCAAAAAACGAGCAAAACCGTAGCAACCACTGGTAATTCAATATCGGATTTCCAAGTATCAACTATTTGAAGGTTATATAGCATCTCAAGTAGGGGCCCTTAGGGGTATACCTAGTAACAAACCTCAAATTCCGATGTTTCGATTGTCGTGAATCTCCCACTATTACAGAAACGGTCATTTCCTCAGTACAATCGGTTCGCACGTAGGAGAATCTTCACAAGCATTATGAAAAATTGATGAGGCGTTTTGAACAATGATTTGTGGTTGTTTCGAGGTTTGAAGGTCCAGGTTGGTTTGGTAGTTGATCATCAGCTGAGGGACAGAAATGGGCAGCTGCAGCAAGAGATGCTTAAAGTCCCGAGTAACTATGGAGCCAAAGAACCCTAGTCATAGAAGTGCTTAGTAGCTGGGATATATATATACTTGTACATATTATTTAATTATATATATATACATACATGCATGTTACATATATAAATAATGATGTGTATATACAAATATAGATATAATGTGTATATATATATAATGTATATATATATATATATGTATATTATGTACATGTATGCATATTGCTTATCTTGTTCAGCGAGTTTCTTTGAGGTTTAATTCTGTGCCATCGGCGATGTTCACCTCCTTCAGATGTTTTACGGACGGCTGCTCTGATTACAAAGGGTCGCCTTGGCGGCAAGCCAGATGCGAGCTGGGGATGGCGGTGAAGCACAACGGAGTCTGATGATGCTTGATGTCTCTGTTTACCCTCTGGTGAACTATTGAAAATGGCCATTTATAGTGGATTTTCCCATGAAAAATGGTGATTTTCCATTGCTATGTTAGTTCACCAGAGGGTATGCTTGATCAACTGGATCAATCACTGCAACTAAGAAACTATGTTTATGCCTATGTCGATATGATTTTGGAGTCGAGAGTCCCGGGTCTTGTGTTTTCAGCATATTATGTGTCTGCTCTTGGGATGCTTGTCCAGAGGACAATGTGAGTCTAGGAAGGCCAGATTGCAGAATCATCTTTACATCAAAGACCATTTAGTGTCAAACCAACATTTTCCATGTTTCGAACATTGTAACATTTCCCACATATCCATAGAATATCTTTACACATGTTCGATGTTTCCATCATTTTTTACTTTTGAAAATAAAGTTCATCAAAAATCCAGTGATTTATCATGTGCTTCATCAAAAATCTAAAGAAACATTTTGGGGTATCCCGGTATCCCCTTTGTTGACAACGCCATATCCATAGAACTTCTGTTTCATCCCCCAAAAACCTCTGCAGGCAACCTTTGCAGGAACAGCTCCGCATCAGAAGTCCGCAAGGTGGAGGAATCTTCATGCGCCTCGGAGCAGCAAAAACAGGACAATTTACGGGAAAGTCCCATATTTCCATGGAGAATCGGTGGTTTCCGGTGTTCCGATTTTCCGATTTTCCCAACGAAACCAATCTATTGAGAGGCCTACATGCTGCATCTAGCTGTTTTCAGGTGTTTGTCTTGGAGGGCCCTGATTTTTTTATTCAGTGCAAAGTGTGTACCCTATTCTACCCTGGTATGGTATGGTTTCGTATGGAATCTTAGCAAAGACATGTGTACCTTAAGTCTTAACTTTCGACCTATTCAACATATAACCATGCATACATACATACATACATACATACATACATACATACATACATACATACTTACATACATACTTACATACATACATACATACATACATACATATCCAGGACGATCGTCGTTTTCAGAGCGTTCTCCCAAGATCTTTTTCCTTCTGGGTCAGATTAGTCCACCATGGTGGCTGTAGAGTTTTACCACTGATCTCAAGGCGGTGATCAGGTGATGGGGGAACTAGGTCGCTCACAGCGGACCGTGATACGACATTTCTCATATTCCAAGTACATTGAATATGCGCAATTACATTGGGCAAGAATCTTGCAGGATTAGTAAGGGTTGAAATGCGTAATTACAGTGGTTGAAATTTCTCATGCGTAGTTCCCAATCTAATTTGGTGCTAAACCGTCATATCAAGTTGCGGACAACTATTAGTTTTTTGGAAACTTAATGAATTCTTTGAACAGGTAATTCTATGGTGGAGACATGCCTGGGTTTTTGGACCATAGGATTTCAGGTTTTCCTCAGCTTTCAGCTATACTGTACCACGACAACGTGCCGTAGCGTAGCATCATCTTCATGACACAAGTGCAACGTTAACACACTCGCCCACCCACATCACCCCTCCGTGTCAGCGTGCTATCATCACCGAGACGTCCACTAACGCAGCATCATCTTCATAAATGCAAGAAAAAACGCACTAAAACCCATTGGCTGTTCCGGGCAGTGGGCCAACTACCAAGGCTATACAACGCTACCTGCACATGGTTCGTTACTTCAAATTCTTTCAACATATGTTCTAGTCTTTCAGCCTGAGATCTTAATCGACGATATTTCTGGGATTCAAACACTAAGGTTTGTCCGAAGGCAGTTTATTAAGATGATAAAACATGATAACACCAAACAATTGCCATAGGTTTTGATACGTATTTTGTCTATTTTTGTCTACTTCGTTAGGGACGATTAGGGACGATCAACCATGGTTTTTTAATCCAAGCCTACGAGTTGGGCTTAATCCCTCGGTGCTGAGGGTGGCCTACATGCTTCTCTTCCTGTTCGTGGCATGTCGGGATTTTTTTCGCGGTGGGGGACCATCGCTTTTGACAATGGGTATGGGTCAATACCTATTAATACCATTTTTAGTGGGATGAACATCCATTTACCAGCTATTTTGGGGTTCACTAGGGGTACAAGGTTTTGACCCATCCCCAATGACCACCTACCAGCCCAAAACCTGGAAACAGACTCTGTCTTGCGGGAAAAAAGATAAAAAAGTGCCTCTTGTTGTTGGTGAATTTCATCAAGTATGACGTTGGATGACGTTGGATGACGTTGGATAGACGTTGTATGACTGGTAGCTGTCCAAGTCGGGGTTTGCCACTGGGTGAGCTGAGGTGACCATTGGAATCTTCAATCTGATCATGGTCTCTTGGACTATCTTGAAGCTGCGATGCAGAAAGATATAAGGGCAGAAAAAAGGGCGGTTTAGAAAATGGTTTATCAGTTTATCATAGTTTATCATGTTCTTTTCTCAGCTATTTAATCCTATTATCCTTGGAAAGTGGGGTTGATTCTTTGGAAGAACCTGCCAGAAAATGGGAAGACCATGCCCCAGGCGCATTCCCCGGGCCGAAATACCTGGCGGCCTGAGGCTGTCTTCATCGACAATGTCACCGAGGGTAGCACCAAGAAACGCCAGAGACAACTGGGAGCGAATGGGCCCAAGACGGAATATGCCTCTCGGATTTTACTATGAACATCTATTCACATGTCACATGAGTCACATATATATAATATAATATATATATATATATTACTGTAATCCATCCTAACATATATATATATATTAAGCATTATTAACCCATCCTGATATCATGGTGATAAAAGGTGGGACATCAGAAATTTTGGGTGATTTTCCCCCACCTGTCGGCGAGTCGGGATCAGGTGATTGCAAACACCCTGAGACACATCATTTTGTCCAACGTCTTGCGGAAAGAGGCACGGCACGGCAGCAGACCAGAGATGACCAGAGGCAGATTTTCCCTTGACATCTCAAGACATAATTGGGAGCGTTTCCCTTCGTTGCTCAATACATGCGAAAAAATGTAGGACTTTAAGTATGCTGTTGATTTCGCACTTCGAATCCTGTGCTGTGTATACAGTATCAGTATCGGCCGCCGTTGTTTTTTCGCTTCTGGGCAATTTGAAGCTCTGCTGCTCACCGACATGACACATTGAATTCTGATACAAGTTTCTTTGCCCTTCAGAATTCTCCCTGTTGGATACCCAAGAATAGATCTGGCAATGCCGCAAGCAACAATCAGGACCGATGTGGGTCTTGATGAATTTGGACCCATGTTTCTGAAAGGTTCGCCCCATCATTCCACTTTCTAGGTTGATATCGCCCCATCTGGAATGCTACCCTGGGGTAAACGAAAAGACAGATGTGGAAGATCCACTATTTAAGATACTATTTGTATATAGTGACTGTTGTCCTTTAACCAAAAACATGGGCTGAAATCACATCTACGTGAAGGTTGAAAGGCGTTGAGCCTAGGGTAGATGTCCTTTTTTTGGTTGGCATGTCCATCTTTTCGCATAGTTCAGGCAGAAGACGAGATGCGAATGGAGGCAGGAACAAAGTTAACAAAGTTGTCGGCCAGTTGGCCAGAAAAGCAGTTGGGGTTGGTCTAAACATACCTAAAAAACGAGGTACATGAGGTAAACCCTAGATTCAGTTTACATAGGAAATGTGATGTGTATTCTGTTGAAGCTGTTGAACAGCTGTTGTTACCTTATTTTTGCCTTTAAAAAGAACACCCAGTCGTGATCATCGAGAAGATCATTTGAGCAAGCAGACATGTGGAAGGATGAGGTTTTGACTCTTTGACCATCAAACATTTGAATACTAACGCAAGATAGGGATAGATAAATCAGAACGGGACTCCCTTTTGGATCGCGAGATCACCATTTGGGATATTTGGGATTCGGGGAATCATCCAAAATGGCCCAACGGGCCTATCCAGATGGATTCCAGATGGATTAGATGAAACCCAACATATATACCATATGGGATCCATGGGTGATCAGTGCTGTTTAATCCCATTCAATCAATTTCAATCATATGGGTGCACCCCAGTCTACCTTGGACCATGCGGTAAAAATCCGCTGCTTTTTATCATGTCTTGGGGCTGCAAAAAAATTGCGACCGGTAAGGGAAGGGATTCTCCACGTTGGATGTTCCCCAAAGATTTCGCAGATCTTCCCAGTCCTATGGAGCTGTGGTGAAGTTTCTTTTTTTCTCCCAGAAGCTGTAGTGATATCCCCAGTTCAATCTTGCACGTTTTCCCGGTTTTTTTCATGGCTACAGTCTTAACATACGTATTCACGAGATGGGAGAAGTATGGATAAGTGATATAAATCGTCATGTTTGATGGCTACAACCGCATTTCCATCCGTTTCCCCCTGTTTTTTTCATAGTGTCCCCATGAATTCTAAACGGTTTATCATAGAATTGGATGATGGGAAAATTTACAGGAAAGCCCTATATTTGATGGTAAAAACCCATGGGTTTCCGGTTAAGATTTTCCCCAACAAACCAATCCATCTTAGGTTTACCCCCTGTAGCAGCTCCATTCCAGGGCGCGGATGGACGACGGATTTCCAACACCTTGAACGAGAAGTTGGTGGCGCTGCAGGAGATGTATGGCAGCTTGGACGAATGGGGGAGAACTGGATGTGGGTCAAAATGGAAGACCATCAATGGGACCACAGATGGAAATGTCTAATTAGTTTAGTATTAACCATCCATAATTTTGGGGTACCTAATTTTGACCCATACCCATTTAGAACTGGATTTTTGAACCAGAAATGGATAGAACGTTTCAACGAACAGCAAATGGATAGATCGGATAGACATGTTTTTTTTTTTTTAACCAGGCAATTGTGGGCTTTGACTTGGAAAAGTGGAACCAACCAAGCAATTTTTCGAAATTGGGAACAATGGCATACCAGAATCTACCAAAATAACATCTGGTACCCTCTGGTAATTTAACATAGCTATCGAAAATTGCCATTGAAATAGTGAGTTTTCCCATTAAAAATGGTGATTTTCCATAGCTATGTAAACGTTTACCAGAGGGTAATCATTGGATTTTCATGGGATTTTCGAGGCGATCGATCGCTTCAGCGGCGCTGTCGACCGATGAGCGCCGATTTGAAAAGACCACTCCATTCAGGTTGATGGCGCAATTCAAGAATCCGTGCCATCTGAAAAAAAACAGATTCTGACCTTGGAGTATATATATATTATATATATATTATATACCAACAAGTCCGAGTCCCATTTCCTGAGAGTTCGCTTCATCCTTAGAACTTTTTTCCAAAGTTTGCGCAACTGTTTTTTGGGTTTTCCTCCGACGTCCGAGGTTACAAACCCCACACCACGGAGGAGTACATCGAGTTAGCGGACAAGATCCGAGAAGAGATGACTGAGCGCGATGTGGTGCGGGACACCTTTGAGGGATTGCAAACCACCTTACATCATCATCCATATACAACAGTTCATTACCTTGCCGTACATACACATAGACGTACACGTTATACATATATATATATGTATATGTATATATGTATAATCGAAGGAAGTTTAGAAGTCAAACTTCTGACAATATGGACAGATGAAAAGCAGAGATGGGAAGAGTCAGAGAGAAGAGAAGAGTAGAAGAGAGAAGAGCAGAAGAGAGAAGATCAGAGAAGAGAAAGTCAGAAGAAAGAAGATGCAGGTGCGCGAGAAGGTAGGAAAGTCGCGAAACACTGTCCGGAGGGTCGGGAAGTAGGCTCGCTAAAGCGGCGGGTGCGGAGCCATCTGGCCGGGTGAGAGATGAAAAATTGCACGCCGTTGTGGCGCGAAGCACATTTCCAAGTCAAAATGCACAAAGCACCACATGTTCGGAGCACTTTTGGAAGTTGCGATGTCGAAAAAGTGCACGCCGTTGTGGCGCGAAGCACACTTCCAAGTCAAAATTTTCAAAACACACCAGCTCCGGACCACTTTTGGAAATTGAGATGTCGAAAAAGTGCACGCCGTTGTGGCGCAAAGCACATTTCGAAGTCAAAATGTACAAAGCACACCAGCTCCGGACCACTTTTGGACGTTCAGATGTTGTTTCGCATGCGCAAGGGATTGTGGACCTTGTCAAAAGTGAGCAAAACGTGAGGGTTTTGTAGCATTTCCAAAAACGATGGCAGGCGTGGTGGAAAGATGCATTTTCCGTGGCAGGCGCAGTACAAGAGACATCTTCATCAGAGCTGTTAGGAGGTCCGGGCGCTGATTTCCTGAGAGGGGTTGCATTTTGGAGCCTGAGATTTTCAGGTTTGCTGAGATGATTTTGCGTGACAGGTGCAGCACTTCGTATGACCTGCAATCACTTTTTCGTGGCAGGAGCAGTACTTCAGACAGGTGGACTGGAAAAATCGCAAAACGCATTGGTACGAGGCCGTCAGCTCTGCACTCAACTTTCCATTTTTGAAGGACGTCTCGCAGAATTGTTTCGTTTTTGATGTTTTCAACTTCGAAAAATGAGAAAGTCTCGCAGAATTGCTTCGTTTTTGATGTTGTCAACTTTGAAAAATGAAGAAGTCTCGCAGAATTGCTTCGTTTTTGACATTGTCAAGTTCAAACATTGAGGAAGTCTCGCAGAATTGCTGCGTTTTTGACGTTGTCAAGTTCAAACATTGAGGAAGTCTCGCAGAATTGCTGCGTTTTTGACGTTGTCAAGTTCAAACATGGAAGTCTCGCAGAATTGCTGCGTTTTTGATGTTGTCAAGTTCAAAACCTGAGGACGTCTCACAGAATAGCTTCATTTTCAAGCTTGCAGAAAGACAGGTAGATAGACAGACAGACAGACAGACAGACAGACAGAGAGATAGACAGATAGATAGACAGATAGATGGATTAGATTAGATAAGATAAGATAAGATTACTGTAGATAGATAGATAGACAGATAGATAGATAGATAGATTAGATTAGATTAGATTAGATTAGATAGATAGATAGATAGATAGATAGGTAGATCGGTAGATACATAGATACATAGCTAGATAGATGAGATAGATAGATGGATGGATAGATAGATAGATAGCTAGATAGCTAGCTAGATTAGATAGATAGATAGATAGATAGATAGATTAGATTAGATTAGATTAGATTAGATTAGATAGATAGATAGTCAGAGAAAGAGAGAAAGCAAGAGAGAAAGAAAGAGAGAAAGAGAGGAGACCTCAACCACCTGTCGGTCCATCAGTGGCTTCGCTCTGCCATCCGTGATTCACAACAAACAACTTCTCCTATAGGTTTCCTATTTTTGAAACGTCCGCCACCGCCTTGTGCGGTACTACTGGTATATGTATAATATGTATATATATATATATAGAATATACATATATGATAAGAGAGAGAGAGATATATATATATATCTATGTAAAGGTACATATGTACATATATGTACGTACACATGTGATGGCAAAAACTCCCATGGTTGAGAGGCCTTGCAAGGTTTTTTGGGACCTCGCAGTGATGGCATGAATTCTTCGGCCCACAGCGGCCCCCCGGGTTTGACCAATCGAAATCCATTGCTCAATGGTTGTTGAATCAGCATTCTGGATGGTGAAAAAAAATGAAAACACTGTTTTTTCCATGGTAAATCCACACTTTTCGATGGTTGAAACATAATTTTTTGATGGTTAAATCCATAGTTTGAGGTGGTTCAAACACAATTCTTGATGGTTAAATGCCCATAGTTGACGGTTCAAGTTACTGTTTTTGATTGTTAAATTCTTTGTATTGATGGTTGAATCACAATTTTTGATGGTACATCCAGCATTTTTGATGATGAACTCCAAATTTTTAATGCTAAAATCTCCATTTCTGATGGTATGTCATTTGTCACGCGCCAAAATTGCGGGGGTCCCCGTTCCGAAGGTGGGACGGTTCTGACCCCGGCCTCTCACAGGTGGTCACCAAGGAGGAGTTCAACCATTGGCTCACAACGGAAAAGGAATTCATTAGTAAGCCACTGGGTCGCAGCTGCGATAGCGGCCTCACTTTGATGGATCAATGAATTGAAGAAATGCATATTAGAATTGGCTTGAAATCGATGTTTTTTTATAAATTTGCAGATCATGGACCTTTTGAAGGAAGTGGCAGGCTTGAAAGTTTCATCCCAGACCCACATGGCCGTTTCTAAACTTGACCAGATATTATGGAATATTATGGAACATGCAAACACTGGATTGGTGGTTTCAGAGTTTCTGACTTCTGGCAGTTTGATTCTCCAACTATCAATTTATTGAGAGCTGGTGTGTTGAACGAGTCGTTTTCCTAGCCGGATGCATCATCTTGACCCTGGTTTTCAACATGGTCCTTGGGGTCCCAATTCGCCTGGAAAAAACAATGGTTTCCGGAGCATTTCCATCGCAATCCAAAGCGCATGGCACAAGGCTCGACGATGCGGAGATTGACCTCTCGTGCAAGCTTTCTGGCATTGCTATGTTTTGTTGAAGCAAGGGCTGCTGCACTGGAGCTTCACAGATGGTCATGTTTTGTTGAAGGTCATCATTTTCCTACATTTTGTTTGGGATTTGCCATGATTTGCTGATATTAGTTGAAGGTTATATATTATTAGTTTTTGCAATGTTTTTTTTTGTGATGCATCCATTGATATTTTTTATTATGGGTTCCGACCAGCAAGTCACAGTTGCCGGTTGTTCCAATCCCGACCGAACATGAGTATGGATTGAATCCAAAGTCTCATAGTTTGTGATGATTGTGCGGCCACTTTGAGATTTAAACAGTTTGTTTTACTTTTTAAAGACTCAACAAAGTTGCATTGACTCATATTCCAATGGATTGATTTCCGGTTCCGATTTTCCCTTAAACCAATCCATTGAATATTGACCCAAACCAACAACCCCTGCATGATGGCGCCAGCGATTTTTGAGCGCCCACCAGGTTTGATTTGTTTGACGTCTTAGACGCGGACTTGAGCGGAGAGCTCGAATTCGATGTGCCTTGGACATCCTTGGACTGTGTGCAACTGTCCCAAATCCCAATGGATTGCTATGGATTGGTTTAAGGGAAATTTATGGTGGAACACCCCATATTGGAAGAATCATGAAAAATGGTGAAGATTTCCCCCCTAAACCAATCCAAAAATGTCAAAAATCAGGCCCTGAAAAAAGGGATTATAGTATCCACGATCATCCATCAACCGCGGTGTTGATTTCGACGGCTACGCAGATGGGGTTCTAGAATTGGACATATCACGACCATAGGTAGGTTATAAGGGTTATTTCCCAACTTGTGGGGAGCCGCCATGGTTATTTCGTGTTATCCCCATCTGACCCATCTGAGTCGGCCCCGGCATCCCAGTCCGCGTAGAACTTGCGCAAGTGCTGGCCACGTAGTTATCGACAGTCATGGATCTGAATTTTCCCTAAGATTAACGTATTTTACCACATTTTACCTTTTATTTTTTTTAAATGAGATCAGCTCGTCAATTTCTCCTCAATGATCTATATTGATCTTCAAATCATGAGAATATATGGTCTAACTCCTCCGTTTTGATCCATTTCGTGTGTGAATCACCCATGTAAAAAATGGTTAACTTTCCATTTTCCATGGATTTCACCATGGGTTTTCCACATCTGCTAGGGAAACCCCTAGGCTATTCCATTCGATCCCATGAAAAATCTGGAAAATCCACCATGAACTTAGATCATTTATGATCATTTTTTAAAAAGAACCATTGGTTTTCCACATCTTTGTGGTGGTTTCCGTTTCGTCATGGGGGTACCCCATTTATCATCATTCATCCATGGAATGAGATGGGATTGTCCATGAATTTTGAACCACCAGCTATGGTGGTACCACCATTTATCTGGGTAAATTATAACGACCTCACTGTTCTCCCTCACTGGAAATCATGGTTAGGAAGGGAAATGATCCCCAAATGGCCTTATTTCAGGTGGGGCAGACCTATTGATGAAGCAGAAAGGCCTTATTTCAGGTTAGTGAAATATTATAATTTACACAGATTTATGGAAACCCCCATGGTGAAGGTTTGACCAGGTAAATCCACCATGCTGCTGAGGAGATGGTGGACGGACTGCTGAAATGTCGAGGCCCCGCCTCCAAGACGGATATCATTGCCATCAGGCGGGCGTTCGGCAAAGCCGCAACGTTGGGAGGTGACCTCCAAGAAGTCGTTAACTATAGAGTTATGTTATATATATATATTATATGGGGATGGATCAATACCTATTAATACCATTTTTAGTGGGATGAACATCCATTTACCAGCTATTTTGATGTTCACCAGGGGTACAAGGTTTTGACACACTGCCATATATATACATATTATATATATATATATATTTAATTTATACATATATCCATGGGTTATAGTTGGGCTAAGTGAACTATAGTTGTAGAACCCCAAAACATGTGAAAACTATAGAGATCTATAGGTTATCAGTTGGATTTTGATACATGTCATCTATAATCATCTATAATCATCTACAATCATCTACAATCATCTACAATCATCTATAATCACCTATAATCATCTATAATCATATATCATCTCCTATAATCATCTATAATAATCTATAATCATCTATAATCATCTACAATCATCTACAATCATATACAATCATATAATCATCTATAATCATCTACAATCATCTACAATCATATAATCATCTATAATCATCTACAATCATCTACAATCATATAATCATCTATAATCATCTACAATCATATAATCATCTATAAATCATCTCACCTATAATCATCTATAATCTCATCTATAATCATCTATAATCATCTACAATCATCATATAATCATCTATAATCATCTACAATCATCTATAATCATCTACAATCATCTATAATCACCTATAATCTATGGTATTTATTGGGGTTATAAGCCAACAAAAATAACTGGGAAAAGCAACTCGTAGGATGTGGGATGCCATGCTTTTTGGTGGGTCCCATGGTGGGATGGATGAACGATTCCAGGTGGGTCCCCCCAGTTATACCCTCTGGTTATGTCAACATAGCTATTGAAAATGGCACATTTATAGTGGATTTTCCCATTAAAAATGGTGATTTTCCATAGTTATGTTAGTTTACCAGAGGGTAAGTTGGTTTATAAGCCCCATTAAGCCATTAAGTATATAGCTATACATATATATATATATATACCACAAATCATAAATCCAAATGGATTCCAAACGGCAACCTAGTGAACAGTTGGGAGCCCCACCTTGTGACTTTTCCAGAAAACTTGGGTGTACAATTATCTGGTCGTGAGGAGGGAGCTATGGGTCGCTATGGGTCTCGATATTCCCTATGGAAAGGGGAGCCATCAACTTAGTCACTTATACAGTTGACGGAAAGCAAAGTTCCCTGACTGCTAGTAGCCCTGCATCTACCAATCCATTCGGGAAAATCATGGAAGACCCATGGTTTTTGGATTCCCAGTATAGATTAGGATGACCATAGCGGCCATCTCATCCCACTGAAGGCACTCACCAATACTCACCATCTCCCCATGGCACATGAATCAGCTCCGTCGATCCCACTGATCTCCGAAAATTCCATCTGCTTGGTGGTTTGGAACTTTTTTTTCCCATTCAGTTGGGAATAAAGTAGTCCTAGTCCCAGCTGACTCATATTTTTCAGAAGGGTAGGGTTGGTATACCACCAGCCAGCCTAATTATATATACCCTCTGGTTATGACTAACATAGCGAACTGGACAATGGCCCATTTACAGATGATTTTCCCAGCTATAAACCTCCATTTTAATGGATTTTCCATGGCTATGTTAGTCATAACCAGATGGTAGTATATAATAGTCCCATCCCCCCAGAATCCTTGGTCTGAAGCCGGACAGAATCACAGTGGTTGACCTTTCAGGGACACCTTTCCTGGTTGTGGCTTCAACTTTTGTCATGCCCGTGTGCTGGCCAGTATGACTGGGATGATAACAACTATATGTATATATATATATATGTATATATATATATGTATATATATATATATGTATATATATATATATGTATATATATATATATGTATATATACATATGTATATATATATATATATGTATATATATGTATATATATATATGTATATATATATAGGTACATGTACATACATGTACAATAATCCCATCACCCCAAAAATTAATTACACCCCGATAGATCGATCCAACATGATCCAATAACCAAAAACCTTCGATTCGTCATTTCAGATCCCACCAGTCCGTATCCCAAAAAGTCATCCCACATCCAGGTTGAAAACTGCCTTAGTTGTGAAGATGATGACGAAGGTCTGTGAGAAGCTTGGAATTGACAGCCCCTGACCAAAGGAACTTTGCAGCGCCCTCTGCGCTGCACTTTCTGCGTGGCTCGGGCCAAAACTTGGACCTGTTGGGGACCACAGTTGAATCATTGAATGAACTGGTCACAAAAAAAATCTGAGGAGCCACAAGGAGCCACAGAGACTCAGAAAAGAGGACATGTGCAACTACTGTTTGTGTTTTTTTCCATACATTTTACCCTAGGGGTAAACTAACACAAAAATGGTCATCACCATTTTGAAGAGGCAAATCATCTAGAAGTTTGGGACATGGCTTCCATAGCTATGTTTTACTGGAGGGTATTCAGAACCATAGAAATGGGAGGACCCCCCAATCCCCAAGTGACTCAGAGTTTGGCAGTTTCAACATTCGTCACGACCAAAACCCAAAAATTCAGCCTCCAATCATCAAGGATATGGAGAATCCATGAGAATCCCCCATTGATTGGAGGATTTTCCATGATTTTCCATGATTTTCCATGATTTTCAAAGCTCCGTGGCTACCAGGTGCTTGGGCCACTCAGCAGTGCAGCCCGCTGATGCCTGCTGTCGAGCGAATCGGAGCTGAAAGCCACGACACGAGGGACGCATCCGATGTATCCTAAGTGACAAATAAGAATCGTATAATAGTAAACCAGTTTGAGTCATGGATTATTCTGTTATATATATATACACATATGTATAGCTTATGTATTTGTATTATATATATATATATGGATCATATATATATATATACATATGTGGATTACATATGTATATATATATATGGATTACACACACACATATATATATATACACATATGGATTACACATATATATATGGATTACACATATATGTATATGTATGTGTATATACATATGTATTACACACATCTATATCTATATATATATATTGTACTAAATGGATTGTATATTTAAGTACATGGATTATGTATATATATATACATATGGATTGTAAAACATATAGGTTACTGTATATGATATCATATCTAGAGGATATATATATATATAGGTGATATATACATATACATAGATTATATACATAGGTTATATATATATATAGGTTGTAAACCATTCACGATTCCTGAGATGCAGGATGAGCCTTGTTCCGTAGCTGGTGGCCGATGTTCAAAATCACTATGGGTCACAACAGTCAAACCCCATGGAATCTGACACGTCCCCAAATCTCAAAAAAACACATGATTTACCCTCTGGTTATGACTAACATAGCCATGGTATAGATGGCCCATAGAAATAGATGGTTCACCTTTTTTCATAGCATGGTGATTTGCCATGGCTATGTTAAATAACCAGAGGGTAAATCATTATTTACCCTCTGGTAATTTAACATAACTATGGAAAATCACCATTATTCATGGGAAAATCCACTATTTCAATGGTCATTTTCCATTGCTATGTTAGTTCACCAGAGGGTATCATGATTTTTTATTTGTACTGATCCCCATATCTTGGACTGAACCGTTCAGGATCTCTCTCGCAAAACAAGCTGAGCAGAACTTGATTTGCTTCTGAACGAAGAAATCATCCGCTTGCGTGGTGTTCTGGTAGATAAGATACTGTATATGTACATGTCTATCATTTGCATCTGGTATATATATATATCCATGTATGATACTATTGCGTCTCCTACTTTTCTCCTTCTTTATGTTGGCTTTTTATTTTACATTTTCTTTTTCCATTTGATTTTGCATTCTCAAATTTGAGTTTGAACCTCCAGCCTCCGATTTCTTCGTGTTCACGCCTCCAAGTGTTCATCAAGGGTTTCCTTTCTTTACCCTCTGGTAGTTTAACGTAGCTATTGAAAATGGCCATTTTTAATGGGAAAATCCACTATAAATGGGCCATTTTCAATAGCTACGTTAAATTACCAGAGGGTATCTCTTTTCCTTCTTTCTCTTCACTTTTTGAGTCCACCTCATTCTTTCATTTTTTTCACGAAACATTTCCTTGTTTTGCATAGAAAAAAATCCGTCCTTTTCGTTCGGCTTTTTGCCGGTCCATTTCCTGTTTCTGCTGCATACAAATCGGAACATATATCATATCATATTATATATGTATATATATATATTATATCCATAAACTGCTCGCTTGAAACCATCTTGACACCATTTGCTGCTTTGTGGTTTCAAGTCTGTTCGATTTGTGATCCCACTTGTGGCTTCGGCCCTCAACGGATCGGCTTCGAGCCGCAAATCTTGGACCCGGCGACCAGTCTGACTTGTACCGATGACATGTGGATTGGTCTGAAAAATGAGGGGAGAAACCAATCTTTTTCTGGCTGTATACTTGATAATTCATATCCTGGTTGGTGGTTTGGAACATGAATGGATTATGACTTTCCATTCAGTTGGGAATGTCATCATCCCAACTGACAGTTTCATATTTTTCGGGGTAGGTATACCACCAAGCAGATACCATCATTTTCGAAAGGATGTATGGAGCAATGATTTTTTCAGACCGGCCCATGTCGTCAGGGTTTGCAGAGATTTCCGAGGTCCTGGGGATATGGTGCCATGGTGGTTGGTTGTGGTAGCCATCATTTCTTCAATTTTAAAGGTCTGTGACATATTATATACCCGTATCTATAATCATCTATGTGGTATATCTATGATATCTATGTGGACCCGTATCTATTTCAATCTAAGATATCTATTTTAAGGGTCTCTGAAAAATGCATCTGGTTGGTGGTGACTGGAACATGAATGGATTATGACTTTCCAGAAACAGTTGGGAATGTCATAATCCCAACTGACTAACTCATATTTTTTAGAGGGCTTGAAACCACCAACCAGTGTACGATTTGTTTACACACAAACATGTGCATATTGGAGTTACCTGTAGACCTGTATATGATTACTTATGTATACATGTATTTGTACAGATATCTGCGTTTTTTTTGTTTGTGTGAAGGGTCAGAAGACATATAGCAGTAGTGATGGATATTTGCCAATCTGTGTATATATATATATACACATATGATTACATATGTATATATCCATAAAATATACATATCTATGTATATATCACGTCTCCACTTACCTACGTTGCAGACCAGATACCCTCATTGTATGTTGCAACTTTGATATTTGTTTGTTTGATGCATCGGCATCCTTATGCATGGGCAGTTTGAGAGTTGGTAGCGCGAAGACATCCAATTGATGGTTCTTCATGTTTGGTCTGGTGGACAAATGAACATACACTAACCTCACCTCAAGTTCTTTCTCAGTAGAATTCTGCTTATATGCCACAAGCCGCCAGGTTTTTTGACTCATGAGGGGCTTGGATCCAAGCCTTGTTTTTCAGTTTTTTTCCCCCTGCAAAGCAGAGGGGTTTTTGTCGCAGATGCCTGGTCGACGGAGCAGCCAATCTCAGCCATGTTCGAAGGGTGTTTTCCAGAGCGTATCCAGAACAACCATGGAAACAATAAGGTAGCGGAAGATGAATTTCCGAATGGAAATCAGGGTTTTTGACCAGGAGATGGGTGTTTCAAACAAAGGTCAAATCTTCTACTCATGCAGCTTATGCATGTATATACATATACACAATATAGCGCATGCCTCTTAGTCTATTTTGGGGTAGACATCTCGTAGACATGCTCCCATGATGCTCCACGATAACCAAACGACCAGCCAAAGGTTTCTGGGTTCCTTACCCGCAATCAAAACATGGCAATGGAAAATCATCCATTTAGACAAGCTTATCCCATTAAAACTTTCATTTCTACAAAATGACCCATTGCTATGTTTGATTATCAGAGGGTATGATTTGTTTTCCAACAGTTCAACGGAATTGCAAAAGGAATGATCGGCATTGGTGTCAGGCAGGAGGAAAAATCCATTTTGTGGTTCAGAAAGGGTGGGTGCCCCCAGTAATGTTTGTTAGTTTGAAACTCCATCTGGGGCTTTCCTAAGTCATGGGGGTACCCCAATAGCTGGATGGTTTATTTCATGGAAAGTCCCACCTACTCAGCGCATCAAGAACCCACAAATTTGTTTTTTTTCTCCCCCAAAACCTCTTTTTTTCTTCAGTTATGAACTGGGGGTACCCCCATGACGAAACGGAAACCTCCATCGAACTCTGCAGCCACCATCTCGCCTGGCGCAACTTATCCGAGGGGACCCACAGGGGAAACCTTGGCTTGTTTGGTGAATGGGGAACTGTTTAGCTTAACTGTAGTGAACCTGGCTTGATGTAGCAATTGAACTTCTCAGCTGATTCATATTCCGGTAATCAAATATGGCAATTGGAAATCCACTCTAAATGCAGGTACTATTGCCATGTTTGATTGCCGGAGGGTACTTCGCTTTGCTGAACGTACACAACAGATTTCCGGAGTCCAAGAAGTGATCCACTCGAAGATTCTATTGTGGGGTCAGCACGTCAGAGAGTAGCACACGTGGAACTCATTTGTTGAGCAAGTTTTGCGCTGTGAACTAGCCCGGGGGGCTAGGAAAGGGTACGTTAATAAGTGGCGATGTTTTGCCTCTTGTGGAAGATTTCATTGGATGTTACCAAAACACTATATAGTACTGGCAATTCTTTCTTTGGTAGCACCAGTTTGGTCCATTTTGGTTGGTTAAAATCCACATTAATATGGCTTCCAAACGCGGGATGTAGCCTTTTTTTTCATCCATTTTCATCCCATCCCTTCACCAAACTCCACCCAGCCTGGTTTACTGTTGGATCTTTTCGTATTTTGGGATCCCTTAGGGAATTACATTTTGGGAAGACCAACTCGATTGAACTTGATGGTTCCATGTGTGAACTGGCCATTCATCGTTAGTCCAACTTCGCACATCCCAGTTATTACAACAAACACCAACCGCGACTAGCTGATTGCAACATCTAAGTAACTCAGAAAGCGGAAACCCCTTAGAAAGATATCATTTTACGATAGGCGATATATGCTCTTTGAATCTCTTTGATATGATGTCAACCTGGGTTTTTATAACCCAATTCGCGTAGATTTCTTGTGAAAGACCATGGTTTCTGGCAACTTCACCACTGCTTCGGCTGCTCCGCGACAACGGAAGGGCGCGCCATCTGGTCGTTCTGACGGCTCCTGTCCGGACACGTCACACCGAGCCGTGTAGGATGGTTCCCATTGAAAAATGGGGCTGATTTTGGATGTTTTGGGGTACCTAACTGATTAAATCATACTGAAGAATTTTCAGGAAGACCCAACCCAAAATATCCCAATTTTATCCACAGATACCGGGCTTTCAGCACCCGCTGAGTGATGATCAGTGTGTAAAAAAACTGTGGTTGTGTTGCCCTTTAATGCCCTTGCGTGAAAAATGGGGGATACAATCCGTGAACTGTGAAGGATTCCCATGACAAACCAGCCACTATGTTTTATCAACGGATTGGTTAAGGGAAAATCTTCACGCCTGACTCTTACCCATGAAATATCGAACTTTCCTGCGCATTTTCCCTTTGATCATTTAAAGATTTTCCAATCGGTGTTCCACTGATCCAAATTTCTCAGCAGAGGTCCCATCCTCGCGGAAGAGAAACACTTGCACTAGGCAGAATTTTTGCTGCACGCTGTCGCGTGTGAAAAAAGCACAGAAATCTCAGGATTGAAACCAGCGAAAATCCATGGTGTTTCGGTAACAGAACTGGCAATCAAAGATGGCGTTCTGGAAAATCCACAATGACAAAATCAAATGGGTATACATGGGGTATACCGTTTAGATGATTTTCACGGATTTTGTTCTACTTGTATTAAAGATGATAGCTTCCCATTGCCATGTTTGATCACAAGAGTGTAGGTGTCAGCCTTGAGCGCATGTAGGTCAGGAAGTCCAAGGAAACAACGATTGGACGTCCGAAATGAAGCTGTATACGGTTGAATGTTCCAAGTTCGAAAAGGGACATCCGTTCTTTTTACGCTGGTTTCACCGGCGCATGTTGTTCTTTATGTTGTTCTTTCTTCGAAGCTTTAGGTGCACTGTGGGCTTTTCCAGGTGTGACTGGTTTGGTGTGGCCAACTTGGGATGGAACCATGGAATGAAACTACGACTTGTCGGCAGCACATCTTGTGCTTGTGATATCTTGGCTCCGGACGCATGATGGTGAGCACCAAGAATTGAGAATGGGGCGAAGGGTCACACATGCAGCCTGCAACAGCCTGCAACAGCCTGCAACAGCTGCAAGCGAAACTTTCAGACTTTTGAATCGCCATGAGGTTTGTTGAGTCATAGTTACAACATGTTACAACTCATCGTTTAATGGGTCCCCTCCTCTGCGGGGGTCTACCATTCCTTGCTCTGCAGCTGGCCATTCGCGAAATTTCTGTAGTGCCATGAGTCCGGCTCGAAGTGAGGCGCGGGGCTGGAGAAGTCGGAGGGAGCTGTGGGACTATGATTTGTATCATGTTGTATCCAGTTTTCGCAAGCAAGTTGGAGCTACTATTTGAGTTTCCCAAGCACATGACATAATAGGGTTTTCCCGTGTGGTACAGCCATGGATCCCACCATGAATGGGATCCCACCAGGAGCTGGCAGCATGGGAGCCGGGGAACCAAGCCGTGGCGATCTGTTTAGAAATCCCCCCATTTTAAACACACGCTGTGGCAAGGATCTGCAGCCCATTTAAGAAATGTCTTGAATGGGGATCATGGGGTATCACCCAGTGATGTGCCTATATTATATGAATTCTATATGATTCTACATGATTCTATAAACATATATATATAATATTATTTATATGTATATGTATTATATATATATACATGTATTATATATATATGTATTATATATATATATGTATTATATATATATGTATTATATATACATATGTATTATATATATATATTATAGATACATCTGAGGTTCTTTATCCAGCTACTAGGCCCCTCTCTTCCTCCAACTAGGAAGACAAAGGCTGCAATAGCAGATTAGCCCTGAGGAGTTTAGGAATCATCAGACTTTGTGGTGTACGTACTTGGGGGCAGTTGGGGTTATTCTTATGAAGATAACCGTGGGATTATTCTCCCTTTAAGTTGGGATAGAACCCGTAGAACTATGGTGATATATATATATATATACAAATATACATATTATGTGCACTCAGAACTGGAACTGCATCCCGAAGTAGTTTCCTTCAGTACATAGAAGGCTTGACTTGTGTAGTTGTGACCGTATCGGTGGTTGGATGGGGTGCAACCTTGTAGCCCTCGCAGCAATCAGCAATGAAGGTCAATGATTTGAGGCTGCAATACCTGGTGATTTAACATAGGACCATGGAACCTGGCCTATTCATAGATTATTTAATTACGTATATATTAAAGTGGTGATTTTCCATAGCTATGTGAAATTACCACAGGGGTACAGTACCTGGTTTCCTTGGAAGTGCAATAATCCAACCAATATCAACCAAGCAGTGGAAGGATGTCCATGACTCAGACGCTGCTTTTGAAGTTGCTTCCATTTCCCTCGAGACCTCAAGATGTGGAATTTTCATATGAATTTTCATCCAACATGGAACCTTGAGATACCTTGAGATACCTTGAGATACCTTGAGATACCTTGAGTTTTTAGGCGCTGGAAACAATTCTCTTTTTGTGTTTCTACCCTTAACATTCGCATCCCCAGTGTGCTGTTTTTCGATTGGTTCCCCCGTGTTCCACCATCGAGAATCACGGGCTTTGGCTGGGCGAACCATGGGTTAGTCTAAAAAAAAGACTACCCCCCCGATTTTTCATGGTTTATCATTCTTTTTGGATATGAAAGTTCCATTTCTTGGGGGTATACGATGTATAACAACAAATTGTAGACAAAGTTTCATCAATTCCCAGCTGCTCCAGCCCCACTTGGCACCCCAGCCATGCAACGTTCCTTTTTGCATTGCCATGGTGGCACCTTCCACTTTGGCCGCTCACTTGGTAGGCCCACCGCAACCTGATGGAAGGTCCTGTTGTAAAACATTGGCTGACCCAGATTGCACATTGAGAATGCATAACTCACTTACCCTCTGGTAAACTAACATAACTATGGAAAATCACCATTTTTCATGGGAAAATCCACTATAAATGGTGATTTTCAATAGCTATTTTGACATAACCAGAGGGTAAATGTATCGTGGATTTTCAACACGCATTCTGTTCCAAACAATGGGCATGATTTCAATCTCGTTCCGTAGAATCTATGCAGTGATTTCTGGCTTTCCTTGCCCCAAGTTGAACACGTGGAACAAAACACGGGTTCAAACCACCATTGGATCCCATTTGGTTGGTTCAGTGGTTTTGTTAAATCTTCATCAAACCTTCAAAGACTGAAACAAATACACAAATCACCTTTTAAGAACAACTAGATGATATTGATGAGTGTATATGAAGATTAATATGAATGATCATGAAGGTATGATTGATTAATACACACATCCCACGTTAAATTGTACTGAAACATATATCTTTTAACAACTAGATGGATAATATGAATGATCATGAAATGAAGTACCATGTTCACGCCTTTCTTGGTGAACTACAATCTTCACAACCTTTAACGGACATGATTTCACGTGGGATTTCACGTGGCAGGCCTCGCTGTGCTGCTGGCGTTTCGCCTCGCGAAACGCCGCAAGAAGCCCGAGAGCTCGGCCTCCGCTGAACGGCAGGAGCCCGGCGACGGTGAAGATCTTTAAAGAATAGCGTTGGATTAGATAATTATTGTATGATTAATGGATGGACAATTATTGGATAATGATCCTTGATTGATTATAATGCTAATTAATGAACTTATCCCAAGTCATTGAACATTTAATGGATATATATATATATTATCTCATAATTAATGGACAATTCATGGATAAACATTGTTTTTTTTTTTTTCAAAAACATATTTTGACAATTCACCTTAAGTGATCCCAGGTCGCAAGGTTTATCCCAAGTGATTGGATAATGAATTGATAAGTGATGACTGGATAATTTAATCCACAGATAAAGATTGAATGAATCAAGTAACTAACTGGAGAATTATTTTTATAACTATTGGTATAACTACTGGCACTGAATTATTTTTTATAATTAACCAAGTTATACCAAATTATCCCAAGGAAAACCTAATGAACACCCTCTAGTACTCCCCGAAGTACATGGAGGCGAAAAATGCTGAGAACTCAGCAGAGGGATTTTGGGATTTTGGTAAATGAACCCAACTTTGAATCCGACTAAGGTGGTTTGTTTGAAACCGTGAAGAAACTCAAGATGGGTTCATGGAGGGTTGGAAGATCTTGAGATCAATCATGGCTGGAGATTGGAAACAACCATGTTTTCGGTTCAAGTTCCTAAAAACGACCAGCCGATTGCTATCCACTTTTGAATGTTCATGACCACCGAACGATGCGAAGGAAGAAGCTCTCAAGGACATGAACCTGAACTAGGCAGAGCGAACATGTACCCAGTAAATTATAACGACCTCACGTCGCGACCGAGCCCTGGAATTATGGTTAAGGGAAATCATCCCCAAATGGCCGAACTATTCAGGTTAGTGAAATATTATAATTTACCAAGAGATATAATATATATATATGTATATATAGTGTATATATATATATACATATATATATATAATATTCATCAACATTTTTTTTTTTGCAAAGGGAGAAATATCATCTCAATGTCCATTTTTTCTTGCGAAAAACTCCAGACTTTGTCGGTGCTTCAGATGCAACCTTTTGGGTGCTTGAGGGGCCATCTAGCCTGGTTATCAAACGTGGCAGAAATCCTCCATTTATAGATGATGTTCCCAGCTATAAACCTTCATTTATAGATGATTTTCTCATTCAGATTTTCATTTTTAGATGATTCTCCCAGCTATAAACTTCCATGTGGATTCTTCCAGCCCTGTTCGTCGTGGCGAAATCCAGGAGGGCGCGGTGCAGTGGCAGCTGCACCCCAGCTGCTTCTTCCGGCCTGAGGCCGAGCCAGCTCGACAGCTGGGAGTGTTGGCGGTGCCTCGAAGTCACATCGCAGTGCGAAACATGGCATTTTTCAATGACACTTTGATGGGATTTTGACTGCATGGGATTTATCCTGGGATTTATAATGGGAGTATTTGGGAGTGTTTGATGGGATTTTGAATGTTTTTTTAAACATAATTTGATGGGATCTCCAAGGCGATAAAAATACATCCCTTCCAAAACATTCGTGTGAATTGGGATGGAAAGTGATGAGGCGATGTTGATGCCATGTCAGCCGTGTTAGCAATGTCAGAAATCGTCGCTAGACATGGCATCCAAGCCCATAGGATCTGTGTATGGTATACATGCTAACATGACTGGGGTACAGTATATTGATGGTACTGTAAATGTTAGCATATATAGCAGCACCATGGATCCTATGGCAGAATGTTACTCAGCATCCATCTGGGCAAAAAAAAAGGGACCCCACTGCGAACTCACTGGAATGATGCTTAGATTACAGGGAATTATCCCCAAATGACCGAGCTATTCAGGTTAGTGAATTGTTACCCAGATCCATGTTACTTAGATTTTTTTGGCAACGTCCAAGGCGCGTTTCCTCCGCGCCGAACGTGGTGGATTTTTATCGGTACTGGAGCTGTTCGCTGGCAGTGGGCTGCGCGCGGCACGCTATTTGGTGGAAGGCGCCCCAGCAAAAAATGGATTTGACCATCAGAGTCGAGGATTTACAATCAAACATATGGAGATTTACCGTGATTTAACCATATTTCACCATATTTCATCACGGATAGAAAGATGGATTTAGCTAGTTTGCACTAATTGGCCTACAATGGAAGAATTCATACAACGCCAGTCGGGTTCGGTGAAATGACGCTTTTTCAGCCGCAGGTGGTGCGGATTTCGTCTGGGCGAACGAGGCCAACCAGGAGGTCTACCAGGCCTTGGTCGCCAACGTGGCGGGCGTTGGGAACGGCAACGGCTTCCAGGGGCCCACGGGATGCGATGATCTGCTGCCGGAGTGGGCCGCCCCTGCGAGGCGGGGTGATTTTGGATCACAGGCGATGAATACCCGGCCTGGTAAACATACAAAAAACGATGGAAAATCACCATTTTTCATGGGAAAACTCACTATTTCTATGGCCATTTTCAATAGCGAACTGTTAAATTACCAGAGGGTATGATGGGGGGATGATGGGGATAGCCAAACATCAACTTGTTTCAAGCGGCGAATATCTGGGATGAGCCCTACGGTTCTGATCATGGATTGGTGATCAGTGAGGGGACACATCTCGGGGTCCGAGAGAGATGGACAATAAAAACTACAAGCGGGTCCTGTGATGCCAAAGCAACAACCATCACCAGCCAACCATTTGAAGAACAATACGTATAAATTGAGTGTTTCGTTTTGATGAAACATTTTCCAACAGTGCAAATTCATGACTGAACAGACTTGATCTATTTCTTGTGTAGATGGATATAGAAGGAATCTTTTGAGATCCCACCCTGCTTCATAGGCTTCCGTGAGTAAATCGTACTTTGCACTCCCACAGCGGCTTGTATGGTGATTGTGACCCACTGGGCTTCAAAGATGCCTTTTTCCATTTTTTTCCATGTCAACTGCTAGTGAGTGTCCTAATCACAGATCACAAGAATCAAACCATGGAGCTAATTTATTGCTGATGACAGCAGCATCTAAATTGCTTTCAGGATTTGTCGTCACCCTAGAGCCGCAAATTCGAAGAGCAGAAGTAGCCCTGAAACTCGCTACCCATCAACCCTCAAATTGCTCCAGAATTTCCATGAATTTCCAGATTGGAATTTTAGGTTATAAGTTATAACCTTTAAGTTGAGTTTCCATCAAGATAATATATATATATAAGTTAATCTATATATATATAATTATATATATAAATATATATTGATATATGTCTGTATGCTAGAACTGAAATCCCATGGACCTTCCCCAGGTCCTGGTCGCTTCAGCCGACTGTGCCGTTGCACGGCTGTGAAGGTGGTGCTGCGCCCGGCTGGCGCCAGCTGGGAACTGCCGACAAAGATTCGGGCTCGGAGGCCCGTGGATGGCGCGTGACGCATTGGGAGGCGAGAGCTTTGTTGGGCTATTGCTCCTTGGTGCCAGGTATGAGATATTAAGCATGTAGAACCGGTCAAATCATGGCAAATCCGATTCTAAAAGTTGGTGAATTAGTCAGTTTTGATCTTTTTGGGACTATAAATCCAGTGGTGAAGCGATGTTTCATGGGTAAATCCTGTCGTGAATGAAATCAGAACCCCCCAAGAAAATGCAATCTTTGGTGGGGGTAGCTTAGATTTGTGGGTGTTTTTGACGAGTAATTCCAGCAGTGAAGCAATAGACTTTCAGCAACAATAATCCGAGCACTGTAAGCACCATTCATTCAGCAGGATTCGTCACATCCATATCAATTGCCACAAAAAATCCAAGAATCCAACAAAAGATTCGGTTCATTCAAATTCCATTATTTGCCTTGTGCTGGCATCCCATTTGACACCTTTTTTATCGTGATATCTCCATATTTTGTTTGTCGACGTGTGTTGATTCTTCATCTTTTGCTCCTAGCCGTTCACCGCCACATTTCAGTGAACATTTCTGAGCACATGGGGGTTTCCATCAATGAGACCCCAAATAGCTGTTTTATTTCATGGAGATCCCAAAGAAATATGGATACCCTCTGGTTATGACTAACATAGCCATGGGAAATGACCCTAATTTATAGATGATTTCCCCATTAAAACCTCCATTTATAAGGGATTTTCCATGGCTATGTTAAATGACCAGAGGGTAACATCCAAATCATCCTTTTATAGATGGTTTACCTATTAAACATGGTGATTTTCCATGGCGAACTGTAACAAATAGCCAGATGGTCACTGGGGTTAAACCTTCCGAGGTATAGCGATTCATCGGCAATTCGACCTGGTGGATGTCGATGCCTTCGGTTCTTGGGGCCATTTGAAAGATGCCTTGGAGGTGGTGAGACCAGGTGCAACCAGGGCTACGTTTCCTGAGTAGTTGGGGTACCCCAAAGCCATCCAAATTTAGATCTTTCTAGGATTGAAACTAATTAAACTAATTGAAACCCATGGTGACTTGGGGTACCTCCATTTTATGAAACCTCCATTGGTGGAAACTGATGGAAACTGGTCGTACTCTGCTTTCTCTTGGGTTATTGCGCTGCCTGTACATGCCAAACTCCAGATATTGTTCAATCATGTTCAATCACCTTACCCAGAAAAGAATCTTGCTATCGAACCTGCTGCCCAAACAAAATCCTCAGGCCGCTATTCTGGGTTTTCTGGCTCTCGAAAAATACAGGGGAAACCCCTTATATAATTATATTATGATTATATAATGTTATATAATGTTATATTATTTATCATATGTTTATCAACATTTTGATTGGCCAAAACCATGATTTTCGAAACCCAGCAACTGCAAAACCAGGGTTGAGACATGTTGATTTTCTTTCACTTCGTCCCCAGGCGGGCTGCTGTACCTCACGGCCACGGGCCTCACGGCATGGAAACCTAGCAGGTCCTTCCGTCGCTTGGGGATGCGGGGTCGATGCCCACCACAGGAGACATTGCATGACCAGTGCCTTGGCGTTCTGCGATGGTGGGGTTGGGCTCGGGGATATGGCATGATATGACTATGGGATACTATGGGCTATGGGCTATGGGGGGAGTTGTGTCTAGCCAATTTTGGGGGTATACCTACTTTTGACCACATTACTCATGTTTTTTCGGGAATTTTTCAAGAACAGATGATGGAATCTAGAACAGTTTGGGGTTTAAGGAATGAACAGGGGGATGTACAGATGATTTAAGCAGGTTCAAGCATGAAAAGTTGGGGATTTCACCAGCAAGTAGTGCCATGTGAGGTGTTGTTCAAAACATGGGTGTCGCTGTCGGATTGAGATCGAGTAGAAATCTGCTTCAAGTGAAGACTTGGACAGTTAGGTGCAACACCCTTTCCGTAATTCCAAAGATCATTCTGATTTTCATCAGGAAAACCCCCTGGGTTGGGTAAACCCTCCTTTTGGGCACACCCACTTTCATTATGATCCTAAACCTTGTTTGCAATCATGTACGACTTGAACGTCCTTGAACCATGTCTCCCGCTGGGACAGGCTGCCTTTCTAAAAACAGTTCCTTTCCCAATCCGCACTGAATTTGCCAATGACCAAAAATGGATGGGTGTTGTATTAAATCCCGCCACACATCTACAGTCATAATTTATATACAGTAATCATCACTAAAACCGTCAAGATAGAAGTGTAATTTCCTACTCAGACTGAGTTTTTTTTTCCATGGGATTGGCTTACGGGAACATGGAAACCTGAAACCCCCACATTTCATGGTAAAAACCCATGGTTTCCGGTTAAGATTTCCCCTTTTCGCCGTGCCCAGGATGTGTCGCGCCTTGGTCTGGCACACGGTAACCCTGGCGGACCACGTGAGTTTGGTGGCGGAGCCACTCTTTACGCTCTACCGGCCGGACGGTGCCATGGACCAAGCCAGACTCTGGGGACTCAGGGGACGAAGCACCAGTGGTTCCACTCAGACAGATGTGGAAAATCCATGAAAATCCACGATCTGTAGATAATCCATGAACATCCTCCATGTAGATATCTGTAGATCATCTTCCACTTGTTTCAACGGTGTGTTCCACATCGAACATTTGCCCGACCGGGTCATGAACCTGAAAATGGGAGACAAACCCTAAGCAAAACCAAAAGCATCTCCTGGATTTCCGTGGATTTTCTTTGTCAATTCCAGTTCTCCAGAGGCTCTGCTTTAATAGACTCTTTTTCAAGAGCTTGACAGTTGATTCGCTCGCAGCCACTCTTTATGTATGTATATATGTTTTTTTTGGGTGTAAACCACCTCAAGATAATGGGGTTTGAACTGGAACACTTGTTATGACACAACCTGCAGTGCAATTATCGGACATTATTATCAATTTCCTAAGAGTACAGTGTTGTTTCTAGAACAAACCTGATCCATCCAATTCTGCCGGTCAACTTTCAAATTCCCATGCGCATCACCCTCACAATCTAGAAAAAAAGAGGCCCAACTCTATATTTTAGCCCACCATCCCCAAGAATTTGGCTGCCGCCCTTCCAAGGTGACGTCTACCGCGTGATGTTCCGCGTGACGCGACGCGTTGGCGAAAGTCGCCTCGCGCCGCAGATGCTGGGGCTCTGCCGTGCCTGCAATGGCCTGCTGGGTCCATTCGAGGAGGACCTCGTCCTAGGCGCAGGGATGGGGAGATGGGGAGTGGAGCTGTTCGCAGAGTGCATCTCTTTTTTAGCAAAGTACCCTCTGGTAAACTAACATAGCTACTGAAAATTGCCATCTATAGTAGATTTACCCATTTAAAATGGTGATTTTCCATAGTTATGTTAGTTTACCAGAGGGTATATACTGAAAAATACCTGGTTGGTGGTGACTGGAACATGAATGGATGATTTTCCCCAATAGCTGGGATGATGATCCAATCTGACGAACTCACATTTTTCAGAGGGATTGAAACCACCAACCAGATACTCAGATACTGTAACTGTATATATACCTGATTGTAACTGCATGTATATAGAATATTGATGAATATTGTATCAGTGCAGACCCAAAATGGATCGCATATCCAAGTATCCACTTTCATTTGTCCCAATATCCCTACATTGCCTTACAAAATGTAGCACTTGTGTAAATCGTGGGAGGTAAGGCTTCCTGAAATTTAGCTTGCATTTTGGAGGTGCCCCGGGGTCCAAGGGTGCCTATCGGTTGAAGTCCAGGTGTCCATCGGCCATCTTGCGATTGTGGTTCCTCCGAAGTAGTGACCAGGTTGCAGGTGGTTTCCACTATAGCCACCTTGGGGTGGCTGGCTGAACTTACAACTGAAAGTGAGGAGATTTGAGAAGTTTCACTGGTGAAGATAGAAGTAGAGATGGAGATAGATGGAGGTTTCACACCGGAATTCAGCCACTGGGAAGTGGGGAACTCCCTGGGCTTTTTACCCAAACACCAGCCATATCCCAGCAGAATCATTCAGCAAGCTGAGGCGTTTTGGGGTCCTGTTTGGACCGGCCAGCTACAATCAGAGCCTTGATTTGGGTTGGTGAGTGGGTCAGTTGCCATAAGGCTATGAGTCATAACCCTGGTACCTAGTGAACCACAAAACAGCTGGGATTTATGGATGTTCATCCCATTAAAATTGATACTAATAGGTTTTGACCCATCCCCATAAAACAGGAAGGCTTCGGTTCGTTTAGGTTCGTTTCGGTTCGTGGAAACCTCAAACACGGGCGGTTCGGTTCATCCGTGTGCCGGTTCGTTTCGGTTCGTGTGACATGGCGGTTCGGTTCGGTTCGGTTCGTGTTGTGTAGTGTTGCAGGACGAGAGGTCTTTGACAGAATGGGTGTGGATGAATATCAAATAGTAATGTTTTGTTGCAGCAGAGGGATTTTGTTTTTGAATGTTTGAAACTGATGGTGGGGCCGAGTGTTTGCAGCATCTAAGTAAGCAGTGTCCAAAACCACGGTTTGTTGATGACTAAAGTGCTTATGCTGTTTCTTGGATTGGGGATAATGATTATCATCATCAACTATTAGAATTCTTACATCTAACCAGTTTACAGTGAAATTGACAGATCCATTGCCAACGGCATTTTCATTGCGCGAAAATCACTTTCAGCTGTCGAAATCCAGCCGTGGCCGGCAGAGGTTCAATCAGCAGCCAAATGCCATTTTCATATGGCAAAAGTCGTTTTCAGGCATCGAAATTGAGGCAGTGCCTGCAAATCTCAAACATTAGCCAAACATCATTTTCATTGTGCGAAAATCAGTTCCGAGCATCGAAATCAACACACATCAGACAAGGACCAAAGCGAATTTTCGTGTTTTCCTTAACTATTAGGTGTTTTCCTTAACTTGATTTTCACTGCGCGAAAATCATTTTCGGAGTTGTTTTGGCAAAAAGAGGAAAAAAAGTAGTAGTAGTAGTAGTAGTAGTCGTGGTGGTGGTGGTGGTGTAGTGGTAGTGGTAGTGGTAGTGGTAGTGGTAGTGGTAGTGGTAGTGGTAGTGGTAGTGGTAGTAGTAGTAGTAGTAGTAGCAGTAGCAGTAGCAGTAGCAGTAGCAGTAGCAGTAGCAGTAGCAGTAGTAGCAGCCAGCACTGATCATTTGCAATTCCTGCTGCGCTTTGGCAGATTGTGTTGCGCAGGAATCCACTCATTACAGTTGATTCCTCTTTCCAATTTGATTTTCAAGTCGCGAAAATCATTTTCGGACCCCCCGGAAGCTGACAAAATTAATTTTGAGAATGTGGAACCGGTTCGGTTCCATTCGGTTTGCGTAAGAATACTTGGCGGTTCGGTTCGTGCCGGTTCTTAGCCGCCTGCCGGTTCCTGAACGGTTCGGTTCACGGTTTGTTTCCTACCTGCAGAACCCAAACCTGTCAATATCACAACTTTAGAGTCAAACTTGTATAATTGCATGTCTATATGCAAAACGACAACTTTGATGATCTGCATGTGTCCGACAATGGATATATGAATTGTCGGATGCTTCCGATCAGAATTCCAAGAATGTCGTATCGGATGCATCCGACTTGCATGTCGGATGCATCCGACTTGCATGTCGGATGAATCCGATAATATGTTGCAAAAACACTTGGACTTCATTATTTATCCGACTTGCATGTCGGATGCATCCGATATGATAGTCGGATGCATCCGACATGTCGGGACAACATGTCGGATGCATCCGACATGCCTGTCGGATATCCGACAATATATATTCTGTGGATGTCGGATGTTGACGACGGATGGATTCTTTTGCCTCGCGGGGCACAGAGTAATGCTACGCGGCTTTTGTCGCAATGTATATCCTCGACCATTCTGGTGATGATTTTCGATCATCGCCGTGCGCTGTGGAAAAAATGGGTATATAGATAGATAGACAAATAGATCGATAGATAAGGATGCGTTATATATAGTATGTGCACGTGCTGGGATTTTGTGAGAGTATTGTTCATCAATATGTTGTTTTTCTTCTGTACTCTTTTTCAACATTTTCACGTGCATGGCTGCATGTCCATCGCCGGCCGCTCTTCGCCATGCAGCCACGCGCAGCGAGGGTGGGGGTGAGCCCTCGCCGGCTTGGCAAGATATGACCAAACACAAAGAAACATTTTTGAAAACTGCCAATATAGTGATGGCCAGAGCTTTGATGTTGCTGTCATGTGGTTTCAGCTAGGTTGGAAACACATGCTTCAAAACATTTGGTTGCACAGAACATTGCTTTAGTTTTTTCTTTGGAGCTCCGCTACCATGGCACGCTTGGCACACGTGTGAGCCCTAGCTGCTCCAGGCTTTGGCGGTTTGAGGCCGGCTGTCAGTCAAAACCGTGCTGTGGCATACGGGTTTCCCCGCATGTAAGGTTCTTGGGGTTTGCTGGCTTGGCAGGCCATGCGTTGGAGTGCCTTTTTCGTGGTGGTGCTATTTGCAGGACTGCTGGCAGAAACTTGGTGGGTGGGAATAAAGGTTCAGCTTAAGACAGACTAGCAGGTTGCAGGCAGCCAAAGACATGCCAGGGCGAGATTTTGTGAGCTAGACACATGTCTCTTGCTAAGTGTTCCGCGTCCACACAGTCCCCAAGAGAAACTTAGAAAAGAGAGCCTTCTCACAACCAACAGGTTACCATAAACGGGTTGTAGCGATACACATGTTATATTCAGTAGGATTATGTAGACCCCAGGTATTGATATCATGTTAAGGTCATATCTGGTTTGACACTTGGCACCGCGTAACCGTGAGGATGGGACGCTGTGCAAATCTACACAGCCGATCCAGGTGCCAAGCCCCACTTTCTGATGCTGGTGGGTCCATCAATGTTTTTTTTAACAAAGCGGTGTTCATCCATTTTCCACCTTTTACATTCCAAACCATGGTGATTAGTGAACAGTAAATCTTTCAAATATGATGGGAAATTACTTGAACACCTCACCCAAAACAGTTTTCCCTGGCCAGGCGGTTTGATTCATGTCGTAGTTTCGGAAGAATGGTGGCACATATATATGTCCAAAATTAATTTTGTCAAACAGTATTTGATCATCCCGACGTATAGTTCCACACGAAAACTATCATCAATAATCCAGCCATGAAAAGATTTGTTTCAGGATTCAGGAGTTACATCTTGAAGGGGTTTGTTCCTTTAATTAGTCAACATGAGATGTACATGTGAACGATGTGTGATCCCCTGAATCTCATTTGATTTAAGGCCAATCACCTCAGCCCCATCAACCATGGTTGTCAAACAAACTATTCTTGTGCAGCATTTTGGGTTCTTGGGTGGCAAAAAGCCAAAGAAATATCACGATGGCAGTTAGCCGGGTGCAAAAGTTGAATACAAAGAAGTCTCACAAGAAGCCCCAAAAGGGGGCAAAGCCCAAAACCAAGCATGCCCCCGTCCGTGTTGCTGATCGGCCTCCGATCAAACGCTGCCCTTTCCAACACTCTGTGAAGTTGCATCCAAAGTTTGCTGCGATGATTCTTGACTGCAAGTTACGGTGCTTCACATGTCAAGACCGATTTTTGAGTCAGCATGGAAACCAAATTGCAGATTTGAACCACACAGTTCATATCGGTCTTGAACGGGTGAAATGCAAAGGTGTTTCTTTGCCCCTTGAATTGCTGCTACCAAAACGCTAAAATGCTCCGTAACAAACAGAGTGTTTCTGTGGTACCCCTTCCTGTTCTGATTGAATCAACCCAAAAGCATCTAAGTCTGGAAGTGCGATGGACACAGCAGTGTCTTCTTTGGGTTGACACTGATTTGGAAAACTTGTCAAAGATCAAAACAAGTTTCAGGTGTATATAAGTATGTATGTATACATATATATATATATATACATGTTTTTTTATTTATATATATATAATATCAACACATATCAATATCAACACATAACAATATCAACACATAACATAAATAATATAAATGTAAAGTTAAAGGTAGCATCAACCACAAAAATGCTGCTAAACATATGATTGAATATAGCTATATCAATGCATGTATGTTTACATACTTTCATTTGAGACCGCTGCAAAACAGGGATCATTTACCTTGATCCTTGTGCCCTCAGCCTCTCTCAGGATGCAGATCCTGGTGTGCGCTGGATTGCCGTTCACCCTCTTGGCAATGGTTGACATGACCATGCAGAATATGGGCGACCCAGCAATGGTGGCTTGGCGTTTTACCCACAACACCCCATGTGACCACATGGCATGGCAGTTTCATATGTTTGTTATGCGTCGGACATGGATTGACCTACCTTTCAAAGCCTCAGGAGCTCCACTGTGCTGAGCTTTTCGCTGGAGTAAAGACTGTGGCACGGGGGTTCCAGTCTGGAACTTATTATATAATGTGAAGTCTTGCAAAATCTAAACGCAGTGCAATGAAGATCGAATTTACCATCTAGCTTACCAACCCGAAACATGCATGCGTACCAAACCTAGGAGGTATGGAATGTCGGCGGCGACATATGAAATCAATGACGACCGAGTTTACCAAGATATGCTCAATCCCCTGGGATTCTCCTTTGCGTTGTCCCTATGCCTGCGCTTATACAAGCAGGCGCCGAGAAAACTGGTGGCCACATCAAATTTGTTTCATTTGAGATGTTAGATTTTTTCCTAACAAGCCATGCCAACCGGCTCATGGTACCCCTGCTGTCCTTGTGAACCAAATAGATCTCATGCCCAAGTTGAATGCCATCCTGCGCAGCATGCAGGCTGGACTGGGGTGGTTCGCACCTGTGTGTTCCAGCTGGGTGTGGCTGAATCGGCTGCTCAAAAGCATTTTGTAGTTCTCCAACCAACCTTACACAAGGGACCCAACACTGCAAATTTGCCATACAATATTCACAGTATTCAAATATGCGGTAGCAGGCAACAGTTTCCAAATTCAAATTGAAATCTATAGTTTCCAAAGAGTCAACATGTATATGTGGTAAAGTTTCCCAATTCATCAACACTCTTATTTGGTATAGCTTCCCGAAAACTTCTTTTTATGCCTTATAGATTTCGCCATTCTTTGTTGAATCTAAGGCATAGCTCTGGCAGATCTCAAGACAGGCCACTTGGTGTTGCTTCTCCCATTGTGCAAGCTGCGAATCTTGACAAAGAAGGTTTGGGAAGATTGTGTCGTGGAAAGGTTTGGAATTGGTCTACTGGAAATTCTGGATGTGTCCCTTGCTCATGGGAAGCATTTGAAATCAAACTGCATCGCCCGTATCCGCAGGATTCCCAGGTGAATCTAGGTGTGGGTGTTGTGTCACGGCCAGTAGGATGAGCCAAGACCGCGAGTCCTCTCCGAGCCCGCATAGCCTTGGCCATGTGCAGCTCCTGCAAGAGATAGGCGTTGCGCTCTTTGAAGAGATTCCCGAAGATCACAAGGATGATGATTGATATCACTTTCGCATGCAATATGCACGGCTCCAAAAAACAACATAGAATAAAACATGTAAAAGCACATGTGATCAAACAATGTAGCAGTTTCGGGCCCAAACAAATGCCTCCAGTTGAATTATATGTATATATATATATGGGTTTGGTGATTCCTTTATCTTAGGGTATCTGCTCAAGTTCTAAAACTTCCGCAGGAGAAATGCATCGTGGCATTGGGCGAGGAGCCAAGTGAGCCAATTCTGGTTGGGGACTTCGAGCAGGACTCTGAAAACCAGCTGTTGACGCTTGGCTCAAACAATTTCAAAACATGCCTGTTCACAATGTAACAAGTACCAGGCAACTGGCTATATGATATGCATGCCTTACCCACTAAAAAGATTGCGTACCTCTGGATTCTTATCTAGAGGTAAGACTCAAGATAAGAATCAAGATACATATATATATATATACATATACAAAAGTAAATATGTATATAATGAGTATGGAGTATACACCAAATTCCATGTAAAGTAGTAAACCAACATTTATAAGCCAAGTACAGTAGAGGGGGCCACCTTGTACCTCCCGAGGAGCAAAAACCACTGGTGTATCTCCGTGTTGCTGGAGTTTGAGCCCTTCCGCTATCGATTGCCGACCAAGCCAGAACTGCAAATCATTTGGCGGGCATTCAACTTGAAAGCCAAGGCAAGTCCTAATTTTCCACTTGGGTTGGTCACCCCAAAAAGCCCCCCACAAGTCCCAAGCATAAAATGCAGGGGAAGCACTGTTTTCGGGGGACTTGTGGAAGGCTTTTTTGGTTAACCAACCCAAGTGGAAATTTACCAAAGGCAAGTAGTATTTGTCTAGTATTTGTTTGGGATGTGAAAACCAAAACAATTGTTTAATCTTTCCCCAACAGAATCATTCCCATTTCCCAAGCGGGGCTCCTCCTATCATCCATCTGCAGGGGCTGGCCGTGCGTGACACTGCAAACCTCACAATGGAGCAGCACTTGGACGCACTGATCAACCAGTGTCGGGTTCTCTGGTCTTCCATCCGAAGGTGGGGGAATGCGGGTTCACCTCATGAAACCCTTTTCGAACAGACCATTGGTTTGTGATTCAAGTTTCATATCATGTTTGAACTGATTCCCGAACTTAGACCCCACGAAGTGTGTTAAAATATAGCCAAAATCAATTTGGGTGGGGGCACTTCCTAGGGTCCAAGTACCGGGGCAGTCCCATATAAACCTGCAATCTCGCTGTCCCTGCAGCCTATGGCGGAACAGCCCGGCCAAATCTCGCTTTCCCTACATCCAAGCGTTGAAAGATTGCATGAGGATCAGAGGGGTACCCAAGCAGCAATCATTTGGGTAAGGGTGGCGAGTAAATATCTGATGTTCCTTCCAAGATCCCACAAGACAATTACATACCATTTTTGCAACTGTCCAGCATATCAATGTGATCGGTGTTCCCAGGAAACCAGTCCAGTGGCCGAGATTGCGATTGAACATGACGAGACCCAGGCGGGCTCTCGAGATCCGTGCAGTTTGACATGTCCACACAATTTGGCTTATCAACAGATTTGTTTTCGAAACTTAGTGAGCAAACATTTTTTAGCGACCCGGAAGAAAAGCAACATCTGTCTACTGTATTTAGCGGCAAACGAATTAGTGGTAAATCGGCATATGATTGTTTTATCTGATTGAGGTGTACATGGATTACTTTACTATATTACAAAACATTGACATTGACATGCCCCAGATAATGCTCTTCAGGAAAGCCAACTTGCCTGTGCTGATGACGGATCAGATTCCGATGACAGCAAGGAGGGCTATGAGCTTGATCACATATGGGAGGCCGTTTCTGGGCAATTCTGCTTGACAGTTTCCAATTTGAAACATTTGCCAAACAAATTACATTCAACGATTATACATGCAGGAACAAAAGTTTAAACCAGGCCCATGTTTGATTTCACCTATATTTACTGAACCCCCATGATCCTGAACTGCAGCCGGTGCTCCCAGGTTCTGGACAGGTTGGATCCAAACTCCTTGCCTGATGGCAGCCCCGAGATTGGAGGGGAACTTGGTGACTATGATCTGGGTGAAGAGGGAGGGGAAACGTTGGGTGAAGAGGCTGAGGAAGTCAAGTCCACAGTGGGAGAGGAAGAGGAAGAGGATACAGGGGATGAGGCTGCGTCTGATCCAGAATCCCTGGCCACTACCATTTCGTTGGGTCCCAATTGGTCTCCAGTGCTTCGAGGGTCTGCCAGGCCTGCTGATCAGGACACGCAGCAGGTCCAAAGTCCTGAGCCATCGCCCAGCAAGGAACATATGCACATTGAAAGTTCAAAGAAGGAGTTGAATCAGCCTGCACCTTGCAGAGAAAATATCTAGGGCTCACAAAAAACATTCTGGGCTTGTCGAAAAAGTTGACACCCCAACATGGTTATATCACCAGGTTCAAAACCAATGACAAAGTACGATATTGTTTGATGAGTTTAGGATGGCTTATCTTCAGTTAGACAGTTAGACCAACAAATATATAGTCAGGGACCATGGTTGTAAATTGATCCCATGTTTTGGCATCCTAGGCACCTCCTGGCTTTGCGCGTGCAAAGTCGCAGATTTGGTCGGACCCGGAACTTTCACCCGTTGAGGTTAAGAACCAAGGAGGTGGGGTCAGTGTGAGTGGGATTCCAACTTACATTCATTCACAAAAGCTGGATCAATATGCTGTTGCATCTCAGCCATGGTCCATATATGCAGTGTAAATTTCAACGAGGCAAGAAGCGCACTAAGAGCCGAAGCAAGAGCCGTAGTGCCAGCCGTAAGAGTAAGAAGTCCAAGCCGGTGAGTGGTGTGGGGCACAGTTTCATCCCTTTGTTACTGCCACCAATGCCACCAACTGAAATATGCTGATAGCAATTGAACATAAACATATACAGGACTTTATGTTTAAATTTGAAATGATTTCTTAGGTCAAAAAAAGGAAGATACTACAGAAGAGATCTTGGAAAGCTTTTCCGCGGAGTACCAAGAGGTTATCTATGTCCTTCCAGCTGAGTTCCACCCTACATCGGCAAAGCATGGCCAGCACTCTTACACCACGTGCCTCATCACCTAATAATAAAAAACATGTGAGAATTTGATGCCAATCTCCCAACTGTTTTGTTTTTTTGTCTTGGGGTTCATATGGGTACCTCTTGCATCCCAGCCCGTTCATGATCCAAGGGTGGTGCAGGGCAAGGCTCGTGTCGAAGTATTGCTTCGGCAGCGCGCCTTCAAGCCAAAGAGCGATGTTCATGGGAATCTGTTGAAGGCATCCCAGATTCTAGGCTGCTAGGAAATTTCACTCCTCTGGGTTAAAAAGTTAAAAACCAAATGTTAGTTCTTAAGCGGGTTCCCCCCAACAAGCAGCCAGCTGCTATCTAAGGATTTCTTTCCAGGAAGATGTGCTGGCCGCTTCTGATGCAGTGATGAAAGTCATCCAGGCCAATTTGGATGATTAGGTGCTATATCTATGAACACCTGCCACCTGGGCAGTGAAGTTTGAGCTTTCGGGGTTTAGATCAAAACGATCAGTTATGGGAATACCATGTGATGCTTGTTCCCACACCTGAAAATCATCAAATCCATGGCTTGCCTTGATAGATGTTTTGATTGGTGGGGACAAGCCATCCCGGTCAGTTTAGATATAGGCTTCAGCCTCTAGTGCCACTGTGGCAACAATACAGAGCTTGCGCAATAAGGGCAAAAAAGAGAGTGTCTCAAAAGAGAGGGGAGAGCCAAACAAGAAACCTTCCGATTCACATGTTGGCAACACTATGCCTAAGGAACTACATGGTGGGCCGCTGCATGGCATGCGTCATGGTGATGTGTGCTCTGGGAATGCCGTTCATACTTGAGCAACCAAGTACAAGCGTGATGGAGTTCCACCCTTGCTTTCAACTCCTGGCCCGTCAATTCAAAATATTTAAAGACCCTTGGGCCCAAAGAATACATGCATGCATGAAGTGCTTTTCCACAAAAGAAATGCACCTTGAGATCTATAGCGGAACCATCGTTTATTTATGGGGCCACGGTGGAACGCCCTAAGGTATTTGTTTGGATGGGAGCTTATGGAGGAGGCAGCCACTTGTAAGCACTATCCGGGTTTGGGGCCTGCTGGCACTTCAAGCAGTCCAATGCTCGTCCACTCAGCCTCATTCCAAGAAAAGTGTTCACGCATAAATCATTGCTCCCTAATGTTCCCTAGGTCCAAAGGGGACATGGCTCTATTCGAACGTGGAGTCCTTGATTAAAGACCTTTACTTGCCTCTTTGCGACAAACACTGGGATGCAAAAATGGTTAAGAGGCATGCCATGTCTCTGCAGCTTCATGTGGTTTTTCATTTGGTTGGCAATTGCTAACAAAATTGGTAGGAATGTGGACTTCACCATCAATTCCAAAATAGCAGGATCCCAATTTCGTTCACCACCCCATTATATCCCCTGCAGGTACACTGACAGTCAAGGAAAAGGCCGTGTTTGCGGAGATTCAGATCTTAAGCGATCCCAGCATTACCCCATCCTGTTTGGACGCACCATTGCTGAGACCTACTTGAGGGAGATGTCTGCCATCAAAGCCAATGCATATGAGCACAGGCTAGGTTAGCAAGACACCCACAGAGAATCATTAAATAAGTGGGGGCAATCTGTAAAGATGATCATTATCTACCCATTTGTATCTGGGGGGAATTGCCAAGTGGCATAAGGGAGACACACTTGTACGTATGTGAATATCTATATCTATATTCAAATTGTTTAGGCGTGTGTATTTGAACATATGTCAAGATTTGTATGTGTGTGAACCTATTTGAAAAATATGTGTTTATGTGTGGTATGCCTACACGTGATATATATATATATATATGTATATGTATGTATATACGCATTTCTGTACATAAAAATGCTGATATAGAAAGTGAGAGCCAAGTTTACATACTGGCACACTTGCATTTATTTGCGCACACATATACACATATGTGTACATATCACATGTGTATATATATATATATACACAATTATTTACATATATACACATACACATATCTACGTATCCACAAAGATCTACATACATACTGATACACACGTACATCCCCAGGCATTTGTGAGGAATATTGACTTGCAAAAACCAACACCTGTAGTTACGTGTATATAAAAAAATATGTAAATACATGACACTTTCACCCACAATATTCATATTATATATATGTGCAAACACATGGACAACACATATACATGCACATATGCATATATTGCATTTTACAACATAACTAGATGTATATCCCTCTATCCCTCTATCTATCTATCTATCTACCTATCTATTCATCCATCCATCTATCTATCTATCTACCTATCCATCCATCCATCCATCCATCTATCTGTCCATCTATCCGTCCACCTATCTCTCTCTCTCTCTCTGTCATTGAAAATAGCCATATGGATTTTGTGACATTTTGTGTGTTCACCACCCACACACTACCCATGGGTTATATATGGGCAGCCCGGCTCGATCAGGCTAAAGCTCCTTGACCATCCCCGGCCAGAGATGAAGGATCCCTGGCAGCAGCGGCCGGAGCATGGAATCACGGGTTTCACGGTTTCACGGTTTCACGGTTTCACGGGGTTGTTTCAAAAGGAGTTTGTGTTTTATATCCCTATACGGATTTACAATACCACCAGAAATCATCTTATAGTATACCCTGTTACTTCTGATTTTTTGACCATGATGTTCAGATTGGATTGAAATATAGTTTATCCCGAGGAATATACCCAAATCTATAGAGCCCAGGACATTGGATGGGCCAAGCATGCCAATCTTCGACCAGTGATCGCAGCGCTTCCTGGTGATGGGCAATAGAGCCCTTTTTGATCTGCAGTTTGAACTGCAGTCTAGCAATTTCAGATAGAAAATTCAACTTCAAAGCAAAAATTGGGTATCCCAGCACAACCCGTGAAACGTGAAAAAACCGTGAAAAACCCGTGATTTCCCGTGATATTTCATGGGTTTGAAATCCTACCAATTCTTGTTTGTTTTGGGGTGCGCTGGACCCGTCTGACCATGGACCATGGAGGGGTTGACCGTGGAAAATGGTGTTGGGTCAACCAACTTGTACATCTCACCATGATATGCAGCAGTCTTGCAAACAATTTGAATGCTTTTGATGATATATAGCCACCATATCCTGCAGTCATCCGGCTTTAGCTAGATACCTGCTACCCTCTGGAAGGATGCCAGCTGCTCCCGACAAGAGGTTGCGGTGTAAAACCCCTGATCCTGCCCGAAGGCACAAAAGCCCAGATGCCAGATCTTTGAAGAAGGCTGAGAAAAGCATAAAAGGAAAGAACCAAGATGTTAGATCAGGTGATTCCACCAGATCCTCTTCAGTGGATGCAACCCGGAAGAAGTTGACTTTCGCTGTGCAGAACAAGGTTCATAGGATCAGAGCTGAGAACCCTCCAGGAGAGCGCCGCCCGGCGCAGCCCGAGCCTGCGTTGAGGAAATCTGCCAAGGCCAAGATGACCGAAAACGAGGCAGATTCCATCCTGGCCAAGTTCGTGAAGGACCAGCAGGAGCCCGATGGATGCATGTGGGGCCATCATCATCATCATCATCATATATATATATATACATCTGGGAGACCACCATTTTGTGTATACCTCCCAAGGTAGTATTAGATATGTAAATAGACACAGTTGAATATATATATATATATATGTATGTATATACAGATCCATATGGGATAGAATTATGATATGGTACCTTTAGGTGTATATATATGGACATATATGATGTAAAATGCTTAACTAATATCCAATATATATATTTATATAGGTCATATGACATATTAAAAGATCTGATGTGACGTAAAAATAACATCTATATACATGGATCATATTAAATATCTGATTCGATATGTACACGTATAAACATATATGATGTACAAATAACATACACAAATATACATATATATAAACAAATAACATAAAAATGATCTCTCCCTCTCTCTCTCTCACTCTCTAAATATATATATATAGTGTTTTGCAGCCCCAAAATTGGAGTTGCAACTGTTCCACCAAAATGTTTTTGGTTGGGGTCATTTGGTACTGCTATCCCAGGAGTCAAAAGCAGCTGCTTCGGGATCAGAGAGTGAAGGTTCCCAGGCCACAATCAGCGAACATGTGTTTGCAAAGTCAAACTACCCCTTCAGGTACCATAATTATCCCCAAGCATGTTGGAGTGTTGGAAACTTTATTCTCCATCAGGCCTTTTCGATCTAAAGCAATGATATGTATATCGGAACCCTTTCACTATCCAGCACCATTCTTCTTCACCAGGCACCAGAGGAAGAATCTGACTCAGAAGGTTCAAGTTCCGAGGGAGAAGGAAGTGATGATGTGAAAGAGGTGAAAAAGAATGGGCGTGAGGGAAAGGCAAGTGACAGAAAGGACAGCAAGGGAAAGACAGGCAAGACCGAAGTGACCACTGAAAAGAACAGCAAGCCGACGAGTGGAAATCCGGACAGTGGCAGTAGCACAGACAAGAGAACAAAGAAGCATGCCAAGGCAACAGACAAGAAGAAGGAAGAAAAGACTGTAAAAGGAAAGGACAAGGAGGAAGAAACGCAAGAGGGCTCGGAGGACGAAGGTTCAGCCTCCAGCTCATCATCTACGGAAGATGAGCAGGACTCCCAGTGCAGACCCGTTGGCAGCTTTGTCAAAAATCCAATTTATCCCAAATCGGATGTTCGCAGGTGGACTGTTAAGGGTTCTATCTGGCCCTATCTCTCCCGGAAGGAAAATGAAGAAAAGCATGGAGATGAGGAAGAAAAGGATGGAGAAGAGGAGAATGAACATGAAGAAAAGGAGGCCGCAGAAGATGCAGGGAGTGATGATGACATGTCAGACTCCTCGGAGGACAAAGGAGAGGAGAGCGACGATGAGAGCAGTGAAGATGAACAACAAGAAGCTGAAGAATCAGAGGAGGAGGATGCAATGAACACCGACGAAGAGAAGGACAGTGATGATGAGGAGACGCCCCAGACAAAGAAGCCCACCAAGGTAGAGAACAAGGCTGCTCAAAAGGAAGTGAAGAAGGGCGACCAGAAGGCAATGAAGAAGGTTGACGAGAAGAAAGAGAAGGGACAGAAGTCAGAAGGCCGTGAGGATGGGAAGAGCGGCGCAAAGAGGAAGCAGGAGCTTTGTAGATTTGACGACTTGATTGAGGAAGCGGGCCAGATGCTCCAAAAGTATGACAAGAGAGACAAGAAGACAAAGGTCCCCAGAGAAGAGCGAGATTGCCAGACAGCAACAGAGGAAAAGGTAGTTGAGAAGAAGGACCAGAAGGAAAAGAAGGCAAAGAAGGATAAGCAGGGTGGCAACCAGGACAGCAAGGACAAGAAGGATAAGAAAGATGCCAAGGATGGCAAGGTGGTCCACAAGAAGGAGGACAAGGATGAAGGCTCAGGTGTTGCAAAGAAAGAGAGAAAAGATGACAAGAAGAAGTCAAAGGCCAAGGATGAGACAGGCGATGGAAAGAAGAGGAAGCTATCTGACGCAGATGCCACACCAGAAGCAAGTGAGAAGAAGCGCAAAGAGGAGAACAAGGAGACCGCTGTGGCGATTGTTGCCACCCAGCCCACCAGCGGCATCATCAAGAAGTCCGGGAACAAGGAAAAGACCGAGGATGAAACACGTGAAGAAGACAAGACGGACAAGAAGCTTCAAGAGGCTGAACAGAATATGAAGGTCAACAGCACCACCCACCGCAAAATGTGGATGAAGTTCTTGAGATTCCGCAAGAACAAGAAAAAGATGAGGATGTGCCCAGCACACATGGTCGCAGCTTTGCAGTCAGAGGCCAGGGTCTCTGGTCCACCGGGTTACCAGCTTTAAGAGTTTATACATATGTGTTTTTTCAAATTTTTTCCATGATATATATGTATATATAGCTTAAAACCAAAACTCACAGAAATGTAACGGCAGTATGCCATATACTATATGTACATGTAGGTATGTTCAAACATGTAAGGGAAAAAATGGGATCGATTCACAAACATGGGTTTATGCCACATACCAACAATAAGTATGCTTGAAGCCATTTCAGAAGATAAACCGTGTTGGGGTCTACTAGCCATTCACCTTTTTATTCCAGAGTCTATCCCATGGTCACCAAAGTATATGCACCCCTCACTGCACAGGAGCAGCGACAAAAGATCTTTGCGGACTTCGTTAAGGTGGGTGGGAATGTTGACCACTTAGTGCTGAAGTATGAGGCGGGCTTGACTGAAGCCCAATCTTCCAACATTCAGTGGGGGTTTCGGCCGGAGAAGTGGTTGGAAGACCGTCATGGGTCAAAGAAAGCCAAGAAGTTGATTGCCCGGAAAATGACTTTGGGATTGTCCCCTAGCTGCACCCAATTGCAACCCGCAGCCTCCAATCACCACCATGTGGAAACCACCCATCATGACAGAGCTCAACCCAGCATGCCTCGGCAAGCCAAGGTGGATCCAGGACCCAGAGCTGCCAGACGATGAGGAGGAGAGATTGTACTTTACTATGATCAACATGGATATGTCCAACCTGACTGAAGTGCGGCGCCTTACCAAGCTTGAAATGGAAGGGTGCATCGACCAAGCTGGATTGGATGAGTTTGTCAAGGCATGCCCCACCAAAAATGTTGTCATGAGTTCATACTGTCCCACGCGATTCTGATTGATAGGTTATCAAAATATGCCCAACAAGGTTCCCCCATTTTCAAACAGTATCTTACTGCCTTATGTGATTCCGATTGATGCCATCAAAGATCGTTTTCATATTGATTCAATTGGGATGAGTTGCCAAGAAACATCCAAAAAATCGGTCATCATCCTACATGTTTGGGGGGTCTTTCATGTCCTTATTTTACCATGCCTGTTTCACCAGGCTGGCGGGGTGCTGGATCCAAACGCCCAGCTCAAGCTGTCCGACTTCACTGGCAAGGGTGGCTGTGACAAGCTTGCTGCTGCTATGGGATCTTCTGGGGGAAAGGCACCGAAAACCCCAAAGGGTGGCCGACAAACAGGAAATCCTGTCGAGGCTAGGGGGCTTGTGTTCTGTTTTGATCATGAAGTTGTTTACCATCTTGCCCCAATTACAGTGATGTCCCTTGTTTATTCCCATGCAGGTTACACCGCAGACCCCATTGCAGAAAGCACAGACCCTGGTCAACAAGGTGCTCAAGGATGTAAATGAGTGTCGGACCCATGGCATGTCTTAAATATGTTTCAAATGTGTGGCATACAACTTGTGGGGCGCATCTTAGATCCCAATTACCTCACTGCACATCTTCCGGCCCATTTGCACGCTCTGAGGAACGGTGCGTTCAAACTGAAGCCCATCAAGATGTCAGCTGACCTTATCATGCAGTTGAATGCCGTCGCAGTGAAACTGGAAGGGTGTGCAACCATCCTTCAAGATCTGATCGCGAAAAAGAAGAACAAAACGAAGCATTACATCAGTGTGATTGCTGAGGCATCCAAGTCTAGTCCAAATTCAGTTAGAAGCAAGTGGCCTCAAATGATCTCAAATGTTAGTTTTCATCCAATGTTTGCAAATGTCAAACCATGCATGCCCTGTTATCATTTCTATCTTTGCAGGTGGAGAAGTTCACCACGTTGGCCCGAGAAAGATTGGAGCTTGGCAAGGCTTTGGTCCGGGCTAGCGACAAGGCAGCGAACCCTAAGGCCAAGGCCACTCCGAAGGCGAAGGCCACATCAAAGGTTTCCCCCACGAAGCCTACAGAGGCATAACATGTGCACTTGGGCTGGGGACATGATCTAAATAGCTTGACAGCCGAGTGGGAAAGCCTACTCACAAGTGCTGGGGACAGCTTGGCTAAGGCTACAAGACCAAATCTCTGTCGAAGTTTGCCTATCTCTAGCTTGAAGTTGTTTTCAAGCTTCATTGCTAGTTTGTTTCTAAAAGTACATTTAATTCATGGGGATGGTTTGTGATGTGGCCATAAAGCCTTGCTGGGCATTTGTTTTGATGGCAACAAAGAAGTTCCAGAGAGTTGATTCAACATGATCAGAATGATCATCTTTAGCTGCCACGCGTAATGTTGGCACCAATCCGTGGGAACAGCAACCAGCAGGAAAAAAAGTTTCCCTTTTGACCACCATGGGAGAATCACGTGTTTCATTTCTTGTGGCCAAAAAAAAGATTGCGATGTACCACAAGCCCAACGCAGGTCGAGATCCAGGAACCTTGCAACAGGACATGGAGGCCAGCTGGGATGACCTGGGCAAGCACCCGGTGTACACAGAGGTGTGTACAAATCAGTATGTCTGTATATATATATATGTATATCTATATATGATATATCAACAAAGTTATAAACATAAATGCAATCAAGTATACATACATATATATATATTTATTTATTTACGCATGCATACCTATGTATATACATGTACATACATATATATCTATATATCAATATGTACATACCCAGCGAAACACACAGATTTATATATATACTTATGATTTTGTATCTGTGTACGCAGAAGTATATGGGACAACATCTGACCCATCTATTTCTGTATGTAACTATCTTTCTATCCCCATCTATGTCTATATCTACCGGTTTTTAAATCCTTATACCTATACCGATCCATTCCAATCCACCTCAATCCAATCGAACCCAATCTATGTTGTATAATCTAAACCAATCTTAATTCAATCCAGCCCAATCCAAACTAATCCCACCCATCTATCTTTCTAGTCACCCAGATCTATCTATCAACGTTAAAGGGCATAGAGGGCCCAAAATGGAATCAGAAATCAGATGAGTTTGGCATTGGGCGTACGGCAGGAAATAGTCACCCCTCATTCGATCATTTCTCAACACCATCATTCCTGGATTTTCAGGACGATTGCGAAGGAACAGAAAAAGAGCTCGACAGCGAGAAGGTGCCCGAGTGGGATCGAACATATCAGCTTTTAAGTGAACGAGAAGTTTTTTTTAATTGTGGTGATTAATTCGTTTTGTTTTTCTGGTTTCCATGGAACCCATTGAACAGAGCAGTTAGTAGCCCCAACCAAAGCCTTTGTGCACCGTGCAGGTGCTGATATTGTGGCATCTGGCAGTGGCACTGCGCAGCGGATCTTCTACAAGATGTGCAGCGGGGCCCGGTCTTCTTGGGATATGTTTTGTTTGTTTAACCATCCACCCAAAAGGTTGAAATTGTGTGTTCAGCAATTTCCCAAGATTCAATCTGAAAACCAAAATGGGATTGAAATCGGATACAGGTGTTTGTTCAACAGTTCCCCCAAGTTTCACTCTAGAAATCAAAATGGGATTGAAATCGGATACAGGTGTTTGTTCAACAGCTCCCCAAAGTTTCAATCTAAAAATCAAAATGGGTCAAAACCGGATGCAATTGTTTGTTCAACAAGTCCCCTAAGATCCAATGCAAAACTTAGGAGCTAAAAGGGCCGTGGGATAAGATTAAACCTGTCAGATAGGAATTCATCGGAAGTCCAGGATAATCAAATTATTGGGGTGTTTCGCAAAGATACAACATACCAAATCAAGGCTGCATGGTGTTCAAATCAATTCTCTGGGATTCCCAAGGCCTATATATATATATATATGTATGTATATATATATATGCACATGTTGTACACCAAACGAAACCCATATAAAATCCACCATGTTCTGAAAACATGTTGGGCCCCTGAACAGGAGACGTCTGTTCGAGATGGGGTGTCAGCGGCAAAGCAACTGATCATGGATGGTTTCCAGTGCCCCCTTAGTGAAGCTCTGGCATCATTTTCTGAAACCCATGAGGAACGATCTTTCCAAAAGAATCTCTGCCAGAACTTGAGATTTGTTAATTTGACCGAACCTATTTCTTACTTCTGGGTTTGGCGTTATGAAGAACCTCAACATACCAGGGTTTTTCCTGGGGGATCCGTGCGCATCCAAGGTGGTGCCGAGACCATTGTGCAATCCAACCTGAGCGGGTGCAACTCCACAATCGCCAGAACGGGGTGTTGTGGCCATGGGATGTTCTAGCGCACATGTGGAACAGCCCAGGGCATACCAAGTTTCTATCTTGGATTCATGACCCCATGGAAGAAGCAAGTGCACGTTGTGCGGAGTATTGGGAGCGGGTTTCCCATTTGCCCTTCTTCGAGAAACTGGATGTCAAGAACCCTGAGAAAACAATACCCTTGTCGTGGCATATGGATGGTGTGAAAGTTTTCAAAACGCAGAAGGTTTGGGCTTACAGCCATTCAAGTGCAATCAGGAAAGGTCCATCGATTGACACCAAGACCCTGTTCCTACTCTTCCGGGATAATGTCATGGTTAAGCCACATACCCATGATGCTGTTGGAAATCTTATAGCCTATGTCATGGACGTTCTCCAATCTGGGATGTTTCCAAGCAAAGACCCTGATGGCAATCCATTTCCACCCCATTCAGTGCAAGCTCAAAGGGCAGGTACTTACTTTGCTGGTGGGTGGTGTGCTGCGTTCGCATGTTTCAAAGCTGACTTGGAGGGGCGAGTTTTAGCCCACAAACTTGTCCGCAACTGGGCATCGGACTCTATTTGCGAGCATTGTTTGGCGAGCAAGCTGCCTCAGTTCACGTACGGGGATTTCAGCGATTCAGCAGCGTATTGGGATTGCATGTTTACCCACCAACAATTTCTGATGCTGAACCCTCCAGGGAAGACATCTTCGTGGGTCAATGTTCGGGGTTGGGACATCAGTCGCAATTTGGATGAACCTTGGTTCTTGATTTTATGTGTTTGCGGCCCGAGTTTATTGATCCCAAACCTTTTGATTTTGGAGGCATGCCAGAACATTAAATTGGGAACAGGATAAGCGGGGAAAGTATTAAGATTATATAAGATATGCCATCTAACTTCATTCCTTTTACATTGGGGTTTGGGAGCATCCTGATAGATACCATCCAACCTGTCATTAATGTGACCATAGGGTACACCAACTACAATCCATTTTGGGGCTTGTACCGCAACTGATCCCAAGCCTCCTTTGAGTCCAGGGGAATAGGATTAAAAGAAAGGTTTCATCCAACTTAGGATTGTTCAATTTGAAGGTTATTACCCTTAATCTTATTTGGGTCCCATCAAACAGATACCATCGAACTTGGCAGTCTGAGTTCAAGGGCGTCCCAAGACCTTTTTGATTTTGGAGCCGTGTTCAAATGTTCAAACGTTGTTTTAGTTTCAGAAAATCAAACACATGGATACCACCCGGCTTTGGGAAGGACATGCTACATACAGTTCATCAGGGAGTGGCTCTTCACGCAATAGCTGGACTGGTGACTCACCACTATGAGGAGTTATATCCTGGTTTAACAATTGCACAGCTCAGTGAAAAACTTTCTTGCGATGCATGGCCCCACTACCGAACATGGTGCAAGGGTAAAAAGACAGTGTGCCCCACGAGCTCAACCTTTACAAGTTTGAAATTTGGAAGGGAAAGTTGGCAATCATTTCCCGAACTGTCATCTTGTTACAAGGGCGCCATGGTGAAATTCCTCATCTTTTGGGCAGCAGAATTTCTTGCAGACAAACTCAAAGAAATTGATACTGAGACCAGTCGTTTGCGAGCCTTCTGTGCCTGGAGTTTAGCTCAGTTCCAATACTTGCAGGATACAAACGGCCCATGGTTGTCCGGTGAAGTCGCAAAAGAGATGGCTCACATGGGTCGGAGTTTTCTGATCTTTTACCAAAAGTTGGCTGTTGATTCCAGGATTGCTTGCCCAGAAAAAAAATGTACAAAGTGGTCCCAAAGTTCCATTGCCTGTTACACCTTTGCCTTTTTGTCGAACAAACGTATCGCAATCCGCGATACGACCATCTTTACCAAGAAGAAGATTTCATGAAACACGTTGGCAAGATTTGTAGCAAGTGCCACCCGTCCACTATGGATATGGTGAGCTTGTACCGCTACAGGGCCCTGATCGAGCTTGCCAAGGATGAAAAATCTTGGGCTCCGAGCTCTGGTGAGCAGCGCGAAGGGACACCCACGGACAAACTCTAAGGTTGCAAGTTTTGGGATGCCAATGACTGTTGGGGTATGATGGTGTCTCCCCCAAGTGGAAAATCAAAATTGGTCTTGTGTCCAACAAAAGTGATGTTTTTCTGTTTGTCTAATTGGTTGATTCGGGTACAATCTTGGTGCCACAGGCGGGAACCAAAATTTACAACCTGGAGTTCTTTACGAAGATATTGGAAGTTTTTGTTGGGTGTAAACCCAGGTTTAAATTTTGGTTCCCATGTGGTCTTTTGAGCACAAGTTTTGTGAGCGGCGAGGCCGCAATGGGAGTGATCAAGTGACATGGCGTTCCAACAACGGGTTACCCAAAATAGATGGTTTACAATAGAAAATCTTTTTAAAATGGTTGTTTAAGGGCTACCACCATTTTGGGAAATTTCCATGTATTGGATTGGGGTTTGGTACATGCACACTGTGGGGCATACCTTTCACAATGCTCATGTTAAGGCGGTCAGTTACCCACCCCTTTTAATAAATTAATATTTTGGGCATTACCTTCCCACTTTTTTCATGGAATGTTTGGTTGACGTGGCACCGTCAGGTGCACCATCGCAAAAAAACAGACAAAGGGCACCCAAAGATCAAAAATGCATGCGTGTGCAAATGTTTTTTTGTTTGTGGTTCAAATGTTTTCGCACACACACACACTATATAAATATTAATATAGATATATATATATAATACATATATATATATTATATTATATAAATATAATATGTATATATTAATAATATATGTGATTTTTTCCCTGGTGGCAATGCCAATCACTGTAAGTGAGAAATGACCCACGCATTGCAAACGCATGAGCATCATTGGCATTGCAACGGGCCAGTTGCAATGCCAATCACTGCATGAGAAAGAAAAGAACCATGCATTGCAAATGCATGAGCATCACTGTAACCCGACTCCGAACACGTGAAACATGTGAATGCTGCATTTTACCAACTTTGGCTTCCGATTGATCTGAATGTGCTCGGTGTGCACATTTGGGCTCTTCAGGTAAGCCATACTGGGAACCGGTTCGGTTCCATTCGGTTTGCATATAAGAATACTTGGCGGTTCGGTTCGTGCCGGTTCTTAGCCTGCCGGTTCCTGAACGGTTCGGTTCCCGGTTCACGGTTCGTTTCCTAAGCCATACTGATAAAAGAATTTGTCAACTGAAGCATCTAGATGTCCAATGTCAGCTATCATTGTGTCTCTTTTTGAAATCATTTGGAAGTTGTTGGCTGATTTGGGTATTCAAAACGGTGTAGCTTCTCAGTTCTTGCCATCAAACACCAACTGGCAGATTTCTTGCCCCCCCATCGGATCCATTCAGGTCCAGTTTGATGGGCTATGAGGGTAGCGAAGCAGCTCCGAAGCCATATTTTTGGCCCTGTTTCTGGGGATTTCTGGAGTAGCAGTTTCAAAATCAAGGTGACCATCAAGAGACTGCCGAAATACTGTACAAAATGATACAATGATCAAAAGCTCTGGGTCCCTGCTCTCGAACATTTCCACGAAGATATCATATATCTGACCAGTGTCATGGACGGTGAAGCTCACCTTTACCATCGGATGTAAGGACATTCAAGGGATCAAACGAATGTGGAATATCCCTTGATATCCTTCATCAATCTTCATGGATCAATGAAAAATGGAATCCATGGAACCTACCTTTCACATCCTTTCACCTTGATTATCAAGGGATAAAGCCCCAAATATCCGGGATAGCTTTGTCCTCTCAGGACGATTTCCTTCAGCAGTTGGAGCGAGTCGCAGAAGGCCGGAGCGCAGTTTCACCGAAATTCTTCGAAGTGGCGGGGAACGATTTTCCGGAAAACGCATGGAAAGCCTCTATATTTCTCTACCTGCCAGGTCAGGGTCTCTAGATTTTAACAAAGGTGCAACTCACTCATTCATTCACTCACTCCTTCCCTCCTTCACTCGTTCACCCCTTCCTTCCGGCCTTTCTCCGAACGCACCGGATGCAGTGGAGAGCGCCTGGATCCGAACGCCAAATCGCCAGCCTAGAAGGCTGTGGAGTGCGCCTGGACCCGTACTCATGCCAGAGAGAATGCGAGATAGTCTGTCAGAATGTAAAATTTATAATATATGCACACATATATTTAACAATATATTTAACAATATATTTAACAATATATTTAATAATATATTTAATAATATATTTAATAATATATTTAATAATATATTTAATAATATATTTAATAATATATTTAATAATATATTTAATAATATATTTAACAATATATTTAATAATATATTTAATAATATATTTAATAATATATTCAATAATATATTTATATAATAATATATTTAACAATATGTTTTAATATATTTAATTATTTATTTAATAATAGATTTAATAATATATTTAATAATATATTTAATAATATATTTAATAATATATTTAATAATATATTTAATAATATATTTAATACTATATTTAATAGTATATTTAATAATATATTTAATAATATATTTAATAATATATATTAAAAATATATTTAATAATATATTTAATACTATATTTAATAATATATTGAATAATATATTTAATATATATATATAATAATATATTTTATAATATATTTAATAATATATTTAATCATATATTTAATAAAATATTTAATAATATATTATTACATATACAATAATTTATATTATATATATATATGCCATATATATATATATGCCGTATATTATTCCAGATGCTGTGCCAGAAACTCTGTCAGAATTATGTGCAAGGGTGGGGATCACTCGAAGTAAAGTAATTTTATAACTTTTAAATGATAAACAGCATGGAAACTCCTGCCTTAGACCAAATCATTTAGAGAATATGAGAAAATCCAACCGGAGATGTCCCAGTAGCTCACTTTTCAAGTTTCCAGATGAGTTGTTCCATTTCCGAAATCATCTCATGAAAGGTGTCCCTCTCCCACCCTCAGCATCTAAAGATGCTTGTGGATCTTCCATTGAATGGATCAGGGTAATTCTTGTCAGGGTGAGATAAAGGTCCGAAGATGTTTCCTGTTGCTGAGTACGATACAATCTCGCTTAGATAGGAGTACATGGGGCAACCTACTTGGGGTTGCAAATCCAGTAACACATGGTCATGTAGCCATAGTTCTAGATATAGGGGCCCCATATCCCAACTTAGGGTGTCGCTACAGTGGTCATACCTCAGGAACCTTGTATTTCAGCTCCTGGGTAGCTATGGCCCCAAACACAGAGGCCCACACTCTACAAACCTGGCGGCAATGTGCCGCTGCTGCTGTGGGGTTTGATGGTTTGCAAACTAATCCCATGTATATGTATGTGTATATATATATACATATATTATATTTATTATATATTTATTATATATTAATCCTATATTTATGATATATTTATGATATATTTATGATATATTTATGATATATTTATGATATATTTATGATATATTTATGATATATTTATGATATATTTATTATATATGTATTATGTATTTATTATATATTTATTATGTGTAGACCTAATCGATCCTTATCTTTTATTGGGTTGTCTTTTCGCAACCTGACTGTACTCTGGGTAACTGATGATCCCGGAAGTTGGGAGTCGCAGCTTCCATGCCTTGCACTGCCTTGCACCGCTATATGAAGACTATATCAATCACCAGTTAATTACAATAACAACAAGCTATATCAAGCTATATATAGTTCACTTATGTTCACTTATTAACTAGCTGAAGATCCTAACTTCCAGGACTATCCGAGCCCATTCAATTCCCATTACAATCTAGTTGCTAACCATTGACTTTGTTCAGCGACTGTCTCAGTACGCCCTTATTGTCCTCGAAATGAGAGACTTTGCTGGGTTCCTAACATCTACATTTACATAAGGTGGCTTGTACCAAAGTTGGATCCCTTTCATTTTTTGACATATGTAGTGGGTTGTGAATGGTGTTTTGGTCATTGTTACGGGCCCCATTGTTTTACAACTTAAATCCCGATGTTCATTGTATATCCTCATCGATGTTGATTTAAGCATATTTTTTGCTATGAAACTGACTGCGCAATTCAGTTGTTTTTCCGCATAATTTTGCTGGTCAGAATCCTCATCTTTGTCACTAAACCAAAATAGAGAGTTTTTCTCAGGCCCTCAACAAAATTGGTGGCTAACCAAAAAAACATCACTTTTCTACGCTCTGGTCATTTAAACATAGCTATGAACAATGGCCGATTTAGTTTGCTGGTTTACCTATAATTTACCTATTATTTAAATGTCCATGGCAACAAATGACCTTTAAGTAACATATATGTATATATGTATATATATATATATATCCCCAGTTATCCCCAGTTCTTTCCAGCCGCAGGTTCCTACCAGCCGCTCCACGATCTGCGGCGCGAGGCCTTCGTTGTGTCGACCAAGCCCTGGACGCTGCGACTGGCAGAGGTGGCCCGGCGCGCGCAGCGGCCGCCGGTGAAGATGGAGAAACTCTTGCAGGTGGGGCGGCGCTGATTGGGATGGTTGGGGCTGGGAGTTTTGAAGCAAAATTGGGGGGGGTTAAACGGTTTGCACAGAAACTTGGTTTCTATGAAGATTTCGGGGGACAGGATAAATTTGAGAATCGCCAATGGGGCTTTGAAGAACCAAAGAATGGTGATGTAACCAACCAAAGAGTGGGGATGCAGAGTAGGGAACATGATTCTTAAGCAAACCAAGGTATGACAAGTTGCCACTCATGTAAATGCGACAGCCAAAATATCACGGGTTTTTTCATGTTTTAACATTTACTCGACAAAACCAAGGTCGAAGTTGGATCTGCCGGCCATTTCTCAGTCATATTCCCTTTTAGGGTCCACCCGAAAGGGTCTCTGGGATGCAACAGCCTCTCAGCAGTGCAGGCAGTCGGATTCGGATGGAAAGATGCCACAGGAGGAATTTCGAGATATCCAGAGATATTCCCTGGTTGGTGGTTTGGAACATTTGGATCATTTCTCCATTCAGTTGGGAATTTCATCATCCCAACTGACGAACTCCATCATTTTTCAGACGGGTAGGGCTCAACCACCTTCCATTCATATCAAGTCACGGGAGCCACAACCCTTCCAGCAGCAGTTCTTTGGGGTGTCTGGCTGTCAACCCCGCCCTTCCGCAGCGTTTAGTTTTCAACCGGTGATTTTTTGGACGCCGCAGCTTCAACGAATGTCCATGATGTCCTTCCGCCCTCGATGCGTGGAAGATTGGTTGGAAGCCGTCCCCAACTTGCTGTCCGAACACCGCATGCATAGAAGGGGGGGAAATGTGGAAGGATGGGAAGAAGAATAATATAACAAGATCCCCCTCTTAATGTTCCTTATGAGATGGACCCGGGTGGCGCTTTTCCGGGTCATTTTATAAGGAATCCTGTTTCTCAAAAAAGGACCCAAAAAACAGGTGGGTGCCGCCCAGGTACCTTGAAAAGACAGCACAATTACCATTTGTTAATTTTGTCCCATTTTATAAAATGATAATTCATGGGTCTTGTAAGAAAAACAGACCCGGGGGTCACAAAGATTGGATTTTTCTTTCACCAGCACTCTCATAAAATAACGACTCTTTTTTTTTTAAAAAATATGTTGTGCAAGAAATCATGTTCACTTCGGATTTTGAATCATTTTACAAGGCATACCTTATTTTCAGTGTGTCCTTTTCTTTTGAAAATTGCAGTATTACCAGCAAAAACTGAGAAAAACATATACCCGGAGAAATTGTTTTTGCATTTTTTTTTTAGTAAAATGATCTCAAAAAATCGTGTAAAATGCCAAAGCCATCAAAACCCATTAAATTCCTCGTGAACAACCCTCGCCCGTATAAAATGATGGCTTTTGCCAGAAAACACCACTCACAGAACCTAAAGTTTGTTATTGTTTTGATTTTTTTTGTTGATTTCAACTGCCATTTTATAGCATCACCAGGACGCATTATAAGATGCCATTTGCAAGGGACCGTATATTGTACTTGTCGTGATTCCCATTATATTTTTTTTTTGAGAAATCTCATTTTCAAACGTAATTCTTTATAAACTGGCGCCCCCCCGGGTCCAGGGTCGAATTTTTTCAGGGGGATATAAAAAGTCGATTCCTTTGGGGGATTTTTCAAGGCAGATTCAGGCGGTGGATCAAAGGTCTCTGTGAGGGCTTTAGCTCCCAACCTGAGCTTTGATCTACTGGGCAATTCCTATGGTCCTATGGTTGTACCCTCTGGTGAACATACAAAAAGCTATTGAAAATGGCCATTTATAGTGGATTTTCCCATGAAAAATGGTGATTTTCCATTGCTATGTTAGTTCACCAGAGGGTACACAGCTTGAAGATGTAATGATCAGCACCCTCGTCTGGCCAGACATAACTGACATAACTGACATAACTGACATAACTGAAATAACTGACATAACTGTAGACCGAAAGATGCTGTGCAGATTGGATCTGATTGAATATGATTTGTAGTCACAGTTGTTCAATTTTGTGGCAAATAGACTTGTATATCCAGGAGACCCATTGCTGGTGGACAAAACCGCAGATGTTTTGGACAGCGCACCTGTCCAAAGTGAAGTCAAGTTATGCTGGTTGGATCTGAGAAAGTCATTTCTTGCTGGATGCCCCTGAACCCTTCCAGTCTTTGACATGAGACCTGACTATCTGGGGGTTTACATAAATGGGGGTATCCAAAAATGGTAGGTTTATAATGGACATCCCATCTATAAATGGATGATTTGGGGGTACCTCTATGACTCAGGAAATCACCAGGAATTCCCAGTCGGTCGATCATGGGTTTTGGACGTGACCCATATCACTGGGTTCACATCCAATATTTGTTCCCCCCCGGAACCATGATAGATATGATAGGTGATTCAGAATGAGTCATAGATCTTTGGGAATTGTCTAATATTACCCTCTGGTAAACTAACATAACTATGGAAAATCTCCATTTTTAATGGGAAAATCCACTATTTCAATGGCCATTTTCAATAGCTATTTTGACATAACCAGAGGGTAGGGGGATGGGATGACACGATTTTTTCAGTGTTTTTTTGACCGTTCTCTTCTTCCCCGCATCCTCACCATGAGTTGCCAATTTTGTTACATTCCCGTTTCTATTGGTTCAAAACGATATTAATTAATCACCCAAAAGATAGACATTTGCTTTACAACTATATTTCAGTAGGATTTCACGATTTTATTTTAATTGTCATTCATTTTCCATGTTTTGGTGGGCTTGGTATCTGAAACATCGAAGACAATCGAAGCCGACCCATCCAGGATGACTGGGACACAGAAGTTGAGAAGCCCCAGGCGGAGCTTGGTGTGTTAGAACTGGGAACATCCCCCAAATATGCATGGATTATATTATATATAGTAGATTATATATAATATACATACATATATATATACACATAAAAATATATACAATATATACAATATAAACAATATATACAATATATATATATATACAATATATACGATATATACAATATATACACTATATACAATATATACAATATATACAATATATACAATATATACACTATATACAATATATACAATATATTAATATGTACAATATATACACTATATACACTATATACAATATACATATTAAAGTATATACAGTATAATCAGTATATATATATACACCTATATGAGTGTATGGATTCTAAGTATTAAACCTACTTTGATGTCGACACACTGGGGGAATGAAGATTATTTTACATCAGAAGAGGATTCGAAGGGGGGATTTTATGGAGAGTGAATTTAGCATTGAGCAATACCTAGATGTTGCCCGTTGTAGCTGGGAAAATTCTAACCACGAATGGGCTACCCTCTGGTAAACATACAAAAAGCTATGGAAAGATCCACCATTTTTACTGGGTAAATGAACTATAAATGGCCATTTCCAATAGCTACGTAATTCCACACACTTGCTCACACAAGTAGAACATATCAACGTAGATGGAACAAAAAAACAATCCCCATTATGTTTCTCTATACAGCCCAATCAAAAGCCTGATGAAATCAAATGTATTGGATCTATTCATGAATTGGGGTCCTCTACAGGGGTGCATATCGAATATGTTCTTGGGAAGGGATTCACACACACGAATATTGATACTGTCATGGCTCTTCCTAAATGGTAGGTTCTACAGTAATGTATTTGTAATTATATATATTTATTACAAGGTATATATACACATACATATCTACTGCAAGTATATCACACATGATCCACTATATTTAGGATATTAGATACATGGCAAGACTAACATCTCCCAGGTGTCCCTTTACCGTAAATTTACTTGTAGCTCTGCCATTTCACCCAGCTAAACTATCCCATGGTTATCTCCAGGAACAACCACGACAGAGTCTGATGATTTTTCACATTTCATCGAAGTTCAAGCAGTTTACATTCAGTGAAAGGGATTTTAAGCCCACTTACGAACCTTACTAACCAGTTGAAGGGTGTTACAGTCCCAGTTAAAAGCCAATTACCGATATAACCACCATAAATCCTAGTTCTTGGAGTTATAAACTAACTTAGCCAACGAACTGGGGCACTTAACATCAGTTATGGCTATATAACTGGATTATAACTGGGAAGTTATAAACATCACTATATCATTATAACTGGATTCTTAGCTAACAAACAGGAGTACTTTTCACATCACAACATCACTATTAACCACTATTAACCACTAACCCAGGTATAATATCACTCAACCAGTTTATAACCCCAGTTACGGCCCATCTTTTGGTCCCTCCTTAGGCCACCCTGTCGTACATGGCGTGCCCCTGGGGCGGCCAACTCATCCGTGTGGCCGTGGCTGGGATCTGCGTGTCGGATGCACCAGCGCCTTGAACGCACCGAGGTATCCAAGGTGCAAAAGGACTATCCGGAAATGGTGATTTACTGGGAAAATCATCGGTCAATGGACATATGAATTTTATAAATGGTGATTTACCATCTGGTTATTTAACATAGATATGGAAACAAAAATACAATCTGGTTATTTAACATAGCGAACTGGAAAATCCATTCCAAATGAAGGAATGATAAAATCATCTGTAAATGGGCCATTTTCCAGTTCGCTATGTTAAATAACCAGAGGGTAACTATTTTAACTATGCCAAAAATGGATAAGCATAAAATGTGGGTGATTTATATAATTGGTGATTTCTCGATTTCTCCCAACCTGAAATGGGGATTTCCACGCGATTTTTAACAGATTTTAAATGGAAATCATGTCTGTTCTAGTTAAATCACAATGCAACATGACCTAAAATGGGCATTTTTACATGATTTAACTATGCCAGCCACAAATTTTCTCCAGAATTAGCTAAGATTTGTTTTTTACCGGGCAAAATGGGAGGCAGAAAATTCCCCAAAAATTGGAAAAACTAAAGGAAACCCCATACTGATCCACATTGTACTTGGTAAAAAGGTTTCTTGATGTTTCTTGCAACTTTTGAAGTCACTCCATTGAGTTCTTGCCATCTTCATGACAAAATGCTTGTGGTAAGTGGTGAGTTGGTGATGGTTTAGATTGGTGACACCAGTGTCATTTCTATGGAGAAAGAGACACATTTCCAGACGTAAACTGTGTTGGCTGCACCGTACTGTCAATTTCTTTGTTGGTAGATGTGATAATTACGAAGCATTCTGTCAACCTGTTGCCGCTGTTGCCCCATCTGCAAGAACGCCAGCCTCCGAACTGAGGTGAAGAAGAGCCACGTGCTGCTGGGTCAAAGATTCAGCCAGGCTTGCACCTACAAAAAGCATGGGTAACTGATCCCAAGGGTGGAATGACCAACAAAGCATGAGGATTCCTTAGCGAACGTGAGGTTTCATGTCAATTTTCAGATAGAAATTGCGAGTCCTGCAGTGATCACCAGCTAGACAGCACATGGTAAACATAAGCAAATAGTTTACAGTATCCATTCCCTGTCTGTTGATTAAACCTTTATTTGTTTTGGTAAAAATCCACCAGGGTTTCTACGTGAAAATTCCCCAGTTTTCACCATGGTGAACCGATCCATTTCCCCTGGATCTCCACCAAGAAAACAGGTGCACAACCCTAGGCGGGCCCTATTGATGTGTTAAATCATGGTCCTTTTTTTTCGTTTACGAATTTCCCACATCAACCCCAAACAACTCCACCAGAAAATCCACGCCCTAAGATTTCTCAAGATTTCCCATCAAAATCAGCCCAATCCCAAGACTTGGGCCGCACTTCTCTCCACGGCCCCCAGGTTGGTCCGGCCCGAGACACGTGCCGCCTTTGGCACCGGGTCCTTGCTGGAACACTTTGCGCCGGGAGATGCAGTCGTGCTGCGCTGGGCGGACTGGGGGCTGCTGCGGCTCTGCAGGAGACGGGAAGGGGTTGGAAGGGTGGTGATTTAGTGGGAAAACCATAGGAAAACCAGGGGAAAACAATGGGAAACCCATACGTAGGAAAACCATGGGAAAACAATGGGAAAACCATAGGAAAACCATAGGAGAACCATAGGAAAACCATTGGAAAATCATGAGAAAACCATAGGAAAACCATAGGAACACCATAGGAAAACCCATGGGAAAACCATGGGAAAACCACAGGAAAACCAGAGGAAAACCAGAGAAAAACCAAAGGAAACTGATGGCTTAACCAACAAAAATCATGGTATTTCAATGGGATTTATAGCTGATTTATGTTGGCTAAGTTGGTGAAGATAACTCCAATAGCAACTGTGGCACCACCTTGTGGAGGTTGACCCTCCAGTATATGAAAGCTGGGTAATAACAATGGCTACTTGCAACTGTGTTTGTAAGGCTTTTTTATGGTGAAGACTGGTGAAGTGAGTGACAACTAGCAATACTAACAACATCTAACAAAGTTGTGTTTGTAATAGCTAATAATGGTGATAGTGATGGTGAACAATGGTGATTCGTGGCTACTGTCAATGGAATTACCCTCGGTGTCCTCAAACATGGCGGGCCGCCGGAAAATCCCCAAAGATGGGCACTGACATGGAAACATCATCGACGTATTATTGATGGGGAATTTACCAGGAAGCCATGATTGAATTTCCAGAGAGTAATGAGAATTTAACCATTTTTAGAATGAGGATATCATGCGGATATGTATTGGGGATATGTAATCATGATATATCATGATGATTGTACTCATCATATGGGTATATTATCATCATGCGGATATATATATATATTACATCATTGGGTGAAGTGGGGATAATCGTGGGGATATCCCTCATGGGTATAGCAATGATGGATAAACCGCACTTCATGGGATGATGATCCCTCGACATGAGCACAATTCTCCGGGGCTTCCACCAGATGAATGGGGAATCAGTTTTGGATTTTCCAGACTTTTTTTTATTGGGGATTATTTATAATTAGCCCCAGGAAACCGATACTTTCCAACTACTAGTAGTAGTAGAACTCAGGAGGATAGTAGGAGACTTGGCAAATTTTCCATGGGGAGTGGTGCCGGAGCCTCTTCAGGGATGTTCACCGGATGGCTGATGCTATCGGGTTTTGCCTCAAAAGCACAAGCGAAGATGGGTGTTTTTTATCGAAGATGGGTGAGGTTTTCCATCCCCACCTCGGGCGGTTTCTTGCGTTTACCGAAAATGAGCTTTTTTATTATGATACAGTAATTAGATTCCACCAGATGATGGTCAACAAATTCTGGTTGGTGATTTTTACCGATTAGATTAGCTTCCAAAGGTTGATGGCCATTTTGGCCATTTGATGCCATTTGTGGAAGATTCTCCGTACTGAGCAGCATGGAAAATGACAGAAACCAACTAAAAAGGGTGGATGGTTGGAATTGGGGGTGCTCACGCATGGTGATGTTTTTTTTTATCACCTGGACACATGATCATCATTCCAAAAACACCTGATTAAGGCCATGTTGGGATGCTTGTCTTTGGTTTTTGCATCACTTTTGCTGTAGACCAGTAAGTTTGCGGAGTTTGCCATGGAAATTCTTTGGCGGTCATAGAAATAGCCCCAATAAGGGACCCAATTCCAATCACATTCCACCAGCTTCCCATTGGGATCGCCGAATCAACTCCTAGTGGCCAAGCCTCGGTCCAGTGGTCAACCAGCCATGGAATGTGGGTTGACTTTTGAACTAACCATGCTTGGCTAGTCCAGTCTGGCAACATTCCATTTAAATCCATGAAAAATCCTGATGAAATCCAGTGTCTCCCCGAAAAAACCATCCCAATTTTCGATGCAAACAGGCTTTTGGGATGGTTAGATCCCAATGTGTTGCTATCCTCTCCGCCAGCATCCTCTTTGGCGACATGGCTGGACCCACCTTCACCACTTCGGCGCGGAACCTGAAGACAGCCCCGGTGCTGACGTACCAGCGGCTGCGCCGGGACTTCCCCAGCCCGGGCGATGCGGCCATTGCCGCTGGGGCCGAAGGTTGGTGGAGGTATCCTCTCAGATTCAAACATGGCAACGGGCAATCTCTGGATTTCCCACCAAAACTACCATTTATAGTGGATTTCCATGGATTTCCCCTTGCCATGTTTGATTTACCATCTCTCGTAGCATGAAAATACCACAAGAATATCCCTGTCCCTCAAAACGTTGGTTAGTACATCTGTTCTGAGGCTATAAATCCTACTACCATTTAAGCATGAAACATGTTTTTGAGTAGGATTTCTGGTGGTATCACGGTGGCTTAACAGTTATTTCATCATTGAAATTTGTGGATTTGTCCCTGAAGAATTGGGGATTTAATCATATCTAACCAATGAAGATTGGATCTGGGTGTGTCTGAAAATGAAAGATTTACATCCAAATTGCAACTTTTTGAGTCGGAAAATGATGATGCCCTATGTTCTGACAAACCGGAGTGCTGGACTCCGGAATTGTGACTGGGGATTTAAAAGTTATATGGGCATGTACATGTATGCATATGTATGTATGATATAATATAATACAATATAATATAACATAATACAATATAATGTAATGTAATGTAATGTAACGTAATGTAATGTACGATATTGTTATAATATGATATAGTATAATTTAATACAATATAATATAATGTAACGTAATGAAATATATTGTATTATAATATAACATAATATGATATAATATAATGCAATGTAGTAAAATATAATACAATATAATACAACATAACATAATATAATATAATATAATATATTATAATACAATGTAATGCAATATAATACAATATAAATACAATATAGCACCATATAACACAATATAGTACAATATAATACAATATCACACAATATAATACAATATAGCACACTATAAGACAATATAATACAATATTGCACAATATTGCACAATATAACACAATATAATACAATATAATACAATATAGCACACTATAACACAATATAATACAATATAACACAATATAATACAATATAACACAATATAATACAATATAATACAACATAGCACAATATAACACAATATAATACAACATAACGATATAATACAATACAATACAATATAGCACAATACAACACAATATAATACAATATAACAATATAATACAATACAATACAATATAGCACAATATAACACAATATAACACAATATAACACAATATAACACAATATAATACAATACAGCACAATATAACACAACATTGCACAATATTGCACAATATAACACAATATAATACAATATAATACAATATAACACACTATAACACAATATAATACAATATAACACAATATAATACAATATAATACAACATAGCACAATATAACACAATATAATACAATATAACAATATAATACAATACAATACAATATAGCACAATATAACACAATATAATACAATATAACAATATAATACAATACAATACAATACAATATAGCACAATATAACACAATATAATACAATATAACAATATAATACAATAAAATACAATATAGCACAATATAACACAATTTATAATTCAATATAACACAATATAATACAATATAATACAATATAACACAATATAATACAATAATACAATATAACACAATATAACACAATATAATACAATATAATACAATATAACACAACATACTCTCCTATACTATACTACAATAGAATATAGTATAGTATCATATATACAGTAAATGAAGATGTTTCCTACAGGTTTGGGCTTTGTGTCAGCAGATCTGGGGAGATTTCGCCGAGAATGGTGCAGGGAACCTGAAGGCATGGCTTCCTCATTTGGGCAAGGGGAACTGTTCCAAAAACTGCTAATGTAAGGTTCCGATCCATACCCCGGGACCACATGCGATCCATACCCCATGATCCATACTGCTTGATTTTCATATGTTCGAGAAATCTTCTGATCATAGTTAATCATAGGTAAGCAATCTTTTATTCGTACTTACTGTATAATAATGACTTGATCCAAATATCATCAAATCATTTCTGTTTCTCCAGATTTTTCCAACATATAGCCCCCAGCTCTAAAACAGCCTGAGCGGATCAGCTCTAAAAATTCGCGTCTCCGAAATTGACGCCTTGAGGCCCTTTTCCATGAGGGTGATGATGCGCAGGAAGGATTTTTGATGTCTTCTCCAACGGTTGCGACAGACACCTGGTTGAAAAGTCGGAACCGTCGCCGTTGGCGATTTTTTCTACCGATGGATGTCGAAATCAGATGATCTACAGGTTTTATCATGGGGGTTTGTCTCATCAAATCTAAGGGGTTCCTGTGAATGCTCATACCCTCTGGTAAACATACAAAAAACTATTGAACATGGCCATAGAAATAGTGACTTTTCCCATGAAAAATGGTGATTTTCCATAGCTACGTTAAATGACCAGAGGGTAAAATTTTTCCCTTAAACCAATCCTATGATACCTGGACTATCTGGACTTTGGTCTCTCAAACTTGCCTTGACTTAGTGGTGGCGAATTTCTGATAATTACCGAAATAAACCCATCGGTAGCTCCCAATTTCTGAAAGTTCAGAAAGAATACAACAGTTACCCTCTGGTAAATTAACATAGCTATGGAAAATCACAATTTTTAATGGGAAAATCAACTATAAATGACCATTTTCAATAGCTATGTTAAATTACCAGAGGGTACATTTGTGTGTGGAATGGTTTATCGTTGGAATTACATAAATGATTCAACATTGCATATTACTGGATTTAACATTGACTTGTTACTGGATATGAACGTTGTGTGATTGGATTACTGTATGGTTTATTAATACTCCATGTATGGGATGTTTACCAACCTTGGATTCATCTTTGGGATTAAAACATATATTTATAATATATTAAAAACATGTATATATATATAATTATATATATATATATGTCTAGACATGTATTTTTAATGATATAGGATATATGGATATATTACTAATGTATGTATATTTTAGCACACATGTAAGTTTTGGGGACATTTTCCTTGCTCGACTCGGCTCGTTTGACTTTCTTTGGATCGTCCAACATTCTCGACGAGGAAAACAAGTTTGACCTCATGGGTGTCTTCCGCATGCCTGACGAGAAGTGGCTCGACGCATCCGAGATAGATAAATAACAATTACATAACATGTATGACTATATGTATGTGTATATGTAGTATATATGGATAGGTATTATATATGTATATATGTATATATGTATATATGTATATATGTATATATGTATATATGTATATATGTATATATGTATATATGTATATGTATATATATATATATATATGTATGTATATATATATATGTATATGTACTATATTATCTGGGATGCACGCCCAGTAGATGATTCTTTTCCATTTTTGTTTGCCCAGTAGATGATTCTTTGGCAGGGTATCTACAAGATTCCCCATGATTATGCCAAGTATCCCAATCACAATTGGTCTTGTTGAAACTTTTTTTGTTGTTGAAACCTCCAATCATTGTTGCTACTTCCCTTTCTTTCTAAATTCACACCCAGTTTTTGGTTGATGAGCAAACAACCATTCGCTCTTTTGCCTTGATTCAACTTGATTCATCTTCTGATTTCCCCCGAAAACAAGTGGTCATCACCCCCCAGGGAGAGAAACAAATCCAAACTTTTGATTTCAGACCTTTCCGAAAGCTACGGTCCGACCATATCAGTTTTCCCATATGTTCCATGTACGGATTTACCAGCATTGTGGTCATTTTTCAGATTAATGTTGGTAAATATTCCAGCACCATGGAGCGTACGGGTTTGATACATACCTAGAACATCCTAGAAGCCAAATGACCTCATGCCAGTCATTTGAGAGGTCAACGCATCCAATAAAGGTGTCTCTTGTTTTCAGGGCCCTTCCACAACCAGAATTCGTGGTGAACCCCCCGGGCAGATTCCAGTGAAGAATCTTCAGAATTTCTGCCTAAAAAGATTACCCTCTGGTGAACTAACATAGCAATGGAAAATCACCATTTTTCATGGGAAAATCCACTATAAATGGCCATTTTCAATAGCTTTTTGTATGTTCATCAGAGGGTAACAAGAAATTAGAAATCCTAAACACTAAATAACAATAATACATATTTTTTCCGGTGTAAAATCCAAAATAAGGTAGTGTCCCCCAGTTGCAAGTTGGTTGATAAACCCCATTAACTATAGATAGATCTACCACAAATCCTAGCTGACCTAGTGAAGTAAACCAAGTTAGTTATTTAGGCACTCCAAGCTCGTGGCAAGTCAGGTTCATGTGCTGTGCCTGTACCAATGATGAAAAATCCTAGGTTCATTCTCTCCAAACTTTCTAGACAAATCATCTAGAAATCGCAAGATTGTCCCCAAAAAAAAATCCCAGAAAAAAAATCTAGAAATCCGAGGTTTTCCCCCAAATCTCCAAAACACCTTACAACTGGAGTGGAATCTCCATAAAACCTCACCAAAAACCTCCAAATCCCAGGGTTTTTTCCAACAAATCCTAGGTTCACGTCCTGGACCTCGATCCACTTCCAACTGCTTCTGGACTCCGCCTGTCGCGCGTCCCACTGGCTGCTGAACGGTCCGCGCACTCGCGAGATGAGGCAGGCAGACGCAGAGGCATATGTGGTGCCGTGGCGCTTGAGTGGCTGGTGTGGCTGGGGCCCTGAGGGCTGCATATTTAATTGATATTTAGGATATTTAATGGATATTTCAATGGGATTTGTGCAGGTGAGGTTTAAAAAACGGTACAAACAGGGTGATAACCCTCATAAGTTAGGATCTGGGCGCCGTATGATGTATAATATATATATATAATAATATATATATATATGATATAATATATATATATATATATATACACACATGATATTTATAGGTGGAACTGCGCCCTGAAGTAACCAAGAAAAATGCGGAGTTCATGTTTGGAATATCCAAGAATTTGCGATTTGGCACCAAGATGCAGCTTTGAGGTAGGAAAAAGCCATGTCAACCAACAGAAATGGGGATAATATATATATATATACAAGGTGGTGCCCCATAGTTAGCTAAGTTAGTTTATAAGTCCCATAACTATGGTTTATGGCAGATATAACTATAGTTAATGGGGTTTATAAACCCACTTATAACTGGGGGGCACCATCCTGTATACAAATATATATATATATATATATATTGGATTTGGACCAATAGAACCACAACAGAAGCTTGGGAGAAACGATCGCAACCTCACTTTCCGACGACAGGATACATGATGGTTCGGATTGGAATCAACAATTCGGCCAGAAATAACTTGTATGACTTGACCTTGAGACGGTTGAGGATTTAAAATTGGAAAGTTGTCAGCAAGTGAGTTATAGTGCAACAACGTTCAATGCATTCCATGTACCCTCTGGTTATTTAACATAGCCATGGAAAATGGCCCATTTATAGGTGGTTTACCTATTAATAGCATGGTGATTTTCCATGGCGAACTGTTAGTCATAACCAGAGGGTACATTGAATGATGTTTGGCAAGGGGCTGCTATCCCAACTCATCCAATCCTTTGATCAGAATCAACAGCCCCGATTTTTGGCACCCCCCTAAATCAACACATCCAATACTCAGCCACGAATTTGGGGGTGTTGAAGGGAATAATTGAATAGCTTAGTTCATGTCGGACATAGACATTGAAAAGCGATAGACGCTTAATGTTTTGGGATCATCCAAAAATGACCTTAAAGATCAAGCAGGACTTCGTGAAATTTACCCAGAACTCAAGTTTTGCCAAAGTAAATAACCAAGTGGGTTAAAGTTCCCTTACTGTACTATCTTTAGGGATCATGGGGAGTGTGGCAATGAGGAAGTCGTGGGCTCAAGCACGATGTCCGTGGGGCGGGCTGGAGTGGATTGGGGTTCTAGAAGTAGGGGTCCATCATTAGGGGGGGACTAAGGAGATCAGAAGCTATTTGAGCTATTTCAGCTATTTCAGACATTTTCAAAAAGCAAAAACCACGGCATTTTCCAGCAAACAATTTGGAATTTTGTGATGCCAAGTCATTGACTTGAACCCGGGAAGGTAGCGGGTAGCGACACCACCGGGACATGAACGGTGGGCTTTTCCCATGGCGACCAAACATGTGGTGTTTTCCGAACCGGAAAAGTCTCCAAAAATGGAGAGTAGGACGCCATTATGGCGCCCATGGCGAACATAGCATTGTTTAAAGCCCAGTGAGAAGCCCTGGCTTCGCGTTTTCGTTCTGCCAAATTTAGTTGAGTTTAACATTAAAAAGATGGGATTACATCCCAGTACACATTGTATGTCCCAACGTCGAATGGTGATGCAAACAATCTAGCGTGAAGTAGCAGGGGAAACATATTTTCAGACTGATGTTGGTAGAATAGAATCTGTTTAGCTATACCTTGCCATGAAACGCAACGCTGTAAGCAGTCAGGCTGACAGTTTGATTGAAGTTGACCGCATGTTATTGCAAGAGAAAAGCCGGGCCGATGGATTTGCATTTGTTTACCCTCCAGTAAATGTTCATAGAGATCTGGAAAGCCTAGATTTCCTTAGGACATGGTGACATGATGGTGGATTTTCATGGATTTTCCTTACTGTTCCCACGATTTTGCTGCTTCACCCTGAGACCTCTGCCAAGGTGCTGACAATCCAAAGATGCTGGGCCTGGAATTTGCGTTTTGCAGGCTTTCTATTGACACCTAAAGAACCATCCAAAAGAACCATCCAGAAACTACAGGATTGAACTAAAAATCACAAAGTAAAATCAACTTATAGTACATCATGAAACATTAAGACAACTATCAATTTCTAGAAAAATCTAAAATCAAGGAGTCACTTGAGGCTGCAAACGGGGCCTGCCCCTCTATCCCTTCGTCCCCACCCACGGGGCGATGGAGCCGACGGTGAGCATTGCGGCGGGGGAACATCTGGGCCTCGACAAGTGGATTCGCTTCACTCCTGGGCAGGTGGGGCATTTTGGGACCTGAGGGCTGGAGTTCCCAAAATTGGAAGATTTTGGAATGAAACGCGTGATTTTGAGGGTTTACTGTATATAATATGGTTTAATGTTTCTGAAATTCCCCACATCTTTGTGTGGGGTTCTTGTTCTTGATTCTGTATCCCGCTCCCGCCTCCCCCTCCCGCCTCCTGCTCCCGTCCCGCCTCCGGGCCCCGCCGCCTCCGCTTTGTCACACACTCTCTTCCACACACAACTTTGTCACACACCATCTTTCACACAAGACTTTGTCACACACACAACTTTGTCACACACAATCTTTCACACACAACTTTGTCACACACAATCTTTCACACACAACTTTGCCACACACCATCTTCACACACACACACAACTTTGTCACACACCATCTTTCACACACAATTTTGTCACACACACACACAACTTTGTCACACACCATCTTTCACACACAAGACTTTGTCACACACAACTTTGTCACACACAATCTTTCACACACAACTTTGTCACACACAATCTTTCACACACAACTTTGTCACACACCATCTTTCACACACACAACTTTGCCACACACCATCTTCACACACACACAACTTTGTCACACACCATCTTTCACACACAATTTTGTCACACACACACAACTTTGTCACACACCATCTTTCACACACAACTTTGTCACACACATACACACCATCTTTCACACACAACTTTGTCACACGCAACTTTGTCACACACACACAACTTTGTCACACACACCATCTTTCACACACAACTTTGTCACACACCATCTTTCACATACAACTTTATCACACCCACACAACGCTTCACATACAACTTTTTAAACTTCTCGATCCTCCACCACCTCCTTTGTCTTTCCTTCCTTCCCCGTCCCGCTTCAACTTTTGTTGCTCATTATTGGAAGAAGTTGACTTGTGGGGTTATCCGGTCCTTCAATTTTTGGGTAGATGTTCTTTTTGTGGGTTCGGGTCCAAAAGATTATTAGTTAAGGAATTTGGATGAAGAATAATGATGAGAGGCACCCAAAAATGATGCGTTTGATGGATTTTGACCTCCTACTGTAGTTGTCCTTTTCATACTGCTTGGTTGAGAAAGACGAGAGGGGTCTCCCTTCATTTTCCACATACAGCACATCCCAAGACATTGGTGGGTTGTTTCCTAACAGATGTGGAACCTCCCCATATGGGCCTGGTTTGCAAATGCAACTCCAAGAAGCATACATGCCATGCGATTTGGAAACGTTTGCCTGGTACTGTAACAAGTACCAGAACCTGATGTATGAAAAGATCCCGGTTTATCACCATGTTCCCTACTAAAATTGTAATTTAAGGGTTGTATCCCAATTTCAGACAAACCCTTCATGATGAAAATTGGTTAAAGATGGTTGAACCCATTTCAATCCTTATTTTTCATGGTCAAATCCACCATTGAATGATGGTTTAAACAGTGGTTTTTTCTTTGATCGCCATGTAAAAAATCACTTCGGAACCTTCGTGTCGTTGCATCCCCATGAAAAAAAACGCTTCTCGCCTGAGGTTGGCAGCGAGAAGTTCCGCCTGTCAGAGTACATCCAGTCGCTTGAACTGGGTCATTATCAATGGGAAAAGCCATGGAAAACCCCACGGTTTGGGGTACCATTTTTTTAAGGAACCCCCAAATAGTTTTTCTGCAAAACTAGATCACATCGAAATGTACTTTTGGGATGATATTTATACTTTTTCTTTGGATCCTTGAAGATATTGTGTTGGGGGCGGATTGGGACAGTTCAGCATATGAGGCCTCGATTTTGAGAGCAGGCAAGGTTTCTTGTAGCGTCTCTAGACGCAATGTATCGATAAAATGTTTTGGTCAGGGATCCGCAGATTGGCTCGCTCTACAACGCAGAAATCAAATCGGGGCGCGCACGATTCTACGGACTCAAGACGAGTGTACTATTCACCCAGGTGCTGAGTCCATTTTTTGTCCTACTTCGATGTTCATCCCAGTCAGAAACTGGTCCATTTATGAGATTTAATGAACATGCTTGCCAGGCCAGCTATAATCGGGATGCGGTTTTATGAACCAAGATGGAAACCGAAGCTCTCTTCTGCTCTGACCAATGTCAGCAGCTTGGCAGCCAGGCTATTTCTGCAGAATTTGGGTGAGGCACTGCCCATTTACTACATCATGGATGGTCGAAAGTTGGTCCCCTACCAGTGCGTAGTGCGACGCGAGGTACGCACTTTTCAGGGAATTGGGAGGATGGAGAACTGAGGGCTTGAGATGATTAATGATTAGCTAGTCGCCATGAAAGAATGATGTCTGCTGGCTTCAAGGACATTCAAGGACATCAGAATCTGAAGGCTTTTGGCGACTGTCACAGTCCGATCATCCCACGGATCACAACAGGTAACTCTTTCATCCGACAAAGTGCCCAGTTCCTGGGTTTTATCCAATTCATAACTGTCATAACTGGACTAACTCCCACAAACGTTTAAGTGCCCAGTTTCATGCTATGGATCCTCCAAGTAGATCTTTCCAAACGTGTCATAACTTATAAGTTATAGAATAGTCAGAATAGTGAATGAATAGTAAATGAATATAGTTATAGATAGAACTATTGATTTCTCTATCATAACCTCAGGGACCCCAAAACTTCAGTGAAGTTTTCTTCACCGCAGGATTGGCTGCGCGTCCGTAAGAGGTTCGTGGAATGCTTCCTCCTTCAGAAGACCGCCTACCGCCGTGCCAATGGAGGCTCCACTGCTCCAAGTCTCCACGAGGACCCGGAAAAATGCTGGATTTCTAAGGGGTAAATGATGAACATGGGGCTAATATGGGTATGGGTCAATACCTATAGATACATTTTTAGTGGGATGAACATCCATAAATCCCAGCTATGACTTGGGGTTCACTAGGTACCAGGGTTTTGACCCATCCCCATATGAATCTTGACAATGCTTTGACATGTTTTTCATGGGATTTTGGGGCAAAGTTTGGAGAGCCTATCTTCAAAAAGAGTTGGGAAAAGCTTGCATCTCGCCAGATGTCTGTCGGTCTCAATGGTGCTGCAGGGATTTGTCCACCCAAAATCACGGGAAGTAACGTCCCAGCCCAGTTTTCCGAAGGCTAAAAACTCTTACTGGTGCTTAGTAGGGAATGGATGGGAATGGGGGTTGCTGGGATGATTATTGCTAGTGATGACTGGGATCATTCCCGAAAATTCCCTGCGTTTAGCACCAGTAAGAACTTGCTGAATGCTCACCATTTCTCTTCCACAAATTGGGGGAACTCCAAGCCAAGTCCAGCTTGGCCATCTGGTTGGAGCTTTCAGAGTAACTGTGGTATAGCTACAGTAGCATAAGGCGGTTGATACGGTACGTTGGTCATGGAGTCGTATCAACTGCGTGCCGAATTTTTTGGGGAGGTGGGGTGGGGTGGGGCTAATAACGTTCATGGCACATTTGCGTAACACATGGAATGCTACGCTGTGCTACGTTCATGCACAATTGCGTACACAAACACATGGAATGCTACGCTGTGCTAGGTCCATGTACGATAGTGGCTGGAACACAACAGTTGGACTCCACTTGGCGTCACTTAAAGAAGTGGCGCCCGCAAAGTTCGCAGCAGAAGTCAGAAGATAAATTCGGCTGTAAATGCCATGCGCTACAAATTGTCATACTCCTATATACATGTGAGCAAAGACCTAAAATGTTCATGCAGAAACCTTTACGTGAGAGGTGATATGGTGGAACATGTTGCCCAAACCATTGAAAGCAATATGGTGAACTACTTAAAGCGATAACGTGATTTGATGGTGAATTTGAAAGGTGTTGTTGTTTTCGCAGCCATTTGGGATTGTATAGTAACTTCATATGCATTGTTTTAGCATTCGTCGGATGTGAATCCAGGGGCTCCCAAAAAGCCTAGAGGTGCTCGCAAAACGCCTAGAGTACCCGCTTCTGACCGCAGAACTTGCTACCAAAACTTGTCACGACACAGGCTCTGGAAAGCAGAGGCTGTGCTTTGGAAACAATTTATTTCAAGTGTTTCCTGATTTTACCAGATTACGAGATGATTTACCGATAACCAAGCGATACAGTAACCAAAACTTGCCAAAAGGGGCCTGCCCAGAGACCCAATCCATCCCTGCAGTGGCGCGCTTCAATTTTGCTTCAATGTCTTGAATCCAGCCTGGCCTTGAAACCTACCATTGAATATAACTTTGATCTACAGATCCAAAGAAAGGAACCGAATCTGCAGAAGCAGAAGGCACGCAACAGTGCAAAACCAAGCTGTTCTGAGGGAAATTCTTTCCGCACTTTGAAGACAAACAGTGGACAGCAGAATCCTGACCATGAAGTGCCCCTATTGTTGATTCTGTGGAGATGAATGGAAATTGATCTCCAAATCAACAGCCATTGTTTGACATGCCCCAAGGCCATGTAAATCGATATAGCGAACGATCTAAATCGATAACTCTTGCTCATGACCGCCTTTGTGACCCTTAGTTTTGGTCCCCGCTCATGTGGAGACCCAATGCCAAGTGTGAAAGCAATTTAATTGACTTTAAAAAACTGAAGTTGCTGCTGATCTCAAAACCTGAAAACATGAAAATTCTCATGTTTTTTCTTTAGCCCTTCGATGACATATACCATTAATATTTCGCTTGGGCGAAATGCCAATTTTCACTCTCAAGTCAAGCGCCTGCCATTCAAAAATCAACAGGAACTTTGTTCTCCATATGTTACAAAGTCATACGCATAAATACAAATACCACGTTTCTGTCTTTTCACAAAGAACCAAGGAAATTGAAATTGACAACCCCTGACAGGGCGCTGATAGTATACTTAAGTAAGAGAGACCAGCACTCCACTCATCCGCTCCATCGTCAGTCAGGACGTTGAGCCGCGCTTCATTACGGAGCGCTCGCCTCCCGCTGTCCCTTGATGCTGCGCAAATGGCATGATGTTGCATCTGATGTTGCCGGAAGTAACTATTCAACTGATGCGATTTTCTGGGGAATAGTTAGGTTGGGGGTTATATAATGTTTTATCATATCATAGCTACATCGTTGTGGCCAATCACTATTCGCTTAGCCAGTGCTGGCACAATTTGAGTAGGAAGAACCACGCTTAGGTGATCCAAGAATTCACCATCCCCGGTGAAACCGCCAAGTCGACCCCTTCCCAACTATCAAGTTCCAAGGGAAATGTTGGCTTTGTACTGGATCCAATTTTTTTGGGGCCATATGGGGGAATCCAGGTCATTATGACAATTTAAGGCAGGGGCTTTCTGAAGTCATGGGCGATCCCCAAATCACCATAGGTTTGAATACGAAGTTATGGTCATCCATGACTTGGATGATTTGGCGGTACCCCCCCCATGACTTTGGAAACCTCCATTTCTCCACCCTTCTTCACCTGAATTTGCATTTGGAATTCCCTTCAAAAATGTCACATGAATCAATTCTCAGAGCTCCTGGCTTTGCCGAAAAGCTGGGCGGCATACCCTTATTCTAATTTTCAGAGGTGCAATTTCTGATTTCAACCTATTTTCACTGACAACATATATGTACAAACCAACTCTCAAAAGGATTTTCCAGGGATTTTGGCCCCAACGCCCTCCCTTCCAACCCCCTGCTCCAAAAGCTCCAGGGACTGCTACGGACCGGCGCCCGTGCCGCGGGGGTGCGGGTGGTGGTGCGGCGGACTTTCGTGGAGGTGGAATCGGAGGCGCCCGGGGCACTGCGGCTGTTGAATTCACCAAAAAACACACGGAAAAATCAATGAAAATCATGGGTTTTTGATGGTGTTTGATGGTTTTTGATGGGTTTTTGGTTCTAGATAATTAGGGGTGTTTTGAAAGCTTTTAGGCCGGCAGCAAGTTTTGAGCCTTTTTGTTGGTAGCGAAGCATTGAGCTGAAATGCCACGTTTCAGGGGGAAACTAATGAGTTTTTCGGCAGGAATCAGGACTAAACCAAGGGAAACTGGTACTAAACCATCTGTTTTGGTTTGAAGCGATCGAGCTTGCTGTATTTCAGTGCAAAACCAACAATATTTGAATGGAACCATCCAATCTTAGTGATGAGCTGATAAGCCACCAATTTTGTTCTTGACCCAACCAATACTAGAAAACTGAGTTGCGTCGATTTGCAATTTTTTCCGGGGAGTTTTTAATGATTTCCTATATCAACATTATTTAAGCCAATTGTGGTGAATTTGTTCTTTAACAATCTTTAACATTCAACTCCATCAGTTCACCAATCACCAGATATTTGTTGGCCATCCTTGGCCTATTTCTGGTAGAAATCTTATTGGACTATTGGTTCCTGGTTTTCCCGAACTTGGTGAAGAAAAAAAGATAAAAAAGGGGGTGCGGGTGCACTTGGAGTCGGGTTCCCCAACCATTCTGCTGTGACTGCGGAAACCTAGATCATTATAGATCCAACACTTCGGATTCGCCGAAATAAATGTGCGAGTTCACCCCCTAACCACATGGAACATCACTGAAAATATGTTATTATCCCCCGTTTTGGTCATGTGTGTATGATACAGTTTCCCGAAAGGCCTAGATTTTCAGACGCAAACAGCTATTATTATTCTTAATGAATATAAATTCTTCTGATTATAATCATTATTATGATTCTTCTTCTTATTATTTTATTAATATCTCTTTATTTTTAATATTTTTTAAATTGACTGATTATTGTTTATTTGTTTATTATTGTCGATAGAACATTGGATCTCCCGCAATAAATCCGATACTTCGCCTATTATAAACCAATATAAACTTTAATTTACTGCCTCAGCTGGATTCTTCGATGAATTCTCCAGGAGGAGTCCGATGACGACGTCGTGCCGTCGGGACGTCAGAGTCAACGACCCAAGACCACCACCATCTTGCCGGTTGCGAGCGATCATGATGGGAGGGATGGGTCGGAATGGTGGTGCATTTATTGATGAAAATAAATAGGGAGTTCATTTAAATATCAACAAACATGGGGATTTTGACTGCTTTTAATATATCTCATTGCCTGCGGCAAGCCCGCCGGCCAAAGAGAGGTGGCCCCAAGGGAGTGCACCTAGGTGGAAGCCGGAGAGAGAAGCAGAAGAGAAGAAGAAGAGGAGAAGAAGACAGAGCCGTAAAACGGAAGCAGCTTGTGTAGGAAGTGCTTGCTGTAACAAAACCTATTGGCCGTATACCGAATCAGTACCTTACTACCGCCCCCAGTAAAGTAGCGCCAGCCCAGCAGACCGCTGCATGGAAGGGGACAGGGTCGAAGTGGAGAGAGGTTGCCCCAAAGAAGCTAGAGCCGGAGAGCAGAAGCAGCTTGCATAGCAAGTGCTGACTTTAACAACTTTTTGACCGCATAGCAACTGAGTACCTGTCGATCAGGTTAGTACCGCGTACGTCTTGCGACTACTACGGCTAGACAACTGTAGTGCCATGTAGACCGTTTCACTAGCTACCGGCACTACCTGTTTAGTACTTGGAGAAGAAGGAAGGAGTGGGAGTAGGAGTAGGAGTAGCACGATTCAGACGAAGCAAGAACGTGCAGCAAGAGAACAAAGGAACAAGTCAAGAACAGAAGCAGGAACACCACCTTCCAATTAGACACGGGGGCAGGCCGGCGGATTCCAATATTCCACAAACATATGGGCACTTTTGATATCAATAGTTATGTAGACATTATAGATTGCATATACTTTTAATCTCAATAACAATGGGGACTTTTAGCCCCATCTCATCTGGTGAGTAAGGTTCTAATCTTGGTTCCTACTAGCAATATGATTCCATAGGAAATGAGCCATATGTGTTTACACGATTCATCTTGCCATGGTAATCTTATATTATTAACATTATTAATTATTAACCACGTGTGCGTATATATATATATATATATGTTCTATATTTCGACAAATGCTTAGAACATCAACTGTTTTCCAAACGCTCCGGCGCACACACTTAGAACATCAGAAACAAATCAAGAAATCCAATACTTCGAACATCTAAAATCAACATTTAGAACATCAACGCATAAAACATGCATTGTGATTGGTGAAAAAGTGGTCTGATGTTCTAAGTGTGTCTCTCCGCTGAGGAGAAATGATTGGAAATTCAAAAAAACACCCACCTGCACATACCTCATGCGCATTTTTCTCTTGCACGGTCTCATGCGGTCTCTGTAACCTCTCTGTTCTATTTAAAAACTATTTCTCAGCTATTTAGCAGCTATTTAGCACCTATCAAACAGCTATTTAGCAACTATTTAGTAGCTATTTAGCAACTATCTAGCAACTATTTAGTAGCTCTTTCGCAACTATTTAGCAACTATTTGGCAGCTATTTAGCAGTTATTTAACAATTGTTTAGGAACTATTTAGCAACTATATAGCAATTTTTTAGCAGGTATTTAGCAGCTAATCGGCAATTATTTAGCAGCTTAAATAACTGGTTTGAACCATTCCTCCTATACCCATCCCGCATTTTAGACGGTATTGCAAAGTTGCATTCTCCATTACTTTTAGTATAGAGCACACACTTAGAACATCATCATGTGCACAATTGATGTTAGAAGTTCTAGGTGTCGATTTTTGGGATGTTCTGAGTATTGTTTCTCGACAACAGACTTGAAATTTTACCCTGCTAAATATTTGAGCAGCGTTTTCAGTTTTCCTAATGATGTTCTAAGTATTTGTCGACCTATATACATACATACCGACTGGGCTGAGAAGTAGATCCAATTACTTTGTGCACTTTTGCGCATAGGAATATCTTGTGTCAGTACGAGAAGCGATTCACTGCCCAGGCACACAACTTAGTTGTGAGGGAGAGGGCACCCCCTTGGAATTGGTATTTGGCCAGAATGGCCCCAAACCCAAGCATCACTGACAGAGGACCCTTAAATGTAGAGGACAGGATTCAGGCTACGTGTCGTTGATCGAATTTTGGGGAACCCGAAACAGTAAATTTCGGAACACCTATCAACCGACTAGTATGACTTGATCCACAATTGGACATATCTATCTTTGGAATACCTTTAGGGAGCACAATGAATGGGAATGAATAAAGATTTAAACCCCAGGTTTGGGGTCGGACATAGAACAAGTAATAGGAGCACGTTTCAACCAGTATGATGGGATGGGATATTGTTGTGTCCCTTGGCTCCTTTATGAAATGCATATCATCACCATCACTTGGGGTTTCAAACCTGCTAACACAATTTAGTTTTTCTGTGAATTTACTTGGGATGTGCACACCAGTTAGCGGTTGATAGCTCATATTTGACAATGACATGGGGATATTCCATGTATGATGTGTCACTGGATGGCTCAGGTTGAGATCTCAGTTGCCTGAGACATGGTCCGAGGGGACCCCAACTCCTTTGTGGCAGCAGCGCCACCAGCGAATGCTCCAGAAGAATTTGTTGCGGTGATTCATGGGCTGCCCCTAGATCGGAAGATGTGCCAAGAGTGTACATCAGTTAGTGGCCTCTTGTGCGGATCTGCATTTGCGCGACTGTGGAGCTTGTAGTCGCTTCCTCACATCGCCGCAAAGACTGGTTCACTGTACAGTTTCCGGGTGGGCAAATTTTGAATCTGCTGATGCATGAATCGCTGGCAGGGTGGTTGTCAAAAGCAAGACTGCTTAGCGGTTTCATTCATTTTGTTCAAAGTATTTTTAGATTAATGACCAAATAGCAAATCATTCCCAATTCAAGGTTTGTGATTGGGCTTAGTTATTGAATTTACCACATTTCTGTGTTTTTCCTCCAACAAAGGATATTGTCCTAACTGACAAACTCATCTTCTAGTGATTCTAGTGGCTAACATCTCCATGAAGAAGTAGTCCAGTTGACCACCCACCGCCATACACCACCTGACATTTCAGCTTTGTGAAGTTAAAATTATCCTGCCAGTCATAAGTTTTACCGTACATCTCTAATTTTGACACCATCCGCTGGACCTCCCTGGCCTGCTTTCCGAAAGCGTGGAGGGTCTCATTTTGCAAAAAGGGTCTCAAAATCACAGTGAAGAAACACCCATAGGTTTTTCCGTAGATCTTCACGATGAAATATGGTGGGTTTGACTATTTCACCAATGAATCACGGATTTTGGGTGTCTGAACATGGAGGGTTTGACCCCCCAATGTCCATTCGAATAGGCAAGGTGATGATAACCCATGATAAACCATCCAAATTTGTTCCCTATCTTCAGACAAACCAGAAGGGAGTTGTTCGAAAAACTTGGGAAAGAACAGCTAACTCCAGCAATGGTTTTATGTCCTGGGGTATCTAGGAGAGCCAACCGTGTGTTTCAAGTCTGTGAACCAAAATGGGGATTCACAAACAGGAACCACAACAAAAGTGCCAAGACAAATTCAGTCAGAGCAAAAATCCAACAGGTGTTGGTGAACAATTAGCCCTTCTATGCCTTCGAAAGGGAGGTTTTTTGGATTCTTGCATGTGCCCTTTGTTGATGTCTAGCTGCCTTTTTGCGCAGAACAGCACCGGCCGGACTCGACAATCACAGAGCTCTTCCAGCTGTACAGTGGTGTTCTGCACTCTATGGCGAGTGCGCAAAGGGCTCACCAAGAAGTGTTTTATGATGTGCTTGGAATCAGAAAACAAGTTCATTAAACCATGGTAGGAGGGGAAGGCGCGCCCAGATTTAGATGAGGTGCTCAAGTTTATCACCAAAAATGGAGGGGTGCTTCAAACTATTTCTGGATATGTCTGATTTTTACCTGCAGAAGCGGTCGGATGGTGTGACCGAAAGGTTGGTCATGGGTCAAAAGTCTGGACTATGACTATGTGTTCTCTATATATGTATATATATATATGTTATACTGTATATGGGATGATTTCTAGATGTGGAAAGTAGGGGCATACTGAGTTCATGTTCCCCAGCTTGCGATCAGATTGAAATCATTAGTTCCTACGGTGTTTTCTGTCAAAACATTTTTTTAAAGTATATATATATATATATTCCCAAGCATGTAAGATATTCCCACGGATCCAGCATATGTAACGAAGATGTAAGATGTTCCCAAACTGTTTTCTTCTGGGGCCATTCTGAGTGTTCCAATTGGGGGATGATCCCATGAAAAACGTGGAGTTCACCAGCATAGATCTTGTTGGTGATATGGCTAGTCAAGTCAAAACCTACCCGGTTAGTACGCGGTTAGTACCCAACAGAATAGCTGGTGAATGGATGGTTATTCCCTTATGGTAAATTCATAGGTCGCTTGAGCCATTCCCATATCGCCTTGACGTTTTCGGATGCCAACGAAAGGCCCGCCTGGCGGGCGAGGTTTGCGGACAAGGAATCAATTTTCCTTGACCGCCCAAGATTCGTGTGCTCATCAAATTCTGATGATCAGCATGAACATTTTCTTTGCTGGTTTTCCATTGCCGCGATCATCCATGTATGGTATCCCCCATTTCGGCTAACATGGCAAGCATGTACCCTGATATTTAATGGAAAATATGGAAACTTAAAATAACACTATATCAAGGTAAAATTCAAAGGAGACAATTATTTCAATCTTGATCAATCTGCCAGGCACGGATGGATCGCTAAAAACCATCGTAGCCACGATGCTCGGAAACTTCAGCGTCATTTTCCCCTGCAACCGTGGCTGACCTATGCGTGCTAAAGTGAGTCAGGACGGTGAAGCTAAAACTTTCTTTCGACCGACCCCGAGATGAGTCGTGGCGAACTGAACGCGACACAGTAGAAAAACGTGAGCAGACGTTCAGTTCGGTGGAACTATGGGGATGTTGCCCACAAAGTTGTGGGAATACCATACGGAATATCCATGGAATACCAACATGCAGCAAGTGCATGTCGAACACAGATGGGGGATGCAGCCGACAATAAGGAGATCCATGATCCGTGCAATTCTGGGCCATACAATTACTGGTATACTGTATATAATGATTATTAACATAGAAATTGCTCTATATAAAGGCTATATAATATATAACGATTTGTATAATAGCCAATGACAAGAACATTCATATAATCATTGGCTAAAAAATCATATCATTTGTAAAAAACAAGTCGCCAATAGTCATTACACTATTACATTTGTATAATAGCCAATAATCATAAAATTAGATCACCGGTGGCCATTCAGAAAAGAACACCGATGGGGTTGGGATGCACCAGGAGTCAAGTGGCGTTCTGGGGAACTTTAAAGGGAATATGGAGTCAGAGTCATAAGTTAATATTATTAATATTCATCATTCATTACTGTAGGAAGCAAATGGCGAACTTCTCTATTTGAACTCCCTTATTTACATCCACAAATCAGAGCAACGGCCAGAGATTCCTGGCTTTGAGCCATGCAAAATTCATGGATCTGTTGGTCGTTTCGATGCTTTATTGGACTGCACTTTTTTGGACGACCATTTCGAAGCATGGTAACGTTATTTTTGGACAACCCGATCCTGTCATTCTTTGGTGGCTGTTTTGATGCATCATCTCTATTTGTTTGCTGTTCCTTAGAATGGGTCACGTGGCATTCTTTCCCGGGGGTGGGATGGTCGATGGGTGCGGAAAAAGGGCCCCAGGCGGCCCTGAAGATAAATCTGCTCTCCCAAGTGGGGGAACTCCACATCTTCGCAATTTTACCTGGTTAAAATAAGTCCACATTGATTAAAGACGACTATATATAACGTCTATATTTTCCATGTTTTTGCTGGTCAACAATGTCAAAACAACTCAATATGTTCCCAACTTTTGTTGGTGAAGGTCCACATTTCCATACATGTCCCATGGTTTCTCTTGGTGAAAATCCGTTCCCTTTCCTGCCCTTTCCACAGTTGACCCACTGTGAGGCGTTGCGCTTCGCAGGGCATACTGCGACGCGAGTGCAGCTGGGCCCTGTACCTTGGCTGTGCCCCAGTCATGGTAGGCACAGATAATTGAGCAGTGTTCAAAACCCTGGTTGGTTGATGATTATAGGGGATTATAGGGGATAATAATAAGCCAATAAGGGAATTTGTAGCGGTGGTAGCCAGCAGTAGGTATTGGGCTCTTTGCTGGGAGATGCTGACCACACTTCCAATCACCAAAGTCCTCTCCAACCTCACGCCAAGCCGCAAAGAGCACAGAGGTCTGTTTTGCCAGCGCCACAACGCGGAAGAGCTCCAATGGCTCAGGTTAGGTCAAGGCCTAAAAAGGGGCCCCTGAAGCTGGTAGCATCGGTGGCGGATGGAATGTTGAATGATCCAAGTGCCAATGTTGCACCTGTAAACAGTCTTCATCAGTCAGCAACCCTTCATCCACAAGAAAGTTAGCAGCTACAGGGCCAAATCGATCCAAAGCAGACTGGCCAACACGTTTGTTACGTTTGGCTGCTGTGAAAGTGGGATCAAACAAAAGTGCCCACTCAGAGAAACCGCTGCAATCTTAAGCCTACACTCAGATCGTTTCTTAGTGAGGGCATCTGCAAGATCATAATCTGAAGCCAGCCATCGCAGTTCGCTGCCGCAACGTTTGAGGTTGTCCCTCAATTGAAATGCTTGCAGTGCTGCACGAAGGTTGCTCAGGCCAAGCAAAGGGCTCTCGTTCACGTCCACCGCATCAAACCCACCCCTTGAGTCGGTGCATAGGACGCCTCACACCAAAAGACTCAAGCGCTCGGACACATCGACCAAATCCTCTCTGTACTCTCCAGGGTTGCCTAAGCGAGCACCATGAATTTCAGACCAAGGAAGACGAGCTCGGAAGTTGACATCTTCAGCTTCCAAGATTGACTGGACCTCAGCATCATTGGATCCAAGTGCACGCCGCTTCAGCTTCCGGTGCGCCAAGCAATGAGCATCATCTTGCTGACGCGGCCGTCCAGTGACAAAGGACCAGAGATGAGGTGGATCATACCACCTGTACTACCTCCTTGATTCCTAGTGGCATTTGCTTGGTCACCCATGCTGATAAAAACCATGTCACCCCACTTCTTGACATCAGGCAACGGACAAAAACAAAACAGTGACAAAATTCCTCACCTCTCCTATCATGGCCTGAATCTCGCGCGCATGTTCAAGAGTGCCGCCCATGGTGATCTCGGTGAGCAAGAGATTGCACCTGGCAGTCAGTAAAGGCTGAGTTTGAACAGCAAGCGACTGCAAGGAACCTAGAGCTGCTCAACAAGCGCCAACTTCTTTAGGAGATAGAGGACCATTAGAAGACGTTCAGGTTCAATGTCCACATTGGCAATGGTTTCAACATAAGATTACTGTTCAACACGAATGCTAAACTTGCCATCCTTCTTAAAAACCGTGTGAACATCACTACCTGCATGTCTATATGAACCTTTCTTGATGGTGCCCCACTGACATGCCGAGTCAATGCGATGACACACTTCTTGCCATTCATTGCTTTCCTGATCTCCGCACCTGTGAATATCATCCACGTGCCCTCCCATTAGACCGATGAGACGTTGTCCATGGCCGGATGGGTCATGCTCATGCTTTGAATACCAGCACCGCAAGCATCGCTCTCCCAAGGTGGGCCCTCCACCCAACTCGCACAGGGTCTTGCCTCGAGGTGCTGTTGTAGTTACGGAGGATTCTCACAACAGAGCCAGGAGGTGCTTGAAGTGCTTCACAAAGCTCCGGCACGCCAGTGGTAAACAACTTGTCATCAGCTTCTGTGGGCGTCGTCTGAAGTAATGCTGTGGCCAAATCCAGCCCTTGAAGTTCCCACTGCTGTAAGGTAGAAGCTGTGTAGATCAAATTCTTCCCAGTGAAGAGATCACAGGCGCATAGGTTTTGAAATTGCAATCAGGAAGAGATGGATGTTGAAAGCCCAAAAGAACTATTCGCGCCTTGGCACGCTTGGTGGCTTCGGCATTCACCACTGTGTTCTTGTTTTCAGACAGGTCTTTGAGTACTTCCTGTCTCTCATCTGGGGCCACATTTTTCCAAGTGAGAACCCGCCTGGCCTTCAGGATTCTTCCACAACCAAAAGCTTCAGCCACCTCCTTGTCGTCAATGCACTTGCGAACTGCCGCATTCTTGAGAAATGAGTTGACCTCCTTCCCCTTTGCCCTGGCAAAAAGTTCGCGTTCAGCAGATGTCAAATTCTTCAGGGAAACTTCTGCAGAGTTGAGCTTGCGAACAAGATATGGCGCAGGATCACACTGAAAGTTCTTTTGCTGACGGTGGGTGTTAAAGACCAAGTCCAGCTCAAAGCATTAACACTCCCCGTCATAAGATTGCAAGCAGCTGAGAACATCATGCTCAGTGATCTCATGTGGCACTTCTTGCTCCAAGGTCACAACCCATTTGATGTCATAGAAATTCAGCTTCTGCTTCTTGAACTCAGACGCAGTCAAAGGTGGTGAATCATCAGTCATTTCCGCAGTCTCGCCACCAGCACCATAGTCATTAACTGGCAAGCTGGCACCCGCAGAGGTCGCGGAGCGATCACACTGGGCTGCGATGCTGCCGCAGAGGTCGCAGGAGCGATCGCACTGGGCTGCAATGCTGCCGCAGAGGTCGCAGGAGAGATCACACTGGGCTTAGAAGCCGAGCCAGCAGCAGAAGGCACAAAGTGACGTGGTGCAGGCACGTCTTGGCGAAGTCCAAGTGGTGAGCTGCGATGAACTTGCCGATAATTCGTTTCAGCCAGTGATGGTTTGCCTCTGGGTCGTCGGATTATGTAGTTGCATCAGGCTCAGGTGGCAGATTTGGGACTTCAAGCTCCTCAGGTGATGGGATCTTGGCCGTGACGTCAATGAACTCTTTCTGGGGCAGCATGTCGGCCAAAGTGCGCCATTGCATTGGGTCGCTCTTCTCAAAGAGCTCATGCTGCAAACGCTCGGTCTCATTGACAAGCCGTACTGAATTTGCTGAGCATCGCCAAATCTTGCGACCCATCAAAACCCAAATGATGTGCTCTCTGGAGTCATCTCCTTCTTGATGTGGTATTGCTTCAGCGAAGACAACTCTTCCAGGACCAGCCCAATGTGGACGTCCTGTGACTTCTTGGGGCCACCTCTCTCGAGTTTGGACACGTCGCCACACCATGACGAGGTCAGTGATGGAGAATTTCCTGAGGGGTTGCCTTACTGTGGTGTTGGGCTTGCTCAAAGCCCGCTTGGCACGAGACTGTCTTGCTACTTCTTCAGCATCTTGTCGAGCTTTGGCCACATTGACGAACTCTTTGGACGGATCCACAAGCTGCCAAAGTCGTACATCTTCATCAGAAATAGAATAATGAGAACCAAAAGCCCACTCATGTGCTGAAAAACCTAAATATATTCTGTTGAGTTAAGTGCTGAACATGTCAAAGCGAGAGTCATTTCAGGTGTATTGTCCGACGACTCAGTCTAAATCGTGGTCGCCACATGCTTCACATGCTTGCCAGCCGCTTCCACGATGCCATGACTCCACGGTTCCTTCTCCGGAGGAAAATGAAGTCTTATACCTTGGGCCAGAACAAACTCATGAAAATGAGCGGATGAAAACCTTGAGGCATTGTCAGGAATGATGATCTCGGGTTTGGGATAGTGAGCCAACCAACCAGAAACCAAAGATTGAACCACCTCTTCACTGGATTCCCCATGCATGGTGTTGTCGGATTAGGTGCGGATCAAAACCGCTGATCTCAGTTTGGTGGCAAGGTCAATCCAGCAGTCTCAGATGCAATGCGTCCAATGACTCCAGCTCCAAGAGGAATGTGCACGTTCCAGGACTGTGTGCTATGGCGCCAAATAGGCACAAGACACACTGCTTCCCCTCCCGCCGCTGGTTCGCCTGAGCCAAGTGTCTATGGTGACTCCCCGCTGTCAACATTAATTCAATTGGTCATGGATTGGAAACGGATTGCATGGAACCTGATGGTGAAGTTCTTCTCAAAGAGCTGATACGTTTGCAAATCACATTCCCAAATTTTCTTTTTTATTGGTTTCATTCTCTTTCAAGGTAGATGCTTCGTCCACTAGCCGATATGTTCCTACGCGCAAGGTTTCTCTCAGAAAATGACTTTCCATTGCTTTGGTCAAAGCATCAGCCAGGTGAGCTCCTGAGTGTACCCAACGGAGTCGTATATTTTCTTGTAGAGCTTCCTTTATGGCATGAGAAACAAGTTGAACCCGAAATCAGGAGGAATCTGGCCTTCTTCTTCAGGCCTGGAACTGTCCACTCGAAGGCATCTAAGCCTAGCACCTGCCACGCCTTAGGCAACCCATGCCCATGGGTTGCCGCTGGTGGTACTTGACCTGAAGAAAGACTGCCAGCTTTCAAGGACACGTACTTTCCAATCAGGTGATCCTGAATCTTTGATAACCCTGGTGGGGTGTCCCGCGGCCTTGTGAAAGTGGGAGGCTCTTGTCTTCCATTGCTCTAAAACTCATCTGGGGTAGGCTAGAGCCAGGGGCTTGTTGAGCTGGAAAAAGGTTGCCATCGCCCTCTTCAAGAACGTTCAGCTCCTCGTCAATGGAAACCATAGATGGTAGATCATCAACGGCAAAAAGAAGTCGCTGATTGCGATCTGATAGGAAGTTCTTGTCGCCATGCACTGGCAATCGCCTTCACCATGCGCCAAGGGTAGTATGAACTCTTGTTGGCAGTCTCCACGTCAGCGACATGACTATGTCGATGACCGCCCGGACAGGTCTTGGTTTTGAACTTCTGGTGAAAGGTTGGGCTTGTAGTGCGAACCATCCACTGCTTCCTCCGAAAAACCACAAGAGCCATCATTGGCCCGAAGACCATAGTTGCAGCCGTCAATCCGGCATGGCAGCCATTCACGACCATTGGCATGTACAACTTGTTGAAGACCAAGGAGAGGACCTTGGCCTTATCCAATGCAAGGCCACGGCCATTCCCAGTAAATGTCAGCACTGGGATCTTCCTTCAAGGTGTTCTCGATGAAGTGCACTGCGTTCCAAAGCATCCTGATCTCCTTGCGACGATATGCCGCCAAGAGAATCTTCTTCTCCGGTGTGCTGTAGTTGACGTATGTCCACTGACACCGCAACGTGCGTCGCAAGGAAAACCAAAGTCTCTTGGGCTTGTGTTGCCGCTGAAGTTCTCGATGATGAGCGCATGTTTCGTCCTTGTATGCGTCGAAACCTTGGTGCAAATTGATGCGTCTGGGTCGTAGACCTTGTTGAAGACATGCCTCAGTCAACCACGAATGAGGTGCGCACGCAATATGCCATCATTGCCGCCAAGAAGAAGATCAGATGCCGCCGACGCCATAGTGGTGAGCATAGTTGCAGCCATCAGCAAAACCTTGGCTTCGTTGATCTCAGTTTTGTCCCCAGAAAAGAATGATGGTTGGACGCCGGCGGATGGACGCCGGCAGATTGCCGGCTCGGTGGTGATCACGAGGAACTCGTTGGTACGCAGGCGAGCCACTGTCCCCAACTGGTCAGCTGCAGCTGATGCAGGGGAAGTCTGAACCCCCACATCATCTTGATCACGTTGCCAAAACCAACCAAGCCCCCATCATCGTGTCACCAATCATATTCCCAACCAGTATCATCATGAGGTTTTGGTGGCAAACCAAAATCAGAGGTCTCAGAGCTAGAGCCCTTCTTCTCTTCTGCAAGAAGAACTAGGGGTTCATCAAACTCAGCATAGCCTAGAGATTCACGAACCGGAAGTGCAGTCATTGGTTCGCCAGGCCGCCTCTTGAAGTCAAAGTACTGGGAGCAAATCGCTTAAGCATTGGGCAGCGACTGCCAGACAAGAGGGCCGGCCGACAACCTTCGAAGCAAGGTTCGAGTGCCATCATAGTCATCCAAAGCCATTTCTGTCCATGACATTGCCAAAAGACGTGCAGAACCTGTCAACCTGCTCAACAGTTTTGTAGCTACATATCTTTGTTTGTGTGATGGTGTAGCACGAAAGAACCATGCAACTTCCCTAGTATACCTTCTCCATGTTCGGGCAGAACCATCCCTACTAGGAATCATATCTTTACCGTCCGATGCCATTGCTTCAGGGAAAACTTGTAAAAGGCCTCTTCAGAGATCTGGGAAAAGGAATCCACAAGGAAAAAGTGAAAACACAAGAGGTGCTAGCAAACTTGGGCAAATACTTCCTGATCAACCGGAAGAGCTCGTGGCTTTCAATCTTCCGAATCAGCCGGTAGGGCTTGAAGTCCAAGCAAGTGCACAAAGGAAGCAGCGCAAGCAAATGCTAGACCTGGGATCTTCGCAAAGAAGAACAGCAAGTAGTTTGCTATCCCTCAGCAATCCCCTCAGCTGGAGCAGGTCACCTGGAGCGAGCACTGCTCCGCTACACATGTAGCGGTGGTAGCCAGCAGTTGGTATTAGGCTCTTTGCTGGGGGATGCTGATCACACTCCCAATCACCAAAGTCTTCTCCAACCTCACGCCAGGCCGCAAAGACCACAGAAGTCTGTTTTGCCAGCGCCACAGCGCAGAAGAGCTTCAATGGCTCAGGTTAGGTCAAGGCCTAAAAAGGGGCCCCTGCAGCCGGTAGCATGGTAGCATCGTAGCATCGGTGGCGGATGGAATGTTGACTGATCCAAGTGCCAATGTTGCAGACTCCCTATAATTAATCCAGTATAATGGATTGAGGAATTTTGAACACTGCTCAATTGTGTGTGTGTGTGTCATTTTCTTGTATAGAATGGTACCCATTCTTCCATGTCCAATACTTTGCCAGTTTGGCATGTGGCTCTGTAGAATGGTACCCATTTCAAAAATTCGAACCATGAGAATAGGATCGAATAGGGAATGTTTGAAGTTCAAAACGATGGGAACACTTAAGTTTTCACTTAGTAATTTCATATTCACCGTTATGTGAGAGAAAACACATCCAGAAGAATAGATCGAACAACTTTGGCAAACATTAGAGAATGGATGGTTCCAACCGTGTAAAAACAGTGTTCTAAATCATCATAACATCTACAAATTGGAACCGTTGCAGTATCTAATAGTACACGTCAAAGGTTATCCAATTGGTTGAGAGAGACATGGGGAGAAACGGCTGTGCATCCCAATGGGTAACTCGGGATTTAACCAGGGAAGGGCAGTGAATACCGAAGAAAAACGTGGTCGTAGCCAACTTCTAACATGGTGACATGATCAAGCATCATCACCACTTATTAGTTGGTTAGTATCTTTGGGTAGTAATCCCTCCTCCTCAATGTGAAATGCCAAACTGGAAACCATGATTGAGTATTGGATCTGTTCATTATTGAACATTTTTAGGGCCCAGTAGGTGTCATTGCATGTTATGTTTGGAAAACAAATTTAAGCTTGAGTTGGTCACCATAACAATCTATACCATATCTATAACATCTCCTAATATCAAGAAGGGATTCTCAAACAACTGGGAAACCGCAGGGCGACCGGGGATGACCCCAGTGAACCAGTTGGCACTGTCGACTCTAAAAACCATGGCTGCTATTATCGAATTATAACACGCAGTACTCGTGTCTCAACAAAACCAGTTTTTCGACATTGCATACCGACATTTGTTACTTAAATCCCCAAATCCCATCATCATCATCATTTTGCTGCCTGAGTCACCTTCGTTTTATCTTGATGTCGCAGTTTTTGCCATGATTTTTGAGG